CCCCCCCCCCCCCCTTTTTTTTTATACACCCCTATCTAATAGGTGCGACATCACGCTGTTAGTAAACATGTGAGTAGTGGCTCATCACGACCGTTTTGTCAGACGAGAACCGTAATCCGAAAACGAACGGCGATCGAGCATAAAAAAGCGTCGTGTCAGGCGCCTTGTTCAAATGAATATAAAAGCTAAACGAAATTCCATAGGGGGCCGCGGCGGCACCCCCCTTTTGATGGTGCACTGGCCTGCTGCCCAGGTCACCCACCGGGCTGGCCCTGCCCGTGTTATCTGAACTTGCGTGTTGAAACTTGTGGGAGTATGTAGGTATCGGGGGAGCCAACAGCTTGCGAACACAGGCAAAACGCAAATAACTATGACGTCATCCACGTATGCAAGGGGGGGGGGGGGGGAGAGGGAAGAGCGCCCACAAGACCCCCCCCCCCCCCCCCCCCAAAAAAAAAGAACATTTTGTTGGGATTTTTTTTTTTTCCTTCCGCCTCATAAAGCATTTTGTCATGGGCGCCCCCCCCCCCCCCCCCCCCCTCCCACCCCCGGAAACAAACTCCTGGCTACGTGCCTGTATTACGTGACTGGTGGAAGGCAAAGCATCGGTCAAATCTAGAAGCTCGAGCCTAGAGAAGTTCGCGCACATGCAAGGACCAAGTCACCGCTCCAGAAATACGCGTAATTTTCCGATTTTACCGAAACAAAAACTGTTTTAGACAAATTAACACGAAGAATAAGGACAAATAAGTGGATGGGGGGGATCGGTGACCGAGTGGGCTAGCGCACAGTAGAGCCACTCTATATGGCAGCGTAGCTGCTAGCGTACACCAGCTCGGAGCACGTGGAGCCAAAGCTCGTGCCGCAGAACTCAGGATCCTGGGTTGAATACCCACCCCTGCCCGTTTCAATCTGGATGAGCATCGTACCGGCGTGCGGTCGTGTATCACTACTGCGTGATGCACGTTAAAGAGCCCAGGCTAGCGGTTGTACTGCACTGGCTAAATCGCTCATCTACAGCTGGGAGACTCGTCCCCCGTTGAGGCAGACCAAGTTCTAGGCTGTATAAACATACACACAACCCAATTTTAATAAGTGGATCTTTATAAACGCGGGGAATGATTTATACGACTTTACGAAACGGGCAACACGAACGTGAGTCGCCGGTCAAAAGGGAAGTTTTGCGCATTGTTCATACGCTGCGCAAAGTAGTTCTTTCAAAAAGACTTGGTTGTCGGAGGAAGATATGCTTTTGGCGCTTGAAACGTGTGTACTTCTTGATAAGTTAACATACATAAATCTAAAATTAACCTACATATATCCTTTTTATTCACATAAAGGGGGAAATTAGTAATGCTCCGCGGGGAGCCGGACTTTTTTTTACTGCGGTTTTTTAAGGTGAAAGCAGAAGTGGCAAGGGTTGAAGTTTAAAAATCGGTAGGCAATTTAGTATTATTGAAAAAAAAAGTGAAGCCACCTAATATTTAGGGATTGGTTGGATATATTTACGTTTAAGTAGAGGGTCATTCCATGTCAAACGTCCCAGACGTTGCGCTGGACCACCTCCAACTTAAAAAAAAAAAAAAATTACGTTTTTTTTTGCAATGTTCGTAGCCGTAACTTAAAATATTTTTGACGAAAAAAAAAATTCTTTGATGACGTGAGCGCTGTTTTAATTTTTAAAAGCAGCGTGAAACTAGGCATCACTCAATAATTGACGAAAAATCACCTTTTCTCATGAAACACCCAACAATATATTTTTTCTTAAATTTGCACGGCTTTCGACTTACAATGTGGTTGGACTTGTGCAGTTTTGTTTAATTTAAATATTTTTTAAATACCTTTTTTTTTAGATTTTATCATTTTTGTTCTTTTATTTTAAAAATATCTAACTGCTCCCGGGATTTAATATAACTTTTCACAGGCTGCCCTGTAGATATATAATCTATTAAAAAAATGTTTAAAACCACACAAATGAATATCTTGCAGTAAAAAAAATCCTAAAGTTGCAAAAAAGTGCGTTCTGACGCATAAACATCCGTTCATTTTACCCTCAGGTGGTCCAAGTAAAAATACAAAATATAGTGTGTTTGGAAGAACAATCGATAGTCTTTTGATTTTGAAAGCTTAAGCAAAGTAATTTTTGTTTAAAACGAGAAAACAATTTTCAAAGTTGAAGTCTCGCACCACTACCCGGCGTCGCTTCTTAACGCCTCTTCGCCGCACAGCACGCCACCTGCGACGATATAGCTAACACGATTAGGTCCAAAGAAAAAACGGAGTTTAGTGCCGTTTCCCCCTTGTCCATCTTTCATACTGCAAGGAAAGAAACGGCGTGTATCGTGTAATAATCGGAGGTGCCGCCAGTGCGTAGCCATAGCAGGCCCGTTGTGCCCTTTGTACCCGAGGGCGGATCTTCACACTCCAAAACGCGATGCCTAATCGACGGGCGGCATCAAGAGACGTGAACTTCTCCAAAAAGGGAAACTCGATATAATATCGCTGCGAAATCTAGCCGTCACGCATACCTCGTCGTTTGAGATTGCCCGTTCACAGGGCTTTTGTGTTGCTGTTTAGATATGTCTTGACGTTGACAAGAGAGAGTGATTGCGATGTGTATGTAAGAAACAGCTAGCTTACTAGTGGATGCTCTGATCCGGCAGCGCTGAGCATCTGCTGATATCAAGACAGTGGAAGACCACAGGAGGACACCGCCGCGCGAAACGGTCGAAATAAGAAAAGCCATGAAGCAACAAGAGTGGAAAAAAGTCTCAACCAAGATGTACCCGACAACTCGAGGTCCTGCTGTCTACCTGCGTGTGCACACCGTGACACCGTCACACGCTTCGCCGGGCTCGACGGTGGCGTGCCGTGCAGAGAAGAGGCGCAAGAAACGACGCCAGGTGGCGGCGCAACAACTCAACTTCCAATTTTTTTTTCTATTTAGAACAAAATTATTATTATTAAACTTTCAAGAGCAAAAGGCAATAAAACGAAATTTTGCTCAAATTTAGTTTTTATTTCTTTTCTGCAAGATATTTAGTTGTACGGCCTGAAACCTTTTTTTGTGTACGGTATACCTACAGGGCTGTCAATAAGAATTTTGACAGTCGCTTGCAGCAAAGAAATAGTTTGTAACAAAATTTAAAAAAATGCTAAAATGCCTCATATATATATATATATGTATTTTTTTTTATTGCTTCAAGCGTACCATTCAAATGCCGTTTGGTTTTTGGAAAAAAATATTCCAGTGTTCCGTAAAGATATCTTCTCATTAATTATTAAATACTCATAGTTTCGCTCCCTTTTTACGAGTTACAAACCGCTATCACCCTATGAAATCTGTTTTTCGTCAAAAATATTTTAGAGAGGCACCACAAACGTCACGGTGAGGAACCATTAATTTTATTTTAGTAATCGGAGGTGGCCGTGGGACATTTGGCATGGCATGAAAAAGTCCACGTCGCCTGATGCCGCTCGTCGCATCGCGTTTCGCGCCGCCTCGGGCGAAAAGGACACATCGGGCCCGCTATGGCTACGCACTGGCGGCACCTCCGATTATTACACGATACACGCCGTTTCTTTCCTTGCAGCCGGAAAGACGGACAAGGGGAAGCAGCAGAAAACTCTGTCCTTTCTTTGGACCTAATCGTGCCAGCTATCGTCAAGCGACGCCGGGTTGTGGTGCGTCGCTCCTTAACACCTCTTCAAAAATTGTTTTTTCGCTTTAAACAATAATTATTTTGATTAAATTTTCAGAATCAATAGACAATCGATTGTTCTTCGAAACCCACCATATTTAGAATTTTTCCTTGGACCACCTTAGGGTGAAATAAACGGCTGTTTAAGCGTCAAAACGCACTCTTTTTGCAACTTAAGGATATTTTGTTCACCGCAAAATGCTTAATTCAGCGGTTTTAACTTTTTTTTTTTAAAGATTATATACCTGCAGGGCAGCCGGTAAAAATGTATATTAAGTCCCGGGAGCAATTAGATTTTTTTAAATAAAATAACAAACACTTAAATTATTTTTTTTAACATTTAAATTATAGAAAAGTGCACAAGACCGACCACATTGTAAGTCAAAAGCCGTGCAAATTTAATAAAAAGATATTGCTGGGTGTTTCCTAAGAAAACAGATTTTTCATCAATCATTGAGTGATGGCTAGTTTCACACAATTTTTAAAAGTTAAAACCGTGCTCACGTTATCAAAAACATTTTTTCGTCAAAAATATTTCAGGGCATGGCTACGGACATTGCGGCAAAAGGCCATGAAGTTTTGTTTAGAAATCGGAGGTGGTCGAACGCAACGTCTGTGACGTTTGACATGGAATGACCCTGGACTATTCAAACCGATAATTCGATCCCATTCTAAAACTAAAACAGTGTAAACCAAGTTGGGCGAATTATACTATTATTTCAGTGTTAATCAGTTTGCCGCGCGTGGGATATTCGCAGAGACCGTTTTAAAAGTAACAAGACATCCAAAAGCAAAAACGAGTGGAAACAAGATTTTTAGCACTATTAAACACCGACAGCACAAGGAACGCAAAAAAAAAAAATAATATCAAGAGATATTTATAAGTTGTTTTACGTTATTTTTATATTATTAGTTACTACACGTTATTTGTTTACTAACAGGCAACGAACGCATGATATTCGTAACACACTTCGCAGCCTGCAGTTTTTGCTGCGAGCCCGTCGCGCCCTGGACGCAGAACATGACAGAAAGTATGGTCTCTCGAAGGCTGCATACAGCTGTAGCCTTTGTCGTAATCAGCAATTCACTTCACTGAAACTGCGTCGTCACGAGGGCTGTTCCCTTGACCGTGAACAACCATACAGCTGTAGCCTTCGTTGTAATCAGCGATTCATTTCACTAGAACTGCCTCGTCACGGGGGCTGTTCCCTTGACCGTGAACAGCCCCTTTGTGAGGTGTGTGACCGAGGTAATTCGGTTTCCGTGCCTTATATCTTGAAGTCTTTCTAAAGTATAGAACGGCAACCTTTGCAGCCATACGACACGTGTCCGCTTCCGCACTTCGTCAATTTCGGTTTCGGTTTTCGCTGCGGCAGTCCAATCGCTGTCACCGCACCGAAACAAAATGGCCGCCCCCTGCCCCGCCAGCCAATCGGGAGGCCCGCACCGCGGCCAGCTTCCTGTTCCGCCAACGGCACGCAGCAAAAAAAACGCTCCCATCACGTGATATAAAAATAAAGGATCATCGGCCATCTTTCGGAGAGACGCAAGCAACGCAGCTGAGTAGCGGACGGGAGCAGCGAGCGCACGGGATTTCCGCCGCCACCGAGAAAGACCGTCGGCCGATTCCGGACTCCGTCTCCCCCGTAGGAAGAACAAACAAGTTCGGTGCCCGTGAAACCACAATGGCGGACGACAAGGAGCCTCTGTACACCCCTTTCTTCGGCGTCATGGGAGCCGTTGCAGCGATGGCTTTCAGCGGTAACGTAGACCCACCTCTTTACCACCTTTCGGGCTCCCCTCCCGTCGATCGCCTGCTAGGCCTAAGTCCGGCCGATAGCATATGCGCCGGTTCCAGTCCCTCCGTCGATTCCGCACGGATACCACGAAGCGGGTTGCTTGCGCGGAACCGAATATCCCAATCCGCCGGTTAGAACCGGCCAGAATCGCTCCGTCTATCCGAACACGACACAACCTTTCCGAATTGGGTATCTGACGTTCGACCGTGCTGTAAAGAAAAAAGAAATGTATATAAAGAAAGCCGACTCATTCAAGGCGGTTTAAGTGTATGAGGGCGTGAGAAAAAGGGGGTTCAGGTGATCGTTTACGCAAATTAAGCAATTCTAGTTGTATCAAGAATAAAAAAAAAAATGTCCGCAGTATCTCTCGGCGACCACTGACACTAGCCGCCGATGAGTAAACCAGGGGGAGGCGGAGGGGGTGCTTCGTCTCGCAAATGGGTCTCTGAGCTTAGGGTTTGGGTCGAAAGCCGGTTTCCTTTTCGAGACCCCGTTTTAACTTTCGAAAGGTTCTGCAGCTCCCGTTGCACACACCTGGGTTCGGGCGAACGCGGCACAGAACCTGCGGGTCGTGCAATCATGTGACTGAGATTCCGCAGCGCGTTTTGGGCTTTACGTCGTCGTCGCCTCCGGCTGATAACGCCGTTTTTATTTGTCGCTTCCCGTAGCGAGTGATGGCTAATATTGTTTTATCTCGTTTTCAGCTTGGTTAACTACGAGTCTGCGACAATAGTTCAGGGTTTAGAGTTCATAGCGCCGACGTTTTAATGGGCTTTTTTTTTTTTTTAGTTTGTGCCAAGCCGGGTATTCTCGTGGGGGCGTTGTTAAAAGTCACGCGCTTCGAGGTGCCGCACGGCCGTACTGGGTCACACGTTCATGTTTTATGGCTACGCTTTTTTTTTTCTTTATTTCTTTCTTTCTGAAGACGCGAACGGATTTCTTATTGGTGATTTTTTTTTTTATTCTTATTTATTTTGAGAGTCGTCTGACCCTAGCCTGTAGTTTCTCAGCAATTCGGAGCTTCGCTCGAACAATACATGCACCGTGCGTGCATTCCTTGTTTAATTACGCGCTTACTGAAAAGGACCCTAATTGAAAAATAAATAGAACTTATATTTCGGTGCGAAACTAAAACATGCATTCCGCACTGTAATGCCTGGTGGTAGATGAATAAAATGGTGACCCAACTTGACTAGAGATGATTTACTCGAACGGCCGCTAGCTAATCAGGTGCATTTTGAACTGCTAACAAAAGGTTGTGATTACCACAATGTCCGCACAACACCTTTCGTTAGAGAGGTGTGTGAGTAGGGTGTTTTCACATGACGTCGATCTGCCATTTTGTTAGTTTGTTTTTTTCAAATTTACTAATTTGGAGGATTGCATCGCAATTTGTTAAGAAGACGTCAGCGTTGTAAGGCTTGTAAGCTTCCATGCTCTTCGTATAAGAGGAGTCATGTAAATCCTTGAAATGCTCGCCTTCGACACACGCCAGACTCGGAGTTTTGCCGTGTCATTTCATGGCCTCCATAGGTTGGAAGGCAGGTCACAAAACCTAGACTTTCCATATTCCGCTCACTCCTAAGCAGACAAAGCGGTAGAAGCTGCAAACTCTCTGGACCGATTACTCGTCTCACTTTCGTCACCTGACCCTCATCTTTGCTTCTGGGCGCGAGTGATTACGAGACAAAAGGTGTATGACTGGCCCAACGAGCATGTAGCTTTCACCGCCCCATCCGTTTAGTGATGCACAGATTACTGAACCAGCAATCGAAATGACCTTGCACTGCAATTTTTTGTTTTTGCTGCACACGTGATCTTTTTTTGGATACCCAGTTTACATCGTCGTTTGCGATACAAGGTTTTAATTATTGCTTGGCGATACAAGTTGTTTGAATCATTGCCAGCCAGGTGTCCTAAACGTGCACTGCGCAGTAGTGATGCACTCCGGTGCGACGCTCACCCCCGATCGAAACGGGCAGGGCTGGAACCCAGGCAGGAACCCTGGGCTCTACAGCACGAGAATTTCGCTCCATGCTGCCTCAAAAGCAGACAGACCTTGTGCTGTATTAACACTCTTTTTTAACCCCATTTTGGGAACTGCGTGGTAATAATTGAATGTTTGTTATCTTGCAGCGCTTGGCGCCGCGTACGGCACGGCAAAGTCCGGCACCGGCATTGCAGCCATGTCCGTGATGCGGCCGGAGCTCATCATGAAATCCATCATTCCCGTCGTCATGGCGGGTATCATCGCCATCTACGGGCTTGTGGTGGCCGTGCTGATTGCCAGTACCATTAAGGCAGACTACAAATTGTTCTCGTAAGTATTGGCCTGTTTCTTCTGAAAGCCAGACAAACGGGCATTTGGTGCACCCTATGCTTATCTTAGTGAAGAAAATAAGCTGCAAATACTAGTCTCGGCCAACATAGACCTCCCAATGTGCATGAGCAGTTGTCCCCATCGCAAGAAACTGTTTGTTTCTCTCACTGAGAATGGTTGTGCGCTCGAGTGTGACCTTATCGCAAAAGCCTAAAGTTTTTCATGATAAATTTACCAGAGGCTGGTACAGAAAGCAAAGACTCCAATGGTGGAAGACGAGATGACCCTTCAGTCTCTCCCACTTTTTTTTAGTCCTGCTTCTCTTACACATTGCGGGTTAATTCACATTGGGGTAAACTTTCACCGGTTCACCTGCGCTCTTTTTCTGCGAAGTTTTGCTTGCTAGATTTCTGTGAAGCTGCCTTCATATAACATTGTCTACCTCATTTGAAGGATTCAGTGTTTTCAAAGTTTATCTTTCATGAAATTTAGAGGGCGTTTATCTGAGTTTAATTTTTGCTCTACATGTGGAGTTTTTCCAGAGTTCTTACTTTGTTTTTAGACTTCTAATTTTTTTATAATTTGTAGTTCAATATTGCTGTGTTCCCAATTGTTCAAAATTCAAAACAAAAAGAAAAATGTTGGGGCATTGAAGTGCACCAAGTTGCTAAGAACTTGCTTGTATCATATACTATTTATCCTGTTTGGTTCAGCTTTGGCGACCTTGCCAATGGTGAGACTAACTCTCCTAAATTAAACTTGCTAAACTTAAAGAACATTGTTGTTTCAGTAGACGTCATAAACTCCTATACCTGTTTTCACCTCAAGAACCATAGTAAAAAAAGTCCGGCTCCACGCAGAGCATTGCTAATTTCTCCCTGTATGTTGATAATTAAGACATATTTAGGTGAATTTGAGATACGATATATGTTATCTTATCTAGGCGTACATGTTCCGAACACCAGAAGTATCTGTTTTTCCTCCGACAACCAAATCTTGTAAGAACTATGCACCGTGTATGAACGATGCGCAAAACTTGCTTTTTTTCATGAGGTGAAAACGGGTAGAGACGTAGTCGCTTGGAACGTTGTTTCTTTCCCATCTTGCTCCACCACTCTGCCTGCTGCATGGGGTGGAGTGCTGAAGTAATTTCAGCTGCCCCTCTCCCCTCTCCAATAATACGAGTTTATAGCTTCACGTCTTGTAAAACAAACCTCCCCCCCCCCCCCCCCCCCCCCCCCCCTCTGGGACGCCCAAATCGTAGTGTCCAAACTGTAACAGTGGCTTTTGTCATGCCGCACAAGTACTACGACCGTTGTCCTGAACGAACCTCTGAGGAGGAAGTATGCAACCTTTTGTTAATGGTCTGAGATTTGAAAGGGAACTGGAGTGGCTTGTGTCAAATCTATTTGTAGATTTGCCGATACGGGGTTGGATCAATGTTACCTAGAATAATCAAAGCCTGTGAACAAACACCTTCTCTATAGCATATCACCCCATTAGGATGGAGCCAACTACAGGGTGTCCTTCAATGTACTGATTGGCCATGACGCCCATCCGAATGCTGGCACGGTGCTCGTGTGCAATTTGCGTCTGCGCTCGATCTCGCTGAGAGGACGTCAAAATTCGAATCCACCGGCTTCGATTTTTTTAGATGTCGTTGGTCAGACGGTCCTTCTTGTGGGCCACGGCTAAAAACCCTAGTTCGTGGGTATTGTGTCAACCACTGCGTCGGCTGTACTGTAAAAGTATGAATCTAACGGGACGTGTCACACGGTTGCAGATCGTTCCTTCATCTGGGTGCGGGTCTCAGCGTGGGACTGAGCGGCCTTGCAGCTGGCTTTGCCATTGGAATCGTGGGAGACGCCGGAGTGCGCGGCACGGCGCAGCAGCCCCGGCTCTTCGTCGGAATGATCCTCATCCTCATCTTTGCGGAGGTCCTCGGGTTATACGGGCTCATCGTGGCCCTCATCATGTACTCTCGCGGCTGAGTACAACGCCCCCTTTTTGTTCCTCCCACCCCCTTTTCCCCACCTTACACACCCGTTTATTATTTTTTATGTGCCCCCACCCCCACCTCATCGGAAATGAAGCGCGAAAGGAAACAAACGTTCTGTTGCCTCGGGAATTCTCCCCGCTCCCTTGTTCTTTTCATCCGCGAATATGTTTGAATGTTGCGCGCTGTATGTTGGCACAGTTTGTATTTATTCCCCCTCCTATTTTTTTTTTTTTTTTCTCAATTGCAACTTGTTTTGCTACTACCCCCGTACTACCTGGGTGTTGAATGCCCACGTTTTTCTTCCTCATTTAAGAGTTTGTGTTCTGCAAGAAGTTTTTAGGCCTGTGTCGACAAAGCCCCATTCGCACGTCGTTTGTGTTGGCTTCAGTCTCTAGAGCCCCTTCCGCAGTTGCCTCCAAAAGATAGCACTGCTTAGATGCTCAAGGTAATCTTGACACCGTTTTGGGGACAGCTGGTTGGATGTATTTGAGTTGTTCGAGCAGCGTTGAACGGATCGTGCATACAGAGAGAGAGCAACACTTGGCCAAAGGAAGGAGACATTCCAAAGAGAAGGCATGCCTAGTCTGATGGTCCTCCTTTGGGCATCACCTATTCGAACTTACTCGCACTGTTGTCGGTTTCAAATGCTAGATTCAGTTTTGTTTTTGTTGCAATGCGAAAGGAATGAGGGAGTAGTTGGGAGATTAGTTTCTGCTGCAAATTAGTGAATGGTTGTTAAGCCGTTACTAGAGATGTTTATTAAACAAGATGCCCAGATGTCGTTGCGCGACTGAGAGCCCTTTTGCTCTCTGGACCGGGAGACTGAAAAAATAAAGCTGAGCAAGCACATTTGTCTGCCTTTTTCCATGTGAATCATATCTATCCCTGACCTACAGCCTTTTCTGTTCGTTTAGCTTGACCAGAGCGTACGTGCTGGGCCTGTCGGCCAACAGACGTTCAAAGGCCATAGTCTGGCATCTTGCTGGATCCGGCGTTCCCGCTCCCCCTCGGTCTAGGCACATCCTTTCGGGATGTCATGTTACTGCCATCGAGACGCGAAGCTTTTGGGGATCTTGAAGTCTGTACTAGGAATGTTACAATGAAGGAAACAGTGACCTCTACTTACTATGCCTGCACGAACTCGTGTCTGCATGCCGCATTGTCTCAGTGGTCTCCTCTGGATGTTTCAGTGAGCAGGGGGAGGAGGGCAGTCTAAGAGCTCATCAGCTCCGCAGCTGGCCATGGGACTTGCTGTGGAGCTGCGACCCAGAGGCTACGCTTGCGCGGATGTTTAACCAGAAATATTGGATGTCTGCATTAGGGTTCTACTATGACCCATTTTCAATGTGTACATACGTCGGTAGTGTTGTGACACTGGTGAGTGTTTGTCTGTATGGTGTGTCGACGCCGGGTACTCCCTTCTACTTCATGTTATCCTGGCACGCTAGCTACGTATCTAGGGCACACGATTGCAGATACACAAGACTCCAAGAGTTTTTTTTTTTCCTTTCCCCAATTTCTTGTATGTTCGAAAAATGTATACAGACAGTGCTACATTGTGAATATGGTAAGAACCAGAAAGACAGGCTTGTTTCCCCTGTAATATAGTGGTGATGTATGCGTATGTATGTATATATTGTGTGTATATATGCATATACATACATGTTCATGTGGTTACTTTTTTTTTGGTTTTTTTTCCAAGAATAAAGGTTTTTTTTTTGTTCTGCTCAGAATTTGTTGGTTGAAGTGTATTTCAGCTGCCTCCCAAGACACGAGGTCCACAATGCACAAACAAAATAATGGAGGCGTGGCGACGCTAAAGTTTTCGCCCATACCGGAGGTGTCGACAATCAAGACGGCAGAAGAGGAGACTAGAGAGCTACAGCGTGCGGTGACGTTAGAAGGGGGGGGGGGGGGGGGGGTAGGGTTTGAAGCCAGAGTTGCGCGTCCACCCCGTAACGCCGTCTTTCCTGCACAGCACGTTGATCCTGCTCCTCACATGACTGAATTTGGCGAATAATGGTGCCGCGCGTTCAAAGCAGGGGAACGTACACCGGGGCGCGTGCAACGTCTACTTTCCTGCATGGCATTTGATGCCGGGGGCGGCTGCAGGAATTTCCTGAAAAGGGGGGGGGGGTCAGGTGTTGGTCAGCATACCATGTGTTTAGGAACCCCTTCTCCTTCGTTTCACGCCCTAAATTTTACACATGCAGAAATCAAGAGGGGGGTCAAGACCATATAAACCCCCCCCCCCCCCCCCCTCTCTCTCTCTAATCGGCCATGTTCGATCCGGCTCCTCGCGTGATCGGATCTCGAGCGGCGCGGCGGCACGTGGAAAAACCGTGCATCCCGAAACGTGTTAAATAAATAAAGACAATGAAAAGTTGCTCTCACCTCTAATTGTAGTCGGTTGTTCCGTCAACCCCGAAGCAAGTCGAACAGCTCGATAGAACGTGTCCGCCTGGCTATGGCTTGCTACATAAGATGCGCAAACATTGAATAAACTGACTTTCTACATCTGTGGAGATTAGTACCGCGTAATTAGGCAAAAATTTCCGAAAGCTTTAGGACAACACGGGGGAACAGACAACACACAATCTCATTTGCCAAGTGAAATATGGTCGTTGCCAGATTAATCATTATTCTTACAAAAGAGTTTCTAAAATCGTTGTAAACCACGCACTTCGCTGCACTCTGTCCACTTCATACGCTCAAATCACTTTTGCAGACGTTTAAAGTTTAATGTTTTCGCGCCGCGGTGTGGGCACAGATGACTCATCGCAATCACGTGATCACGTCGTCTGCTTCGAGCATGCTTCGAGGGCTTCGAGATGCTCAGCAATTTTTTAAACGGTGAAGTGAGACGTCACACAAAGCAGAAAATTCGATTGAATATTCAACTTAGCCTTTTCTTGTAAATTCCAAACATACTGCAGCGTTCTTTAAAAGAAAGCTTGCGGTATGTTTTATGAGTCAATAAAAGAACTGCTGTCCCTTTTAACAATTAGGCGGCGTCTTGCGCCATCTAGCTGGTGCCTTTAATCTTAATTTACGCGGTCGTGGCGCCACCCAGGAACGCAAAGCAAAAACACTCCCACGTCCCGCGTCGCCATCTGGTGCACGGGCTGCCTACCACGAAGCTTGATCTCGTTTTTCTTTTCATTGCGGCGGACGGATTTCAAGTTTTGCTGGCTAGCTTGTTTGCGAAACCCCCAAAGGGGGCCAGCCCGTTTCCGCAAAGTCTCCCGTCGGAAGTCTCGCCGCCGCCGCGTCCAAGTCCAACCAGTCCAACTTCGCGACGCCGCCGCTGACGGAGAAGATCCTCCAAGAATCTCCCTACGCCGTTCTTCGCTCGCGCCCCCACTCCTCACCGAAAAGTTCGACATCGTCGGAGCGTTCGTGTCTGTGCGTGCGTGTGTGTCTGTGTGTGGTGCAAAGACAAAACAAGTCCACCGCAAAAAGAAAGAAAAAGAAGCATCAACAACATGGCTGTTGTACCGTCCCGTCCGCGGCGGAGGTGCCGAGGAGGTCAGAGCAAAGATGCTCCTTTGTGATTTGGGCCGTCGGGGAGCGTCTTCGAGCGGATCTCCAGTGAACGATGCACCACATCGCCGACCACTCCGCTCGCCGTAGCCGTGGATTACTCGGAATGTCGCGGCGACGCAAAACGCGGTGAACGTAAGCGCGTGAGCCAAGGCACGCCACACCAAAACCACCTTCTCGCCACCGTCAAGCGACGTGGGACGCTCCGACCAACTGGGACAGAAGCGCTCTTCTTCGGCGCTCCGTAGACTCAGACCCCCAGCTTCCGAACACGCACCAGCCACTTTTCAAAACCCAGCTAATCAACAACAACGACAAGAAAAATATATATGCTGACGATTGTGGCGAACTGCCTTGATCTCCGCGCCGAACAGATGATGCCCGATTCAGACGGCTCGGTTTCGTCGTCGCACTTGTTGATGTACCTTGAAGTGCCGACTTGTTAGAGAAGTGTTGAGGGGGTAGGGTGTTTTCGCCGTTTTCATGATGAGGGGGGACGTTTTGCCGCCCAAGCGCCAGGCGGTCGTGGATCGTCTACGGCGACGGATCGAGTTGTACCGAAGGCACCACAGCGCTACGCTTCCGCGGTACGATGACTCTGCCAACGATGTGTACGAGGAGCAGCGGCAAGAGACGCTCATGCTCAAGCAGCGGTACCTCGAGTCGAAGGCCAAGAAGGCCAAGAAGAACGAGCACAAGGCGCTCAAGGAGAGCGCCTCCTCCGGTGCGGCGGGTTCCTCGTCCACGGACTCGCAGAAGAACATGCTTCTGGTAAGCTCATTCTTCCTGGGTTTCTGTTGACCCGCCACTGTCGGTGCCCGTCGTTTCGAGGTCCGGAGATAAAGTAGTAGTCCATATAAATTCCGTTTAAACTCATAGTACGATCTCAGACTTTTTGCGGTGCCACGACTCTCTTGAACCGAAGTAAATGATACTAAAAATTATTAAGCGCAAAAAACCTCGCGAACATAGCAAAAAAGAAAAAGGTCCATGCTCGAATTAAGCGATAACATGCCTTTAGCTCATACTGTTTCCAGGTGCCTTTGCTACACAACAGAAGCACATCATGCTCATAGTATTCACTCATCAGGCTGAACGAATTGTGCTTAAGCGTGTTACTTTTTACACACCATTATGCTGCTTGCGTTTCTCCATTTGGCCATCAGACTGAACAGAATGCACTTAAGCTCCCTACTTGTCAGGAACCCACTGCTCTCTTTTTGCACAAATATTAACCAGTCAGTATTTCCCCATGCTTCCCCACTAACACTGTTTCCATGGCTGTTGCAGAAAATGAACAAAAGATCTGCTGGAAGTCTGGAACAGTCCATGGACCAGTCTACAGAGGCTGGGCAGCCCGACGACAAAGACCAGCGGCCCTGTAAGATGCCCCGGAACAACAGCAACGCTCCAGACCAGTCTGGGATTCAGCAGCTCAGCATGGAGCCCCAGCAGATCCAGAACATCCCCAGTTTTGAATGCATAAAGCAGCAGTCTTCCAGTCAAGCTGTGCCCACAACCCCAAAGTCTCCAGGTGCACCTGGAACAAACCATGCATCTATTCCGGCACTCCGCATCATCAAGAAGGAGAACGACGGGTTTTGCGGCGGAAATCATTCGTGCGCTCGGAACCAGGACGTCGCGATTGCGGCGGCAACGAACCAACCGGATTCTTCTGATGTTGGGGAAAAGTTTCTGGACGTCTTTCCGAACCTCGGGCTTCCCGAGGACCCATCCAAGGTGTGGGTGGACAATCCCGAGATACTGCGGCACCTCATCGACGACATCACCAATCCGTCGGACCTGATGACGGACTTCAACTTCAGTTATGGCATGGAGAATGTGAAAGACAGTGTGCTGGAACCGTGCAAGAGCGAAAACGAAGTTCACGCTTCGTCCGGCGACAAGAAAAGTGGTAGGCAGACGTCGTTTGTGGTGAGCGAGTCTTTCCCCGCGAGCTCTTCTCAACAGATGCTCGGCTCGGCATTTGAACAGAGGGTTGCGACCACAGCCGACTCTCATGTCGGTGGCTCGGCTTCGCGACTGCTGCCCCAGCAGAACTATCCCACGGGCAACTCGAGGGCACCTGGCCAGTTCTCCAACTCCGGCCTCAACAGCCTCTCGGACTTCAAGCTGTCGGAGCCAAGTCCGGCAGCACAAACTCTCAAGCAGATGGCCGAACAGCATCAGCAGCACAAGCAGAACCACGACAAACACTCCATCGGACTCCCACCCATGAATCCTCGGGGTGGAAGCTTCGCGCCTGGCGACAACTTCGAGGCTACGCTCGGATCCGTGAGAAACGTAGTCTTCAGTACGGCCAACACCTCCCTCCATCCAATCAAAGCCATGCAGACGTCGAATATGTTCCACAGTGTCGGTTACGGAGGACAAACTATGACGACCACGACAATCCAGTCCAACATGCGCACAGAAATTAGGCCTATGAACTCAATGACAGGAGTGCCTTTTGGTAAACTCAACGGCAGTAACCACAACACGTACGCAGTGTCGAACAGTGTAGTGCACAACGTTGCTCAGATGCCATCACGCATGCCGGAGCAGCAGAAGTGTGCTCCAGCCAAGATGGGGCAGTACTCCAGTGCTATGGATGAAAAGACAGCGTTCATGAATAATTTCAAGGCGAGCCTCGCTCACTTCAATGAGATGAAAGCTGCTCCGTCGCCGCCTCTGCCGCCGTTGGTCAAGGGCCCGCCCCAGTTCACCAAGCGCATGTCCCCGTCACCAATGGGCCAGCAGGCCCAGATGATGATGGGACAGTCGGGCCATGCACAGCATTCGGTAAGTTAGTCCACGATCGTTTGTGGTTTGCAGGATACACGTGAGCCTCCCACTTTGGTGCTGGCATACACTAAATGCAAATTAATTTGAGCTTTTTCTCCCGTCTGCAGGCAAACCCAATGCAGCAACAGCAACGGACAGCCAAGGAAATGAAGGACATTTCGTCCCTCAACATCTCGTCGAATCCTTCGTACGCCGAAGCTCTCGCCTATTCGAGCGGCGGTGGCAGCACCAACAGTGCAAACATCCGTGGCGTGACCCGGACCGGCATTGGATCTCCGCAGTTCCAGCCGCAACCGCAGCAACAGACGCTCCAGCACACGGACCAAACCACGCAAAACTTCCGGACTCAGTACTTGGATCATTCCCGTCCACCGTGCTCGTCACCGGCAGACCACCACCATCACTTTGTGCAGGGCAAGACGTCTGTGGCTCCGTCGCACCACCTCCAGCATTACGGCAACCGCCCGCCCAATCCAATAGCCATGACGCAGCAGCAACACACGGCGGCCGATACCGCCCACAAGCAGACGCAACAGGTCGCCGTTTCCGTCGTGGGCGGCCAGCTTGCAAGCGGGCAACTCGTAAACCGCCAGGGCGTGCCGCAGTACCTTCACCGTCTTGGACACAATGTGCAACAGGCAACCCTGAGCAGTCCGCCGAACCAGTCCCACTTCGAACCTGCCAACCAAATCAACTTCACCGCCCCAAAGATGGCTGCCGTCGCCAGGGGCCAGACGCCGCTGCAGACTGCAGGAATAGTGCCGAGACACCCCTCCGTGTCTGCAGCCTCACTAGCCGCACACCACAAGTTGGTGTACACCAACGCGGCGACCCGCCCCCAGCGCGTCGTCAGCATCTCGACGCCGCAGCGGGATTGGCAGCGAATGATGGCGCACAACCACGGGATGCAGCAGCAGCAGCAGGTGTGCTTCCAGCCACAGACCTCGCAGCTTCAGCAGACAAGGTCCGTCTTCAGTGGCGTCGGGCAGCAGCAGCAGCAGTCGATGCAGCAGGTAATGTCGTCGAGTTTCGCGGCGGCCACGCTGCCTCCGCTTCCGCAGCTGCAGATTCCAGCGTCGCGGAGCGGCAGCGTGGCACAGCCAGGCAACTTCTCGCCTTCCCTCACCTCGAGCATCTCGGACTTCAACCTCGAGTTCCTGGAGAGCATTGAAAACAGCGACTCGGACTTGCTGAACTTTGATCCCGTCAACTCCAACTTTGGCATCCTCGACGATGTGCTGGGCGGGAAGTGAGCCGAGTGTGACGCTGTACACATTGTTCTCATGTTTAAGCAAATGCACACTTCTCACACACACATCAATCTTTTGTACACAGCGGAAGGATGTTTTTTTTAAAAAGAAACTCATTCCACATATCCACTACTGCGGTCGCACGCAACGGCGCAACACGTTGCGATACAGTCGTCGCCTGTGTTCATGCCACCACATTTTCGGGGGGCTGTTGCGGATTTTTAACGCGTGTATATGGACTGCCGTTTTGTTCTCTGCGCTCTGGGTTTTTTTAAACACACTTTGAAAGGAACAAGAATTGCTTGTAAATACCGGGTTTTTAATGTAGTATACATATACATAAATATATATACCAGTGTTTTTGTTTTTATACATTGGAAACAAAAAAAAAAGTTGTTGCCAAATCTTGTAAAATCTATATAGCCTTTACAAACTGCGACATATATGCAATTTACAGAATAAAACGTGAGGACTGCCTTACTTCTTTTTCTAATGAAATGACCACACGTGTCTTTGTTCATTCTCGTGCGCTTTGCCGTAAGGTGCAACATTTCTCCACAATCAAGGCTCAATGTTCCACAAAAATTGTGAGCTTCGTTTTTATTTTTAAACAACATTAAAACACTGTACACCAGGGGTATTTACAGACAAGTGCATTTTCCCTCGTAGCCCAGAAACAAACAAAAAATGCTGTACAGGCTCGGGTTTACCTTCTTTTGCAAAAGGCAGTTACGGATGGTTCGTAAAATACAAGCTAACAAATGATCCAATAATAAAAAAAAATTTGAATGAGAGTGATGCTGGACGCTCTCTCAAAGCAAACCCAGCTTGCTAAAATGTTCCCCCTAATGAATCCGAACCAGACTATCCAGCCTTTGAGATTGGCGTTTTCTCCCAACTTAAAAGCTATTCGAGTAGCGTTCGTCTGTTCCTCAATTCACAGCCGCCTCCTGTCGACTGGTCGGTAAAATGAAAAGAATGATGCGCGGCGAAGTATGTACACTAAGAACGACGATGTTCACTTATCTTACAGGCGAATCTACGCGATGCGCGTCACGCGCAGTTAGCTTTCCTTCCCACACTTTGGTCGGAACCGCATCGAGTACCGGCTCCCATTCTCTTTCACCTCCGACTTGCTCCCCCAGTCCGCGGGCGGGGCCGCCGTTGGACCCCCTGATGACGCCCCGAAGTCCAACTCGCGGTTCCACCGCTCCGCGTGGCCGGCCCCGTCACGGTGCAAGACCGGCCGCAGGGATGACAGGTGCGACCTCTCCCACGCTGCCTCCCCCCTCCGTGAGTGACGCAGCTGCCCCCTGGTGTAGCAGTCGCTCCCCGCGGCGTAGCAGTGGCTCGGCACTTCGTGGAGCGGCGAAACCGGGGAGCTTCCGCGCCGGTCCTGTACAAACACCCCGTTGGGTGTCCTCGCCTTCTTCGGGATGCGGTAGCCGCCCAGAGGTGAAGAGCGCGGCGGTGGTGGCAGCGGCGACACTGGCTCGACGCGCAACACTCCCTTCAAAACGTCTTCCCGGTGATCCACCCTCTTCTTGGGCGCATTCTCGTCCGTTCCCGGACGTTTCTCCGCGTTGGATCCCTTGGGGTCCGTCTGCTCGGAAACGACACGTTCCCGCGGCGTGGGCTCTTCCGGTTTGTGGGACGAACTCCGCGTGCAGCGCATTGTGTCGCCGTGTTCCTCGACGAGTCGAGGCGGCTGCGGCGGTGGCTCGGGCCGCTTGGGCTGGTGGTGGTTGTTTCTCGTCCTCCCCGTCAGGTTCTCAATCCTGTTCCTAAACCTCCGACCCGTGCTCTCCTCCGGCTTTTTCTCCTCCGAAGGTTCCAACTCCGCGGCGTCGGACGGCACTGTTTTCGGCGAGTCCGTCGCTTCCTCCTTCACTTCCGCGCTCGGCGTCTGCAACCCGACCTCTCCGTTGCGGAGACACCTTGTTGTAGGCAGGGTGGGCTTCGCAGCTTCAGCCACTCCCGCCGCTTCGGCTTCGGCTTCCAGCTTCACCACCTCCGCGGTGCCTTCGTTGGCGAGGCCCTCGGTCAGCATTGCGGAGAGCCTGCGCGACCTCAACCCGTTGACGTATTGCTTCGCGTACGGGTTCGGAAGCCGCGTGGGCGTCGCATTCAGCGACTTTCGGACCTGTCCGTAGAGGTCGGCGACCTCTCGCCCCTCGAGCGCGTCCAGGAGAAGCCGCAGGCACGGCTTGGGGCCCGTCGGGTCATTAGAGTTCAGGCGGTCGTAGAGGTGCTCGCTCTGTCCCGCAAGCACCACGGCTTCCCGCTCCCGGTCGGAGAGCTTGAGCCCCGGCTGCATGACCACCCGGACCTGCTGCTCGAAGATGTCCTCTTTGATCTTGAGGAAGGACTTGGCAATCTTCTCACGGCGCGTCACCATGTAGCACAGGTTGCGTACCTGGAAGAGACGTGGTAATGTGGCGAGGACGACCTCCAGATAGCACGCAGAAAGTCTGCGGTACTGGTGGTGGGTGTGGGGGAAGGTTAGGGGTTGTGTCGTATGCTTGCTGCACGGCAAAGTCAATGTCGTTTCGATCTAATCAAATTATCCAATCGGCGTGCACAGCTTTCGGTGCAGCGAAGTGCTCGCGCAGTGCTTGTCGCAATTACGAGCTGATTTGGTAGTTCCGTAATGTGATCACAACTTTGCCTTATGGCGGCAGGAGTATCGAACTGCGAATGCTCAAAAGTGTGCTTTAGTTCAGAAAATAGTATGACCTATTGCATGTAGCGCAACCCGAAATGCCACCTATCGGTAACTTGGAATTAATGCCACAAGAAGTCCCAAGTCAATGCGGGAATGCACGGAAAGCTTGAAGAGAACAACCTTTTCCTGCGTTAGCTGGACAATGTATGGAATGTAGAGCCTTATAAAAGCATTCCATTACATTACATTGTAGGCTTTGTACAGCTGCAATGTCATATTACAATGTAGAAGTGACCTCAAAGATGCCATTCGCATAAACAGAAATCAATCTACTGCGCTCCTTTTCTGTGGATCTGTGTGTCCTATGGTTCAAATGTAGTTGCAATGCAAGCTTCCCCTTACAAACATTTCACAGGTATCCAATGTGGTGTACACTTTTCTATGTGCAAGAGGGAAACAACATCTTGTATTCAAGCAGGAAATCGTAACAAGTTTGCGTCATACCACTTGATCACTTTCAGAAAAGACACAAGCAAATCAACTCTGAAAGCCCCTTCGGATGGAGGTAGTGAAACGTTTCTTTAGCAGTAATGTACAGAAAGGGCTAAACCCACTTCAAATAAATTTAAAAAAAAATCAGTTTTCCATGTTCAGAGACTGCACCTTGCAACGAAGTTGTGGGTAGGTGGTGCATTCGTTTTGTGAAAATATTAAGGAGCAAATTTGTCTCAATTAGGTTAAAAATGTGAAACATAATTCTCCTATGGGCCAAGATGGAGTTGGGCCTTTTTCATGATAATCTGGCTGTGGCCCATTGGGATGAACAAAATCAGTGTAGGCAATCATTCTAGCATTGATATCATTCCCGTTTTGTCCAAAAAAATGCCTCTAGTGGCCTACAGTGGTTTTTCACTTTTACTTAAAAACTTTGCTATGTGCTAAAGAAAAATCTTGGTTTTTAGTACTAACTTTTGATCAAGATAAGTGTTTACTTCAATATTTTCGTAAGACAAATGCACCACTGAGCATGGTGTTAGATACACATAGGTGTAGGCACCACTTGCATGGCAGCTGCCAGAGTCCTCTGCTCGCCTCAGTTGCTAGCTGTGCCACCAGACGACTCCTCGACGTGCAGCTAAAGGCAGCCTGTCGCAGACCCAATTTCCCTCGCTCCTCTATGGGAGACGTGCTCGTTTTAAGGGTTGCTTTCAGGGTGCGACACGTCAAGCAGAACTCGGTATATGTGCTATGTGAGTTGCCTACACACTGTTTTGTCACTGACCCGTTTCGTGCCTCGACAGCAGCAACAGTTTTATGAACACGTTGCAAGCGAAGAGATCTCTACCAACGTGTTCAAGCCAGCGTCTGTCAAGGTCACAGCAAAGGCTTCAAGTGGAAAGAGTGCGCACCCGGGTGCCTTGGGAATGAGGCACTTTTTGTTGTTTTGTTTCTTTTTTTCCTCAGTTGAGTTGTCTGGAGAGCGGAGGCGCTGTCGGCAGAGGCTACTCAGGCGCTCCAATGCAGAGCACAAGTTCGTCTGCTTCTTGCACAGGGGCTGTGATGATGTCAGGATGCCAAGCTCTTATTGGCCGATCGAAGAAAATAGTGGGTAAACCTCAAAGCATCTAGCAATGCGGTCTACCCACTATCCCTGCAATCAAAGCCAATCGGAACTTGCGTCATTCTGACGTCACTGCAACACCTGCGCAAGAAGCAGATGACTTGCTCTGCACACAGGATTTTAACTAGTGGATCACTTCACAGCGTTTGCCGTGCTGTGTCCTCACACCTACATATACCATACACTGCAACCACCGAGCCACTTTTGAGGTAAATTACAATGTCACCGATTTTAAAAAATCATCAGCTGGATTAGAACTGCTTGACCCTCCCCCCGTGTTCAAGCACACAAGCAAACGAGAACCGACATGCAAATCGAGTAGCCAAGCCAAGAACAGGTGGAAAGCAGCATGCAGAGGCAGCTTTGAGTGCAACAGCAGGCAAGGCTACGTCATAATTTTCAGGGTAACACCAACTGTAGTCACAGATAACTTTAGAATGACAGTCCTCTAGCTTTCTAGTCTCCAGCCTCTAACATGAGGCTTCTACCTCCAATAAAGTACCGAAGCCGAGAGAATGCCGTAGCTAAGTTTTTTCCGGAGATAAATTTAGAAGCCCGAGGCGTGGAGATTGCCAAGGTTTCGTTATGGTACTTTGCACGGCCGTCAATTTCACGCCGAAGCATGAAGGTAGTACTGATTTTTCTACTTATTTTATGAAAGGTTTACGACATGTACACAGGTTATTAAAAATTCTCAAAAAGATTTCTATGCATAAGAAACATGTCAAACAAGCATGTTTTTTGGTCGCGCACCAGTCACCTAGCTGTGTTTGGAGATTTGTGTTTGTCCTTTGTCCCTCTTTGTTCCCCTTCTCCAGGGATTATTTTCATCATACATTCCCAAATTATTTTACCAACACACATAAAACGAAGCAAAATATATCAAAATGTTAACTTTGAAATGTATTTTATGAATATAAGAAAAATATGCCTAGCCATGCAATAGTGCGGCTCATTTCCCTAAATGTTACAAAATTTAACGTCAATACTTAAAAAAAATTATTTTAATTTTTTTTAAACTCTCCTTTATCGTTTACAGCAACTTCAACTAACTTTGATGGCAAAACATTGAGTAACATGCTACTTTTGAAAGAAAAAAACAACAAACCTTGACTCAAATTGAGCAAGCTTGCCTTCGTTACAGGCCCTTTGCTGCGTGACGTCGGCTCCAAAGAGACATGTTGTAGAACCAACGAAGGCTGTGCAACAGTGCTGCTACATCATAGGATGTAAAAATTTATGGTGACCCTAGTTTTAGCTTTATATTCAGGTTTCCTTGCGTTGCCTTCCAAGAACATGCTCCCCCCCCCCCCCCCCTATATCCTTCCACAGGCCATTAGCTCACGGAGGACTGTCGTTAAACGCCACTGCTAGCGGCAGTTGAGAACTGCATGCACAACGCATTACCGTGTATCCAAAGGGCCGCGCACGACAAAAATCCATCACCGCGAAAGCAAGGCGAGGGAAGTAGTATTGGAGGGTCGGCATCTTGGTGTTCACCTTAGCGTGGCGACAAACAGACGAGTGTAACCTTTTCAAGTATATGCATACCCAATGAAAAACAGATAGAACTCGATAACCAGAAGGGTTTTGTTGTTGGATTTTTACCATGTCAGTTGATACAGTGAAGGTCTCGATCATATTTTATATATATCTGTGATATATATACTATGTGAAAGTCATGTCCTTGGGAGAAACACTCAGCTGTATACCTACCGTAAAATACTGAGCAAGCGCCCCCTTCAAATTTAAATATTATCTAACCAAAATAGGGAGGGGTCCCTTACTCGGCTCGGAAATGACATTCAAGATGGCGGCCGAAAAATATTAAATTTTCCTGAAATGGGAGGGGGCCATGGTCGGTACTGTACGGTATATGTTAAGCAGGGCATTTGACGAAACGCGGGCCAAGTCGTTTCTGTGAAAAGTATGCATCACACAGAAAAAGGGTTGATTAATATTGTTTCCCGCCAAAGGGGGAATTTAGGAAAAAACCAATAATAAGCGTGATATAATTAGGTTAATTACTTTTAGTAATTAAATTTATAATTAACAAATTTAGAGGTACCATTTCATTTACAAACATGGTGGGCATAAATGAAAACTATTAATCGACACATATTATAGATATATAAGGCATGCGCAGCCTTTTACGGCGCTTCGTAAGCTAGCTCAATTTGGACGTGTCTCAAAATGGACACGTCCAAATGGGCGGGGGGTGGGGTGGGGTTTAGGAGGCAATGCAAGGACATACAAATATAAGGCTAAACTAGAGACACCATAAATTTCTACACCCTACGATAGACCAGCACCGCTGTAGTAGAGCCTTTGTCGATTCTAGAAAATGTCTCTTTGGAGTCAATGTCTTGTGGCAAAGCCCCTATAACAAAGATAAGCTAGCTCAATTTGAGTTAAAGGGAAGCTACGGAGGTTCTTGAAAAAAAAAGAGAAGTGAATTCCAGTGTATTTCTACCCCGTGAACCGGAATACCTAAACCATTTGCTGAGCAAATATTGTTTTAAACTAAACGCGAGAAAAGGCGAAAGAAAGTTGCTGTACGTGACGTCATCAACGGATCTTTTGGCTGCCTAAGGCTAGGGAGGCGGGGCTTCGGCCCTATTCTGAAGTGCATCGCATTGAGACATAATTCTGATATATGTTATTCTAAAGGCCAAATGTATGCAATTCAGGTGTTTTTTCTCGAATGCAGAAGGTGCCCCATCTTTACTTTAAGGTTTGCTGTTGTTTTTGTTACTCAATGTTTTGCCATCACAAGTTAGTTCAAGTCACAGTAAATGGTCAAAAAGAGTTTAAAGGGAATAAAAAGTGGAGTTATTTTAAATACTGAACTACACTAGAGGCGAAGCATATTTTTCTTATATATTTGTAAAATTCATTTAAAGATAATCATTTTAATATATTTTGCATCGTATTATATGAAGTAGTTCGATGGTAAATAATTTGTGAATCTGTCTAAACTTATTTATTTGATGTGTTTCATACATTTATTTTGCATAGAAATTTTTTATTGCAATTTTTATTATACTGTGTATGTTTCATAAAATAAAATAAATTATTACTAGGTAAGTCCATGCGTTGGTGTGAAATTGAAGGCCGTGCAGAGTACCATAGCAAAACCTTGCCAACCTCCATGCCTTGAGCTTCGGAATCCTATATCTCCAGAAAAAATTTAGCTACAGTGTTCGCACTAAGATCTCCGTTCCTCCCAAGAAGATGGCTTTGACATACATTTTTTTACAAATATATTTAAAAAAATAACATAAGCCGGACCATCACTGCATGATCCGACATGGAAACACCCAGTAGACAACGGGAACATAATGCCCGAAAGGAGAGAAACACGTTTTTGTGCATGCATGTCATAATTTGCCCCCGAGCTTCGAGTATTTGCCTTGGTTTTGGCCCAACAACCGGTTTAGCATAGCCAAGCCGTTTACCCCTATTTTGTGAAGTCCCTGCAACTGTCCGATTTTCACAAAAACACCCCAAAAAAAAAACAGACCAAACATTGCAGAAAATCATTGCAGCAGTTCAGACAAACAGTGCAAAACAGGGAGGGAGCGTGGTGTAGAAGCAACCGAATAGAGGCAGGCAACGTATAGACTCAATTTATTGCAGCAGACAGAAAAGCAGGAGAGATGCAAGCAAGAGAAAGAGAGGAAAACTCCCAAAGCCAGCTGGCACTGAACTGTCGCACAAAACCTAGCAATTTAGGCACAGACTAATAGGGCCCCAGTCGCCTTTCGCTGAAAACTGCACCTGTGCCGCGGTAGAGGAATTTAGGTGGATAGGTAGATAGATAGGGGGAGCAGCATGCTTGCGGCATGCAGCGTGGACGGTTGCTCAGAGGCAGCGGTGCTCTACCCTTTCGAGGTCCTGCCTCAGGTGGACAAACATCTTGACGCGCGAGTACAGGCTGTTCTCCTCCAGCTTGTCCAGCCGGTCCGTCTCTTCCTTCAGCGGCGTCAGCAGCGGCTTGTCGTGGTTCGCCTGCAACGTGGAGGGACACAACCCATGCTCGGAAAGGTTGGACGATGCTTCCAAAGCTCTTGCGCTGTTCTGCAAACTGACAATTTAACAATGCAGTGCAAACGAGATGCGATTGGTAGTTCAAAACAATGACCGGAATTGACCCTTTTCAAAATTCAGTGCCATCTCGTGGCTCCAACGGCAGTATCCCTTGCGACAAACTAATGGCAGTCATGAAACTGTATTTTAACCGGCACCGTCACTTTCGCACGTCAATGGCAGATGAGAGTTGAGCCTCCGATCACCTCGTAATTCTTTCTCAATTTGTTTCAGTTTCAATGGTGTAAACGTAAGGGCTGGCCAGTACAAAGCAGTACAAAAAACCCCCTAACCCGATTAGACTTCCCCCAAATAAAGGCTTCAGAGTCGAACTTATGCCGAGAGTTTCATTGGACCACACTACAAATAAACACTTACGCGGCCATCGTATTTAATTTGTACGCAGATTGTACAGTCCTCAAGTATCCTCCGTTCGGTAGTGTCTAGAACTCCTTCCTTCGTCGGCCTCGAGAAGACTGCTATTAGTTTGGCACGGATGCCACACGCAGACGATGACGATGGCGACCAAAGTTGCCGCACTGCATTTCGAAGAGTCACCCATGCAAAGCCTGCCCAGCATCGCCACCCCTTGGGAGAGCACAAACCGACCTTGCGCTTGAGCTTCCAATAGTTGAAAACGAAGTCTACGACCACGGGATCTGCGGCCGTTGCCTCCGCCGTCTCCTTCGTGCTCACGTGCTTGTAGAACTCCGCCTCGATCGCCTGGATCCTGCAGGCATGGCGGGCATGTTACCTCTGTGCTTCTCACGTTTCGTGACAACTGATCGCGCCAACAAAGCCCGGGAGCGCAGAATGTGTTCCGCAAAATCTGCACTCTGGGCTGGCGCTAGTTTTAGTGCGAAAGCATTAAGGGGGGACATGGGCCTAAATTTTAAATTTCTTTGAAAAAATTCATTTTTTAATTTTGAGGTTTTCAGTTTTAGAAACTAATTATACACCCTTACACCAAATTTGATAACCATATGCCAAATAGTTATGTTGATATAAAATATTTTCAACACATTGTGAGGCAGTAACAAAGTAAAGGAGTTCAATGTTTGAATGCATTTTTCTCAGTTCCACTTTTTGCTGCAAATTTCATACGAAGGAATCTTTTGTTCGAAGGTGAAAGTATTCTGGTACCACAATCAAGATGTTTCTGAACTGAAATTTACTCAGGAATCGGGCTATCTACTTTATTTTGTTTTAGGTTGAAGTCCTCAGTGATAAAAAACTAAGTTTTCAAAAATTGACAGAGGACAGATATGCATCTCATAGTTTCAGGTAATAACTCTTCCTGAAATATTTACATTTAAGTTATTAAAACTAGATAGCCCGAGGTCCCATATCCCCCACTTTATATTCAAGCAGTCAAAATGATGCTTAATAATTTGATTTGCAAATCATAGATTTCTTAATGAAAAGTGACACATTGTCTTATGCAGGTATGTAAATTTGTCTTAGAGAGCTGAAAGTTTGCACAGTACACCTACATCTGAAGCTAAATCTCCCCTGCAAATTTCATTCCGATCACTTGAGTAGTTCGAAAGTTTGACCTCTAGCCAGTGTCCCCCCTTAACTCTCCCATGGAGCGAAGCCGGCTTGTCTGTAACTACCTGTAGCAAAAAAAAATGGCACCCACAAGCGGAATTTTCATTGGCTGCGACGCGTCATATCAGATGCTTCGTCACGGGAGCCGGCCAGACGGCCAAAGTCAAAGCGGACACCCCTCAGAAACACAACACAAAGAAAAGCACAGCAATGCAGATGCATCATAGCAGAAGCTGTGGAGCCAGAGGGGGCGCCGCACCTGCGCAGTGGCAGAGAGTGATGTCACTGCTGGCACGCCGTGTGCAAAAGGAAGACGTGGAGCACTGCTTGTGGGGATGTGCTGCATGTAAGAGTGCCTTTTGCATTCCTACGTAGCCTTAAAAGGGCACTGACACCCCAAAGATAGTATTACTGTTTTTTTGTTGTCTAAAACAATGCAAGTTGTAATCACAGACACGCAAAAAAATACTGCAACAGAAAAACTTTTTCACACGCGGACATGCCTTTTTATTTTTGCCACTCTTTTCTTCCGCTCCTCACCTCCTCGCTTTTTTTTATTCGTGACATCAGATATTATGAAATTTAAAAGCTTTGTAAGCGACATTTCTATAACATTTAATAACGGCATTCGTAAAACACGTCTTTTAACGCAAATGCGAACACACCACGGCTTTTCTTTATGAAAAACCAAAAATCAGAGTCTGAAGTTATGCCGCCTCGAGGCTTTTTATCCTCCCTCGGAAAACATGGCTGCACTCGACGCAAGTAGCAGAGGATGATCGGTGAGTCGGAGAATCAGACGAAGTTGTCTTTTTTAGCTGCCCGACAACCTTTCAGACTTCGAAAAGGAAATCGTCAAACGGTCAAAACAACTGGGTTTGGTGTCTGTGTATCGTAGCTTCGGTTGTGACTTCACCGGGGCAGCCTTTCACGCAGAACAGGCGCGACGTGGCCCCTCACGTCGCTCACAAAAGTCCACTGCATATTCTTTTCGACCCCACACGGTTTCAAAATATTTGAGATCGCTGAAAGGGCCCTAGGAAACTCCAAACTCAAAAGTCGTCTGCTCGCAGTGATAGGCGGCAGACATAGTGGAGAGCGGTTGATTGCGGGACGCCGGCAAACAAGACACTTCGGGTGGCAGCGCCGCGGCGGTTCGGAGGCGCAAGAGAAAGTCGACTCGCAGGACGGCTCAATATTTGACGTCACTGCACTAGTGCGGATCGCGTGGGAATATCAAGTTTGGCATTTGTAAATTGTTTTTTTACTTCACAAATACTGAATTCCCAAATTTTAAATTTTGAGGGTGATGTCCAGGCATCGTTTTCAATCGTTTCAGATAATAAACAAAAATATAATTTTTACGTGTCAGTTAAGTGTTTTTTCTTTGCACACCAGAGGTGTCAGCCAGGTTGAGACCGCAAAAGACTGAGCCGCACGGGCGCTACGTTATGTGGCTCTTGTGCGACGAACAACTTCAATGAGGCGAGCGATCTCGAGGTACGACGTCACACTGCTCTCGCTGGCAAGTTTTTGCTGCGAGCCAAATCCTTCAGAGCAGAGGTGCTGCGCGGCCCAGTGGCTATGGCATCCCACTGTCGTGGCACCGACCCAAGCTCAATCCCCGCCGGGGCGTCTTTCTTTTGACGATTTTACGTAGGCCTTCATGAGCCCTACGTGCAGTCTTAATGCTGTGCAAGACTCCCGGTGTGTCGCTTGTTCGTGTTGCTCGTATCTGTCGATCGTCCGTGTCGATCGTTCAGGACGCTCATTCGTGACAATTTTCTTGTAGAAAAGACTCTTAAAACGCATTCTGTGTTAAAACCTACCCAGTGATGCTACTGCAAAATTGTGATCTGGGGCGATTTTTGGAGCACCCGAAAACGAATTTCGGAGCACTTTCGGTTCACCTAAAAATGGATCATTTTGGAGCACCTGAAAACAAATCTCGGAGCACTTTTGAAGCACCTTAAAATGGCTTACTTTAGAGCGTGTAAACCTATCCTGCTCGATGCACGGGCCTCAAAAATGGTCCCGAAGCGGCAAATGAGGGACGTAACAAAAGCCAGTGTGTCGTGCTGTTGGATGTCGCGTTCCTGACAGTAAGTCGCGGAAGTTCAGGCAATAAGTGCTGGCGAACGCGAGTGTCGCCGTTGTGGCCGTGTTCAAACTTCCAGCCACCGAAACTTCCGTGGATTGCCAAGCCGGAGAGTGACCTGCAGCGGGACGAGCAACTGCCGCATGTACCTACGCCACCGTGCCGACACAGCCAGGATCGTGCCAGGACACTTCGACAACGCCATTGGGCGGAAATCGACCAACCAGATTGAAGGACGAGGCAAACACCAGTCGGAGACGCGCACCAGACACACGAATGCCAAAGTGTGACATCGAGCCCCGGTTGGGCAGTGACACAACATTCAACAAAGTGGGAGCTAAGACGTTCTACATGTTGCATCAGACGACTCCGCCCGTTCCTAGAACTGGGAGTCTCACTTGGCCAGGCGAGCGCTGTCCTTTTCTTCGCTGGTCATCTCGATCTCCCTCCGGATTGGGGCGTGCTCGGATCCTCGGGTGGCCATCTTTCGGTTGTCCGGATCAGTAGAGTTGTCCGAGAGCGCCTCCTTGCGGTGCGTCTTCTTGCTGTGCTTCGGACAGAAAGACTGTGCAAAGAAAAACGGAGCCCAGGTGTTAGGAAACAATTGGGAACCTCAATGGTGGCTTTCTTGGGCAGAAAGCAAATGTTCTTGACACACAAGTGGCTACAATTCACTGCTAAAATGAAACGACGCCGAGGTCTCTTGTCTCGTGTTGAAACACAGTAAGGAGTAAAGGTAGCTTGCCACGGGGCAACGCAGCTCTCTTAGGACTCCAAAAAGGTTACCCTGTTTTACCAGATGCATCTTAGACACCATTCAGTAAATGATCGAACACACTGTCCAAGTACCGTATTTTCCGGTCTATAAGTCACGCCGTCGTAAACAACAGTTTTCACTTCAAGATGTCTTTGGACCACCAGAAAAGCGAGCAATCGGACGATGCTCTGCTGTTCCTCTCATCATTATTGTCGACACAGGTTACAGGGGAGCACCGGCAGAATTTCTATACTTACTGACTTGCCTCAAGACTGATTCGACACACTAATAGACACATCTGAAATAGTAACCCCAATCGTAAGTCAAAATAATTTTTGCATAGCTATTGAAGTTTTAAAGCTGGACTGAGATGCCGAGGCTCTACAGGTAACACTGAAGATGTGACGTCAGATGTTGTAAATGGGGCAATATGGGGATGGTACGGCTTGTTCCTGACAGATTATGGGGTGTTTGATGGTGTGAAATAAGCACTAATTAAATTCACGGCAGCACAAAACATGCACAAAATATTTTTTAGATAGCCCGCGCGACTTGCAAGTCATTCGGGCCCCGAGAGAATATAAATGAAATACGTTGGGCAGCTAAAGAAACTGCCGGACTCCCCCCTAAAGGGACACTGACAGGGTATTTATGCTCGCCAAGGGTTTTATTTGAACATGACCAACAAGAGCCCAACTACCCAGAACACACTTTGCGGCTCAAAATTCGTTTTCTTTCCGCCCGAAAACTGCCGGCCGAGAATTGGCCGGTTCCAGTCACACTCAATGTTTTCCATGATCACATGGCATTCAAACCACTACGCGTATCAAATTTTTCGCCCTAAAGTAGCCAGTCGAGAATTGACCGGTTCCAGTCGCACTTACTGTTTTCCGTGGTCACAATGCATTCAAACTACTACGTGTACCAAACATATTCAAGTCATGGGTCATCTAAGGCACACATTCCGTATTAAAAATAAAGAAGAATATGAACCCTATTTTTGTGGCCACTGAAAAGCTGCAGATATGTTGATCAGAGAAAAAATGTTGCACAGGTCACAGGAAGTACATGTACACATCATTCTCAATATGGTGATGGACCAGCGTTGCAATGGACATGGGGCCGCCACTTCGGAACTGTCGTCCGCGGTACCAACGGCCAATCGATCTTCAAATGCGGAACATTGAGCAAAAGGAATATAAGTTCGAAACAATCACACGATGAACGGTGCACGCAAATTCCTCATCGTCATCGTCTGCTTCACACACTGGAGAAGTAGAGAAAAAAAAAAAAAAAAAAGCGGCCGGGTGTAGTTACGTCACTTCCAGCCATGGGCTTCTGTGCTCATGTTTATCAGTTTTGAGCACTTGAGGTTCTTGGCTTTATAAAAAAAAATATATGTGACTGCAACAAAATACTTATTGGGTAATCTCCTGACACCATATTAAATTGCCTTTAAAAAAATAAAAAAACAACATTTCTGGAGAATGCCAGTGTCTCCTTTTATATCAAGCTTTGTATAACATGCAGTAAAAAAAAATTGGGCAAAACAAAAGATATGATTTATGCATTGGACAACACTTCAACTACCTATAACAAGGAGTCGGTCGAGCAACAGGCTGCCAAACAAACGGCCGGTGGCTCACCCTCAGCTTGACACCGTCCTCGGGGTTCTCATCAATGATGGCCTTCATTTCGAGGCTGTTCTCAAAGGCACAGGTCACATGGTACGCCCTCTTGCAGGCCTTCACCTGACGGCGGGGAAAAGCACACTCAAGGAGGGGAACAGAAAAGCCGCCTCTACCCCCCAATAACCATCCGTCTGCCAACTCCCGGTGAAATCGCTAAATGTACTCGAGTCACAAAACCAGAGAAGGCATGTTTCAGGTATCTCTCGAGATACACCACTTGTTTTTAAGACTCGTGGGTTAGCCTTTAGTTGGCAGACACGCCGTAGGTGGCGACAAGCTCATTCTTTGAATTACTGATACATAAAGTGAGCGGGCTTATCCCAAATCATGTAAAACGTTTAGCACTAAATAAGTCCGCTTTATCATCACAAATTAGGAATGCATGACGTTAGTGGTGCCACAATGCTCGAGCTTTGAACGTGCTTCTTTGTAATGTAACCAACGTCGGAAGGTAGGAACACCGAAGGATCGCGGGTGGACCGGCAGAAGGCACTGAGCTAGCGGAGACACTCACAGAACACTGGATGCAGGCTCCCATCCGCTCGCGGCAGAGGCAGCAGGTCAGGGCCCAACGGCTGGCCTGGACATCATATTGCAACGAGTCAATATGATATGATGACCCCATGCAGGCATAAAACATGACACCACCCTTGACGTCCTGCGTGCCTGGAAACACACTTCTACGATAAACAGGACCCCGAAGGTAAGTGAAACGGAAAACTAAAAAAGGTTGACAGGAGTGTGAAAGAATGCAGCGAAGCTCTTTGCAAACATGGGTCTGTGAACAGCCTCACAGATAGCGAACTATACTGAGAAAACATTTTAGGGAAGCGATTATTACTCCCAGATGTTAATTAAGAGGCAAGTGCGTCTCGTCATCGATCGGCTGGTCGCAATTCTTTGGTTGCCAAGACAACTTGAGACTAGTTTCTGGGGAGGGTTGGTTCTGTTGCGTACAAACATGCTTCCTCCGGTCAGTAAAACGAAGTAGTCACCGCATCGTTGCCACTGAACGGGTAACTCCCCAAAAGATAAAAATCACCCACGAGAGACACTGTGAGAACCTGAAGACTGAGGTTTGTTTTCTTTGTCGCTCAGTCTCAGGTTATCACAGCAATGAAACCCTTCAAATTGACCAGCGTGATGTATGCAATCAAAGATCACTACTAACAATGAAAAAAAAAAAAAAAGTTAACAAGAAATACTGAATGGTTTTTACAAGGAGATTAATAGCAATAAAAGAAAAAAATCTGCTACATAAACATTTTCCCCGTGGACTATTCATGCACCGCGTACACTCTCCCCCCTCTGCACGGAGCAACGCCACCCTCTCCCACGGCCTCGCTGCGGTGCAACCAACACCAACGCGAGCACGAAAGGTCCGCGAGAGGCGGGCACCCACGGGAATCTCGGAGATCTTGGTGATGGGTTCCATCTTCTCGACGCAGCCGATGCTCACTTCGGGCACCCAGAGTGCGCAGCTGACGTGGGCCCACTTGCTGCCGCTCCGGGTGCTCTTCATGGCTCCTCCCCGGGCGGGGCAGAGGGCGCAGGGGGGCCGGATGCCTAGGGCGCAGGGACGGCACACCCAGGACCCCTCGGGGATGCGGGTGATGCCGTAGCAGGCCTGGTGCACGCACAGGTCGCACTGGTCGCAGAACACCATCTCGTTGCCTTCCTCCGAGTCGGGCTGGGGAGGGTGGAGGGGGGGGGACAAAAGCACGTCACCACCAGGTTGAAAACCTGTGGCAGCGTGTCGCCGTGCGGCAGCTCGGGGCACGGGAGGAGCGAGAGAGAGTTCAAGCTGCGGAACCTGGGAGTCCCCGGTTTCGCCTCTGCCCGCTAAGACCTGGATTAAAGTTAGGGTCCTTCGTTTCTTCGGGTTTTATATTTAACAAAAATCAGGGGGGTACAAATTGGGCACTTTGTTCAGAGTTGATAATAGAAAAGTTCTCTGGAATTCAGGTTTCTCTGGACAAGTTTTGAAGGATGTACCGAAAGATCTGGAGCAAGCTCCCACTGACAATTTGGAGGTAATCATGCAGAACTGGGCGAGGGGCACTTCTTAGGTCAACAATATGTAAAAATATGTCTTCTGTGTATTTTCCGAACGCTACAAAATTGATTGGTGGGCGCTTATTGTCAAATGGGCGTATGCTCAATTATTTACGGTAAGTATAATTAACAATAAAAAGCTTTGATCTGTTTCAAAATATGGAATGTTTTTTTTTTTTTTTCAAGTTATCAAAATACACAAGGTGGCATTGGAAGATAAGAAAGCTTACTGGAACTTTTCTATTTTTCGTAATTCTTGTGTCATAGCTAATCTTCTGCATGCACAGCATCTGTCTACCCATCCTAGTCCTGCACAGTTTTTAGATATATATCTGAATGGACAGAATATTCTCTCAGCATCACATCTTATGCATAAATTTGCAATGCACAACAATATCATTTCAGCTCGACAGGAACAAAACATCTTCGGTTTCTTTTGAAACAAGTTTTGAGAGCACTTTCACATCACCTTTTTATTTTTTCGTTCAATGGGTGAAACGGAAGTAAAAGAAAGGCTAAAGACACTTTACAATTGACATAAAAGCAACATTTTTGGGCTCAACCTATGTCACTGCAGTTCACCGAAGCCAACGAAACCTAGGTTTGTTTCTAAGGTCTGGAGCTAGTGCACGTGTTCCTATCAGCCCTTTGCTCCCTAGAGGAGATTTTGGAAAAAGAATAATTTGGAGAACGGCCCAATTCAATTTAACCAGACTTCCAAGAAACACGTTTGGGCCGTAAATACAGGGGAAATGTCCGGTCTTACCCCAAAACTAAGTACCCCAACTTTAAACGGACTCTTCTAGGCAGCTGTGCATGGGCGCAGCAGGTATAACCGACTACTACTTTTTGTTTCCCTTTATTTCGTTCACTCCAGCACTATGGTTGCGCGACATGATACCAAACTTTTAAGGTCACCTACAGAATGAGAATTGCCGGGTATCTTATTCGAATGCCCGGCCCCCAGCATGCACTCACTGCCTTCTGCTGTGTTTTGGCTGCACATGCACGCTCAAAACTTATAATGCAACGAAGCGCTATCGTAACACTGGAGGTAGGACAATTGAAACTCCCCTCCACCACTCTTGGCTTATCTGCACCTATAGATGCCCCAGTGTTGCTGCCCTCACTGCAGGCGTTTTGTCTGTGTGCTCATTATTACCCATTCCAGTGATTAGGCATCTCGATGAGGGGACAGAAAGTTGATCACGGCAGCTCAAATCTGATGCACGGGAAAAGGGGTCCCTACTTTGTTTCAGCGCAACTTGGCAAGAAAGCGAGTCAGCTCAGGCAGTGGTGCATTGCCGCGTGCCACGATCCGGTGCTTCGATTGGCTTGCCGTGACTGTCACTGTCACCGTCTGCCAAGTTCCGCCAAAACGTTTAGTAGCCAAAGGACTTGTTGTTTCTTGTGCGTGACCCCACTTGCATTTCCAATTCACTTTCTATACTTCGTTTCAGCTTCGGTCCGAGCGCGGCCGATGTTATGAGCCGACGGGCCAATCAAACAGCGAAACAGGCACAATGTCATGGCGTGCTCTCTGCAGTTGATAGGACCAGCCGATATTCGCCATCTCTCTGTGCATGCTCCTCCACCGGCTAGTCCTATCAGGCACAGAGAGCACGCCATGACACTGCGCTTTTTGATTGGCCCTTTGGCTCATAACATCGGCCGCGCATGGACCGAAGCTGAAACGAAGTATAATCCTTTTTCCCTCGAAAACGGGAAGGCAACTCACCGAACGGCAGACGTCACACACAACGTCTTCATCGTACTCGATCCCCAGTCCCTGCTCTGTCCGAATCTCCCGCTGAAGCTTCTCGAAACACTGTGCAGCATAAATAGAAACAAAAACGCATCATTTGAGTCGCATTCAAACAATCTTTGATTCACCACGCAAACTGGCTCAAAACTGACTCCTATTTCAAGGTCTACATCGCAGCAACGACAAAATAGGAGCATGTTTGTTGGCCTCTCACCGACACATATTGCATTTTGTGACAAACGTCGCTGAGCCAAGCAGTTTAAAAAAGATTTGTGGCAGTACTTTGGCAATACACGACGAAATTGTCACGTAAAGAATTTGCTTTCGGGTCGGCAAGTTTCGCTGCAATCGTTTATGTACCAAGGCTCGTATTACAACTTTTGACCAGAACGCCGCTCGTCGTCGCTATGGTCACACGACTGCTCACACCAGGGCTCGAATGGACTGCGTCTGTTTGAGACGGGAATTCGGCAGATGAGAATGGGTGTTCCGCTAAATTTGGCGGCCATAATGCTTCTGCATCCTACATTTTCGCTAAGTTACCTCAGTCAAAAACTTTATTCATGTTGAGACATTTGCTGAGCATACAGTACCATTAAGAAAATGATGCAAGTCTCATTTGGAACAATTGGCACAACATTGCCTAACCAACCAACCACAACTGAAACATGGGTAGAACTGATGCAACTAGCAGTGCAGATTGCAGAGGAAAGCTACAAACAAAAACTAGCTTCTGAGCATTTTAAAATTTGTGTGGTGAAAAACCTCCATTGGAAACTCCACCTAGGTACTTTCAGAGCATCGTGTACTGGCCTCTAGGTGCTGTGATCTTTTTACACAGCCCCTGCCAATACAGAGGTACAGCTACTTAGACAAACTTCATCCTTTGAATCACTCTTTGAACTATGCCAGCTAAATGCCAAAGCACCAAGGGGTGAGACTTGATACTGCTACTGTTTAGGTGACCAAAGCAAAGTTTTCACATCTGGCAGCCAAAACTTAAAATGTAAAAATATGAAAAGCAACAAAAAGAATAAAGACAGGACAGAATATTTGTTTCTGCAACCCTACCAGCGTGCTCCAATTCGTCACGTAACACTGCAGGCTGTAAAAAATTCTCGCTCGAAAAGTCAATAAAATGGTAAAAGATCAAAATGAGCAACATAAGGAGAGCAAGAAGCTGCAGTCACATTTGGTAACAAATTATTCCAGAATTTACATTCGCAGCCTTTGTCTGTGTTGAATCGAATTTGTTCCAGGCCCGTAAAACAAAGTCTTGTATCTTTGTACGCAGTTTTGTTGGTGCACAATTACTATAAACCCACCGTCAAAAACCCGAAAAGAAAACAAGGTACAGAGTGACTTACCTGCGTCTCAAAATCTTCCATGAGGGTCTCCATCGCCAACTCCGACAAAGGCTCCAGTCCTGCGAGTGCCACATTGTCTTTAAACACGAGTGGACCAGAGAATGCAAAATGACACTGCAATGCCGCTTTCCAGTGTACAGAGTAGAGGGCACGAGCAGCCAAGGCCGCTCTACAGTTTGGACCTTCCTCAAAGTTATCAAAATTCCAAATATAGAAACACCATTTAGTGCACTCGTACAAAAAATTAATTTGTCACTTAATTAAACGTCTGCTAGCCAGCACCCACAGAGCTACCTTTCAAGAACTGGATATCTAGACGGGCAGACGAAGTTGATGGCAATGAGCAAAGCATGTTTGGAAGCAAAGGGACTCGATCTGTCGCCGACAATAAATTTGAAGTTGTTAGATTTGAGCACTTGTTACGAAGAAAAAGACAATGAAAATTCTAGCAAGGAGTAACAATAGCTATTTAAAGACCAACGGTAAATTGTGCTGTCCTCAACTGCACATGGAGAACACCACTTGCATTCAGACAACAAAAAACCTAGTTGTGAAACATACTCACTAAACAACCACAATAATAATAATAATAAAAAAAAACTGCAACTAAGAACAAATAGTCAGAGTGCAGGCGAGCTGGTGTAAGTTGAACATGATTGTAAACCTGAGACTGGGGCAGAAAGAGAACACAACAGAAGGTAGTAAAAGAGGAGGCAACGTCTCTAAGAACACTTTTTAAAATACCACTTTCATATCCTAAGAAAGACCTCTAGCAACAGAAGGAAAAATTCAGTGGTAACACAAAATGTATCATATGTTACTCCACAGGCACGTAGCCAGGATTTTGTTTCGGGGGGGGGGGGGGGGGGGGGGGGGGCCATGACAAAATGCTGTATGAGGGGGAGGGGGGAGGCCCCAGCAGGAAGGAAGGTTTCAGGGGGGGGAAGCGGGCCTGAGCCCCATGGGCCCCCCCTGACTGCATGCCTGTTACTCCATGGCGATCTTGCATAGATGAACTTTGTACGAACTGAGTGTCTCTGTGGCACGCAAACATTGTCCACTATTCCAGAAACGCTTCTTCGTTACAGGACTGCACTCCGCAAGGTTGCTGGGGAGTCGGGCCAAAAGCACATTCCACGAAGAAAACAAACCGACTAGCATAAACCCCCAGAGCAGCCAAACTGCCAAACTCCCAAACACCGCCACACGAAGGTGCAACCAGCTCACCGAAACTGAAGTCACCGCACCGTACATGGCTCCTCGGCACAGTATTGCAAGTACATACAAAGAATCCCGCAACAGACCTATTCACGCAGCTACAGTCACGAACCGGGTGAGGACAGTAAAGCCATCTTTCCAACGCCCAGCATCCAGCATGCTGAAGCGTTATCGAGGTTTGGAGGCTTGCATGGGAGGCGGGAACTTCAGAAGGACCACCCACTGTTCCCGTCTTGTCAGTGACAACAGACCATTCTATTAGGGCAAGGGGAAAGAGGGATATGAGCCTCTATGTTTGGGCACTTTAGGCGTCGCAGCCCACAGGAACAACCCGAACGACAAGAGCGGCGCGTGCACTTTTCCTCTTCTAACCCGCTGAATCGGCCGAAAGGCCCGTGGAGGATGGCCGGTCTGTCGTCTGCTGTCAGGATCTGGCACTTGGCCTTTCCCTCTTTCACCCCAAAAGTCAAATTTGGGGGTTTTACGTGCCAAACCTACGACGGACATCTGGCACGCCCCAGCGGAGGACTGAGGATTAATTTCGACCACCTGGGGATCTTTTGATGTGCAACCGACAGCTCCGTTACCACGGTGCCTTCTCCGCAATAAGCCTCCGTCATATTGCGGGCACATTGGTCGGGATTCGAAACCGCCACCTGGGGATCCGTAGGCCGGCGCTCTCGCCTCGAAGCCACCGAGGCGGCTTCCCTCTTTCACCCCGACGATCCCGCTGAAAAGCCTGGATGCGTGTAGATGGCACTGCGGTCGAACAACATGGTGCCGCCCGGAGAGCCCTCAGTGTAATAGAAAGATGGCAAAGAGAGAGAAAAGAGCGGGGAAAAAGTCCTCTCACCGTAGGCCTTCCTCTCGTCGTTGAAAATGCGCAACCAGTGCTGGTCCATCGCATCCAGGTCGTAGCGACACGTCTTCTCCGCCTGCAGGCTCACGTTGGTCAGCACGTGCAGGTTGTTGGAGAAGAACTCGTCGTGGGTGCAACGCAAGAACCGCTTCGGTGGCCTACGTCACATACAGAGAGTTGCTCAGATTAGATATGTGGCCTTTGGTTCACTGTTTCTCACGTCTTGCACATTGCATAGTTATGACAGTGAAGTAAAAAAAAAAGGGGTGTAATTAACATTTTGTATTTTCCAATCTATAAGCTGCATCTTAGTATTAAGGCCTGTTTCCTTGGAAAAGTCTGTGTATAATTAGCACAGCGATGTGATTGGCCTAAGCCGTTTTGGAGCACCTTTTGGAGCAGTCAAAACAGTGTTTTGGAGCAGCAAATGTGGCCTTTGGAGCAACCAAAACAGTGTTTTGGAGCAACAACAGTGGCATTTGGAGCAGATATCCTTAGAAAAATATATATATATACAGTATAGACCACTTACAACGTAACCGCTTATAGTGCAGGACCGGGTATAACGCGGCTTTTTTAAACCACCGGTTCGCCTCCCATAGAACTCCATGTAATTACATACCGCTTAAAATGCAGGCGCACGAAGGGAAATACCGGTTATAGCGCGGTTTCTGGAACAGCGCGCCAATTGCGCCATTGACCGGCACAGCGAGCACGCTTCCATGTGCGACACTAGATAACGGCGCTAGCCTGGCTAGCCGCAAGCGGCACTCGCGGGGCAAGGAGGTTGCTCGAAGTCGTGGCTCGAAGAAGCGGGAAGAAGCGAAGAAAGAGGCTTCAGTTGCCATAGCGACGGAGGGACGCACGCACGTTTCGTTCACGTGCGTGCGTGCTTCCCTCCGCTGCGTTGGCGTTGGAAACAACCGCAACGACAAACCAATCGCAGGTCGAGAAGAAGTGTTCGCGCGCGTTGCATGCCGGTCGCGGGCCGACTGCTTCTATCCGCAAACATGGCGTCGGTTGTGATTGTCGACGTAGACGGGTGGAAGCTCATCGTTCCGCGTAAAAGCGCTATCCTTGACTGTGAATTTTCGTTGTGCGCCGCTATGATAACCCAGCACGTACTAGAAGGGAAGATCCACATACTCGTGCGGCGATGTCGTGGCGGCACTCTCAAGACGGCAGAAACGCCCGTGTCGTCGTGTTTGTTTACTACGACTACAGTGGTGCTTTCTAAGCATTTGTGTTTTCGAACATCGCCCGAATTTCTTATTTGGAGCATTTCATGCCTGTGCTAAAGTTGAAGGTATTACTGGCGCGTACCGTATAAAGGACGCGAATTTTCACGCGTCTTCATCACCGGAGAAAAGTGATTAGGGTTAGCAATCCTGAACGCTCGCAACGTCCGTCCGCAACCAGCGACGCCGTTAAAAGGCTGCGCCAGGCAAAAGTCGCTCATTTCTTTCAAAATTGACACACTTGAGAGAGAAGTGTACTAGTCTGGTGAAATAAAGACTCCTCTTCATCTAACATAAAATATTTCTTTTACAAAGGTTAGTTGTCTCATATGGCATGTATTTTGGCCTGAAAAATTGATGTTTTGGTTATAACGCGGTACCGCTTATAGTGTGGATTTTCACGACTCCCGCGACATACGTTATATGCGGTCTACACTGTATTTGTTCTAAGTGCTGTGCAAACAAAGGGATTTGTGTTGTGTTCTGATGCGACGTGTTGTGACGGAACTCGCCGCTTGTGCTTTTACTGCTAAGACATCCCACAAGTGTATACAGTCCCGTAAGCATTGCCAAGCAACTAAAAAAAAAAAAAACTTGTTACTGTTTTACTGATTTCCGACGTGCCAGATATTTGTCAAAAGTAAGCAAACGTAAATAATGGACTGCAAGCATTCCGGCTGGTGCGTCTATCGTGCAATCATGTTCGCATGCACGTGAGGGCAACTTCTGCAGGCTTGCAGTTGCGCGTGCTTCATCGCGCAGCGGAGACAATGGTTGTTCGATCAAAATTGAAACCATGCCACTCCACTCCATCACCAACCGATTCCCGAAACTGTATGCAAAATTTAACCTTCGAGCGTACAACCAAAAACAGTCCAGCGGCGCGTGCTTACCAAGCCGGCAAACAAAATACAAGCTAAACACACACACAAAAAACAAAAAAAAAGAACCTGAGCGGATTGATGCGAGACATCACGAGCCAGGGTCAAAAAAGTTCTTGTACCGCTTTGTGCAACAACTGAACTTGAGACAAAGAAGCGCGCTGTGCGGGTTCAGCGTGCAGACATTGCCTTCTTTGCTTTAGCTCACTTCCCTTCACCAACTTTCCTTCACGGCAGATTTTTCATGCACCAGGGTCCCTCCCGAAAAAAAGCCCACCGAGAGAAACCTAGGCAATCGATGCTTCGTCACAGCAGTCTCCGAGGTAAAGAGGGATTTTTGTAGTAAAATATGATTTAAACAAGAACAGGAATGTTGATGAGCATGCGGCAGTACCTAGTTTCATTTTAGAAAGCGCCATATCTGCACCGACGTAAGGCTGCAACACCCGATGTCGCGCGACCGCGGTGACTGGAAGGCAGCGACCAAATACACTTTTCCCACAGCCGTTGCTTTCAGGAGCGAGTGCTCCAGCTCACAAAGTAACTCTCGCCTCGCTAAAATGTGGTTTCTTTTCACAGCATGACGGCATGGCTCATGCTAGCATCGGAGCGTCCACATACACCCGCGTGTATCATTGAAAATATTTTTTAAAAAAGACGCGAGACGAGACCCACAAAACGACGAGAGCGCGAAACACGAGACGGCGGGAAAACCATGCAAGGCCAGAGGGACAATAGACTACTTCCATAAAGCCCTGCATGCAACACTGCGCGCGTTGCACTCTGGGAACTCGTTGGCCAGGGAGGAGGGTGGCATGGTTTCGGTTTCGATCGACACGTCGACAAGAGATTGTTTTCTGGTCCCGAGAGCATCATTTGTGGTCTCTAATCCAACCTAAATGGCCAGGCCTCAAAGCTTTAGCACAAGCCTGAGACGTATAGCTTGTTTTAACACATGCTTGTAATATTTTTGTACTTGAGCCTTCCTGTTAGCGTTCCAATCGAGGTATGTGGACGAGCCAGTGCTGGGAATCTCGACGCTGCGAAGCTCGGGGATCTTGCTTGTGTACGAATCAACAAGCTGCAGCAACCAATAAGTATGCATACATCGAGCTCGTGCCTTTACATTAGTGTTGTTGATCAGGAAGTTTGTTTGTTCAGTGCGTCCATAGACGAAATATTACTTTTTGCAATTACAGAGAGGCGCCATCGAAAAGCTCAATTTTAACACACTTCTTATCTCTTATCTGTACCGACCCGCAGCACTGCACGAAGTGAAGTCCCCACCCGCTTGCATTCCACTAATACTCAACATCGCGTATGCGCATAAAGTTATCCTGCCAATCATATAGGCATATTCGCACATACAGACCGTTTTAAGAAAGCAAAAGTCGAGCACTTGTGTGAAGAATGTCGCACCACAGAGGGGTTCATGCCTGTCCGGCGCACGGTGCGACATTCTTCACACAAGTGCTCGAACGAATTCAAAGCACGTTTGACGGTTGCTAATGGCCATAATATTTGTTATGTGTTTGTTTTCTTCCCGCTTGAGTATGCCAAGATCATTTCAGACACACCGTTCAGGCACAGATCTTGGGCGTCAGTAAAAGCTCGTGCAAAAAGGCTTAGCGAGGAGTAGCGGACGCTTGTTAGGTCCTCCGTCGTAGCTAGCCGATCTCAGCGATTGCGAGAAGTTAATCTTCTATCAGCATCAAATTCGAGTGGGAGATATATGATGACACGAGGAACACATCATAGTAACTACTGTGCAGTAGTAAGGTCGAATTTATTGCGTTTCCTTAAAACTTCATGCGTAAAAGCTGGTCTCAACTTTGATACCCTGTGAGGATGCAGCTTGCTTTTCGCCCAATGAAGTAACAAGAAACATACGTTTGGCAAACAAAATATGTGAAAGGTTCCAGATTAACAAATTTCAGTTCTAGTTCACTAATACTAGACGGGATTATTGAAACTGAGCTCAAACATGCACTGGTGGGGTGAGGTGACTAAGCCACGACTTACTACGTTCAGATATGCAAGCACAGTATCCGTTGTTTCGGGAACCAAGGAAAGTGCCCCGGTCTTCGTTTTGTATCGCTCAAGAATGAGTGTATTGTATGTTCGTGAAAGGTCAGATAATCGAAAACGCAAGCAGCTCGTTCGGTCGCGGCGTGATAGCATGAGATGAAGCTACTCGGTCGAAACCGAAACTGAGTGGCCAACTAGTTCCCAAAGTGCACTGCGTGGTATTTCGCCGCGATGGGGTGCGTCAGTTTTGGAAGTAATCCATTGATGCAGGGTACTTTGTGTCGGGCGGCCTCTTGCGCCACATAACAGATGCATGCTCAGTTACGGTAGTCAGTTTAGTTTCGGTTTTGAAAAGCGACCGCAATTGTTTTTTTTGGCACAGGCTTGGCACAAATTACCCATATTTAGGCAAAATGTAGCAGGATGCAGCGGGGTTAGAAGTATGGCGCAATTGGCGCAGCAATCACATCGCCGTTAGCACCATTGTACGAGTCGCATTTTTTTGCGTGGTCGATGCTACGAAACAACATTGGTAAGCCCACATCTGTGTATTGTGATGGCAGTACATGGACAAGGCGGGAGCAGTCAGTTTATAATCTCGCCAAAAAATCAGAAATCACACCTTACACACTAGAAAATAGAGTAGGTAATTGAGATCAAAGTGGGGAAGAAGAGGCATGAACCAGGAATGAAGTACCATTAGGACATTAAAAACCCAATCACTTTCGTTTGTCTTTAAAAAAAAGATTCAAGGATATTACGAACACCATCTCCCATTCACAGCAAACTGTCATGATGTCAGCTGCCATATTAGTGCCATACACAGATACTTTTCTTTGGCCGAGGTCTCTCTCTCTGAATAACGATGGTATGTTCGAGACAATGTCAAATTTGTTGTATAGATGTTTGACAGTTACCACTTGGCACCTCCTATAATATTGTGACTAGCGTCTCCACTTTAAAGAAAGGATGTGGCCAGTGTAGCATGACTGCAGTGGAGATTCCACACAAATGCAAGCATACATTTTAATTTTAACCCACAAACCCATCCCCGAGCAAAAAAAGACAAAAAACTCACAGCTTGAAGTCAGCCGAGCGGTTCCGTTTCTTGAGTACCCTGAAGCAAAAGATATATTTCTATCTTAAAAAAGAAACATTTGGATACCCAAAAAGTAGGGCAGGAATTCTCAAACTTTTCTACCTCAAAAGGCGCTTATTACTATTCTCCGATAGCGACAACTGGCTTAAATTGACTTTGCAACATCACCGCCAGGGGGACCTGCAGTTCACCCCTGCTCCTTCTGCTGTCCAGGTTCCCTCCATCTAGGGCAGAGGTTCTCAAACTTTTTAGCCTTGAGGAACACCCATCTATCCTGATTGACGGCCAAGGAACCACTTTTAACGTCAGCACTGTCGCAATGAAGCAGCACAGCAACCTACAATCCTTGAAGACAATGATAGACATACCAGGGAGTGTCCTGGCACACAGCTATGCATATATGGATGGTTCACTGGACAAACATTCTACTTCGCAGTTCCAAGTTTCGTCAAATGCCCCTACTCACTTTGGGATCAGGTTGACAAAACTTGGGAGTTTGGGGAACCCCTAGAGGTAGTCCAAGGAATCCCTGAGGGCATTCCAAGAAAATATAGAGGGTGCAAGAAGAACCCATGAAAGTACTCTGATAAACCTCCGAGGGTACTCTGGGGAATTCATGAGGGTGCTCTGGGCAATTCCTGAGGGTGCTCTGGGAAATCTCTGGGGGTGTGCTGAGGAATCCCAAAGCGTACTCTGAGGAACCCCTGAAGGTACTCTGAGAAACCCCTGATGGTACTCTAGGGGGTTTCTGAGGATACTCTGGAAAATTCCTGAGGGTACTCTGGGGAATTTTCGAGGGTACTGAGAGGAATTCCTGAGGGTGATCTGAGGATCCCCGTAGGGTACCCTGGGGAATCTCTGGGGGATTCCAGGGTTCTCTGAGGAACCCCTGAAGGTACTCTGAGAACAAAACCCTCGAGGTTACTCCGGGGAACCTGAGATCTTAGGTACCCAGTTTGAGGACCCACCATCTAGGGCAGTGGTTCTCAACCATTGAGGTCTCGCGAACCCCTTGTGGATCGGCGGAGATGATGGAGGACCCCGTTCGTGATGAGCGGAAGTGAAAAATAAAGGTTATATGATAATGATTTAATAAATAGATATAACTAAGGGCAAGTGCGAAAGGGACTTCTCTTATTGACATACACACGAGAAAACTCACCAGATAATTGGAACATTTCTTCCCAATCTGAAAATATACATCTTTTATTGCCGGGTTTCGCTAATTAGGCAGGGCGTCGCGGATACCTGGAATGGCTTCGCGGACCCTTTGTGGTCTGCGGACCCCCATTTGAGAACCACCGATCTAAGGCTATGGGCCAAACATTTCAGCATGCACGTCCCAGTCTCACGCATCCACGACTGCACACGGCAGAAGCAGGTAGGAACTCACCGGACGAGCGGCTGTGGCAGGTGGTCGGGGTTCACAGGCACCTGCACCCCCCTCTCCCACTCCTGCTTCCAGGTGTCCAAGATGGGCCAGTAGGTCTCCGCCTCCAGGGGCTCGCTGTCCGCCAGCTTCATGGCACTGATCAGGTCCTTGCGGAACAGCTGAGACGCACAAGGAAAACAGAGCAGACGAAATTATGAATATGGTATGGAAGTTCATTCGTTCGTTGCACATTCTCCTCTGTCTATTTACCAGCCAAATGTGGCCACATGCTTTTGTTTCATCCTCAGTCTCAAAAGATGACAGCACGTGCTCGGCATAGCGAACTTGACGGACAAGCCGTCTGCTAGAGGTTAATCACATTATTTGTACACATCCAACCTGTCCTGCGACAACACTTAGATCACAAAATCCGGCCACGTTTCTAAAAGAAAGGCGTGCACGTCGCAGTGGCACCGACGACACTTCCACTGTGCCTATCTGCATGACAGATCGTGCGACTGTTTGCACACCGTGGGTAGACCATGTCTTCACCGTGGGTAGACTATGTCTTTGACAACACAGAGCCAATGTTGCAGTTTTTGGTTTGTGATCATGTCTAAAGCAAGACAGCTCGAGATACATTTAACTCTTCGGGAAACAAGTGAAGTGAAACCATTCTTTGGTACTTTTGAGTGTGAAATAACTTGTCTCTTAAAACTTTTGGAATTGAGCGTAGTAGTTTTCTCGTAGTGCCATGCTTGAAAATGCAGGATTCCCTCAGAATATGAACTCGACCAAAAGGTACAAATACCATGGCCACAGACACCAGCCCACAACTCACCTCCGCTGGCTTGTTGTTGCGATAGGAGCTGTTGTAGATCTTGGACATGGGAGGGGGCGCAGCACACTTGGACGAGGACACTGCAACCACGAGACGGAACTCGTAAACCTCGATCTGCTTGAAGTCAAGCTTATTAAGACTAGCTACACTTCAAGTGCACTACTGACAACTCTAAAGATACACTGAATTAAGAGCTACAGCCTTGAATTCTTAGTGCATAACGACAGCACCAGCAAACAATGAAACAAAATATGAGGCCACATGTTCGAGGCCCCTAAAGAAGCGGTCCTCAAACTAGTCCGCGGTGACATTGGTGAAGATCCGCATTGATTCAAGGATCGCAACACTGGGGACAGGTAAGGCACTGAAGAGGATTTAAATCAATGAACTGAATGTCTTTACAGTTCTGATAGAGCTTTGATGAGTAACAGTGAACTCTTGCTGATTTCTAGTTACGAGTGATTTTTATTTTATCTTTTCACTAGACGCTTTCTTGAAAAAATCCGCTCACAAATCTGCTATCATTTTCGCTTTCCACTAGGAGTCTACACTGTCTGGGCTCATTTGCAGGATGTCAAAGACAATAAAATGTGGTTATATTGGGCAGGATTGATGACATAAACTTTCTCCGATTTAGGGAATGTAAGTTCGTTTATATTAGGAAGTTTTCTAGACCACATTCCCCTACCGCTAAGCCCTCCGCAGAGAAGAGGTCGCTACTGCTCCTGAGTGCCCATGGCCTTGACTGTAGAGTTCTAAGTACCGTAGCGGGTCGCGGAGAGCTTTGAGGGATGGCGAAAAGGATAGACAAACTCCTTATTTCCATTTAAATGTAGGTAAGGGCAGCCTGCAAATGACCTCTAAGATAGTTGCTGGGCCCGCAGCGACGGGAAGTTTTAGAAAAGCCACTCTAAAGTGAAAAGTATGGAACATCCTGAGAAAATCGAAACTTACGCCGGCTGTCGTCGTCCTCACATGCGCTGATCTTGCGAAACCGCTTGCTTCCGGACGTACCTAGATCGTGCGAGAAGAAAAAGAAGCATCTTGGTTTCATAGACAAACCCAGCTTCTCGTATTCAAGGCATGCAGAGGGAGAAACGACTGACCTCCGATCTTATTGTCGGCTTCGCCAGGCGAGCGCTTTTGCTTCGCTCCTGATGCCATAGCGGGCTCTCGGAACGACCGCTCCAAGTTGGAGGAACGTAGCTGTTGACCCTTAGGGAAAAAAGACAAACGAGGCAACGTGACAAATGAGCAAAGCTGAAGAGCGCGGCGGACAGCGCGGTTTATCACACCCGCGCGGGAGGAAGAGCGAGTAGAGTTCGAAAACGACACAAATCAACGTGGAAAACGGTTAGAAGTCGGAATCACACGTTACTGGTGTCAACTCAATTCTAAAATAAGAAAAGGGGCATAATGTTTGCGGTGGAAATCCCTCCTCAGCCAACCGCGCTTTCAAATAACGCACGCGTTGTTGGTGTCCACAGCAAGACAACAGATTGCTCCCTCTTGAGCGTGTTTACGCTCTCGCCCTCGAAATGAACGACGGGACTCCGAGTCACTTCACCGCGCGCGATTCGGCGGGGCCTGAACAACAAATAAAGCACTCCGCAAACCGTCGAACATCGGAGGTTTTAGCCGTTGTCCGAGCATCGGTCGAAATACGTCTTTGCCTCCCTCCTCCTCCTCCTTTTGCCTCCCATATTTGGACAGACGGGCTGACGTAGCTGGCGTCGGCTTTGTCCCGCGGGCACGGACACTCACCGTCGGCTGGGTTCAGTTCGGGAATGTCATGTCCACAAATTCAAAAAGGGGAACGCTGCTCCGCGGCACAGAGGCGGCGGTCACATCAGTTCCTTGAATGTCGACCGCGGCAGCCAGCGCGGGCCACGGTTTGGCGCCATTAGCAGGGAGCATTGGCGACGCAACGCGCAGACAACACGTGACGCGGCACCGAGACGTCCATTTCGTCGGTGCTGCGGAGACTCCACTTCAGACGCTGCCCATTGTCGCGTCCGTTAACGGCGTTCCAGCGTCGTCAATTGTCCGGGAACGGTGCGTATTCCTTTCGAATTAACGACGACTCTCAATGCTCGATCCGCGCCCCACTAGGCCTCGTCCCAGTGTTGGCAGCACGTGCCTAGAATGTCGCTGATATAGAGCTCTTCTTTCTAAAATAAAATGTCTCGTCGTTGTTCGTGTGTGCAAAAGGAACCAATATCACAGATTGTGCAGACATTTTATTTAAAAAATCTAATTTGAATCGTATCAAAGAAAGGTATTTAGCTAACTACAAAAAAAGAAAAAAATTCGCAGCACTGGTGCACCCGCAGGGTTTTTTCTTTTAATCGCGGGTACTGAAAACAAATTGTTACACCAATATTACAAATTTTTTATAACTTTTTAAGCAACAAAAGGGATGCCAAAACAAATAAAGTTATAAGCTTTATTTCCAAAACCTCTGTAGCGCGAGTCTCGCATATAGGCCGCATCGGCTTCCCTTCTCTTTTTGTTCTTGCTGCTTATCAACGCACATCTTTGAAGAAATAATTGGAAACATTATCAATACTATAACCATTGCAGAAATATACACGTTTGCAAGTCCGGCTTCAGGGCGCTGCCATCTTGCCTGTCTGGGGTGCGCTTGGACCAGTCATAATCCGATTACGAAGCCTTGCTAAGGCGTCGTAATCGGATTATGGCCGCTCCCGAGAGCGCACCCCACTGAGGAAGATGGCGGCGCCCTGAGACCGGACTTGCAAACGAGTATACCAAACGACACATCTAGTAGCTGCACCTTCCCTACAAGGGACTATTCGAGCCCTTGAGATTGAGCAGCTTGGGCGGGTACTCCCGCGAGTACGATTCCGGTACAAGCGCACCGAGAGCTAAATGCAGTATCCTCGCAGTGAGGCCCCACACCCTGTCGTCCCTTCCGTCCAGCTTAAACACGGGCGAAACATGACCAGGTACTCCCGGGTGCGTCCATTGCGTGTATTCCCAGCCCTCGGGATCACAGAGACTCTTTAAGGTCGGAACTAGGACACACTCCACTTCGTCCATGTTCACAACCAGCTCGTCGATGAAGGCTGGCGACGAAGACGACCGCACGTAACCCACCACCGGAGTCACTAATATCTTCGAACCGAGGGAGGGCAGGGCGTTCATGCTTCCCCAGACGTCAACGTCGGTAGGAGGAAGTCCAAGCTCTTCCTGGGTTTCACGGAGTGCGGTGCTCACGTCCGATGCGTCCGTCGTGTCGGCGATGCCGCCAGGAAAGCTGATGATTCCGCCGTGTCGAGAGAGCTTTCGAGACCGCAGGGTTAGAAGGACAGAAGGTTCCCCCCTTGGGTTCAGGCAAAAAGGCACCAGGACAGCGGCTACGACGTCCGTTTTCACGTTTCGAAACACCCGACTGTAGTTTTCGGAGGTTCGGGCGAGTGTTTTCATGCAAGCTTGCTTGCGCTCGTCTGAGAAAAGCGACGCGTCGAAACTTACGTTAGAAGTCGACCGCAAAGTCGTGAGCCTGGCGAGGCTGCTTAAAGACCAGGCCAGAAAATGCTGTTTGTGTGAGATCATGCTTGCTCTGAAAACTTCATCCTTTTTGACGGATCCTGGCGGATCGCGATACGCCATCACGATCACGATGATTGATGGATGGATGGATGTCAATGGTTATACCCTTAGTAACGGGCAGTAGCTTGCGCCACCTAGCCTAAGTCTAAAGAAGACAAATATGTTTCAGACCTTGTAAGCCAATTTGATCACCCTCACTATCACCAGAATGACCTTTGGGGGGGATCGGCCAAAAAAACTAAACACATCACCCCCCCCCCCCCCCCCCCCCCCCCGTCTTTTCCCTCCGGCGAGGGAGTTGCCAAATGAAAACTTTTTTTTTTTATATAATGGGCAAACCTACCTCGTTGGGGCAAACGGAGGAAACAGAGCAGTTATGGGAGAACCACTTATTTGGGCGGCCGTCAATTTTCCACTGCTGATATTAAAAACCATATTCATTGAGAGAGGGTTTGACTTTGGGCTGGAACAACGTGGGAACGAGTTTTCTTTCTGCCTTTCCAACCCGTCTTCCAGTGGTACAAATACTCATACCCCCCTAGACTTTTTTCCACCCCCACCCTCCCCTAACACAGCCTTTGTGACCACAAATCATTAAAAAAAAAAAAATTATTGCTTTTGGCTTTGGTACTTATACAGTAATCGAAGTCTCCCAAATCTCCCTCTCGGACTCTTCACTACATTTTCTAATGACTCCATTTCATTTGCCTGCGATCAATTTTCATAACCCCAAAAAAATGCTCAGACAACACAATTAATTTTTTGTTTTTAGAGTGAACGCAGTTTTACTGAACGTTCCGAAGGATGCGGTACAGAAAAATATGTCGTAAAGTAAAGATCTAATCATATTATCGCCAGTGTAAAGCGTACAGCCCAACGGCCATACACAAACTTGTCATATGTACACAGTCGCGGTCGATGAAAACTGCATCCTAGAAACCAAGCGAAAGAAAAAAAAGTGGTGGTCAGTTCTTTGACTGAGTTGCCCATTTGGCCTGTAGCGATTGCATCCACTGCACAGCAGCCTTAGACCAAACCTTAAACTGTGCAGCAGCTATGTTTGAGCTATGCCCTGCTTGGACACAGACGACGTGCCAGTGATTCTCCACCACCTCTTGAAGATAAGGCCAGCTCAGAGGGTATTTATGTTTGTAGAAGGAGAACGCCACTGCGGCGCTGAACAACGAGATGGCCATGAAAAGGACCAGGAGCAGCATTTTCAGCAATGCCGAACAGCATCCTGCAACAAAAAACAAACTCGGATAAATATATCGCATGCCAACGTGGATGTGCTGGATTCTCACCGCCTCTTTTGGCTCCTCCGGCGTCCCGGCCCTTTGTTTGTTTTGGGCCTAGAAAAGTTGATGGCGTCAGTAACGGTTCTTCTCAAGAGGAGCACGAGTTCGCAGGAATTGGCTTACCCGATTTGGCATTGCTTTGCCTTTGCTGGGCAGAGGTGTCCTCCTTTTGGAGCTTCTGAAGATGTTGCTGTTCCCTTTTCAGCCGCTGTTCAGCTTTCTTCTTTTCCCGTTCGGCCTTCTTCTCCAACCGCTGCTTCTCTGCCTCTTTTTCCTGTTTCGCTTTCAGTATTGCTTCTTGTTCTGCAGTGTGAAAAGGTTTTCTTCTGCAAATGACTGCCCCGAGCAGACCGCAAGCACTCGCGAAAATGGCATACCTCTTTGTGCCTTCAACTTCTTCTGCTTTTCTCTTTCCACCTCGGAAGCTTGAGCTTGGAGGTACTCAACCACCTAAATAAAATAATTGCAGAAAATAGAGGTTAAAAATAGATGCAATCCATCATATTTCAATCAAAAAAATAAAAAAATAAAATAAAAGGAGCATCAATAAATTGCCAAGGCTAGACTCACTTGAATACACTTTGCTCAAACATTAGTTCTGACAGGATGAGCATCTGTCACTGGGCACTTTGTCTTACATTCATTTGCCTTTTCTCCCCCAAAACTAGACTTGTTCATGTGAATGGGTGTGTTCACCAGTGACAAAAGAGCAAACCTATTAAATGTTAATGTTGTCATATATGACCACAAATATAAACTTGGGGAATTTTTTTGGCCATACCATAAGAGCCACTTGATAACCTAAAGTGTGCAGATCATATCTACAACTCCTATCATGCACTATTCAGCCTACTGCCATTACCATCATGAAAGCCTGAGCATGTTCATTTGCAGTTATACCCCATCTCATGTTGAGGGCAGTGCTATCAAATGCACAGGCAGAAGAGTGTAGCTCTGCAGACTGCTCAGTCTGCACAAGCACCCATACAAGGAGAGATCTTTCTAAATCCGTACACTTCCCCCAAGCCTCTGATACAGCCGTCCATAATGCTTGAGATAGAGTACTATATTGAGCACAGTAACAGGTCTTCATCTATTCTTTTATTTATGCATCTATGACTCATTCTGACAATTTAAATAACTACAGCAGACAGATTTGACTATGGCCCTTTGTGCGAGCGGACATCTAGTGCAAAATCGGTCACAACAGTGTATGCATTCCGTTGTTGCACGGTGAGGAGAGAGAGGGTGGAAAGATGGCACCACACGGTACCAGATGATCATCGCTCTTGTTACCTTCTCACAGTTCTTATGCGGAAAGCAAGTCATCTGCTTCTTGTCCAGGAGTTGCGGTGACGTCAGAAACACGCAGAGCTCTGATTGACTCTGATTGAAGAAGAGTGGGTTAACCTTAAAGCAAGCTGGCTTGAGGTTTACCCACTATTCTTCCGATCCGAACCAATCAGAGCTCTGCACTCTGATGTCGCCACAACCCCAGCAAGAGAAGCTGGCAAATTTGTGATCCACATTGCAAATGTGGCCCATAAACCATTTGACCCGGAGAGAACAGTTGGAAACACCCCGAAATCTATTCACACAAAACAATGACCATCTATCGGGCAGGCACGGAACACTTCCAAACTGCACACATTTTACACACCATCCTTTCACGACGGGCTCGAAATTACTCTGTCAATAGCAACCATTTCTCATAGACCATGAGTAGATTTGATCTCGAAAATACTACAACACCTTCAGTATGGTTATATGCAAGTTAGAAGTGTTCCAGTGCTATCTGATAGATGGCGCCAGTGTTCACCCACCTCTTTCCACTTCAACAGAGTGAATGCTGGAGAGGAGGTGACTCCCTCTCCAGCGGTCGCGCTCCTAAAGTGGAAAGAGGTTGGCGGAGTTTCCCCACCTTTTTTTCACTTTAGCGGCACCTGAACATGTTCCCTCACACCTTTTTAGCGCACTGCTGGCACTGCTTTTCGTCGAGGCAGTCACCGGCCACGGCCTTGAGGCGCGGTTCCAGGGGGTTGTCCTTGAGGTCCAGCCAGCGCAGGTTCTTCATGCGGCACATGCTCAGCGGAAGCGTCGTCAGGTTGTTCGCGTACAGGTCGAGTCGCTGAATGTTGTTCAGCCTGCCGAAGTTGGCGGGCAGCTCTTTCAACCGGTTCTTGCTCAGGTCCACTTCTTTGAGGTGCACGAGCGAGCAGAAGGCGTCCTGGCGTCGCGATGAGGGAAGGACCAAGTCAGAAAACGTGACATTATTTCACCCAAAACACATTAAAAACAAATAATCCAGGATTCGAAAAGGCGTTATCTCTTACCGGCAAACTGGCTATCTTGTTGCACGACAGGTCTAGCCGGGTGGCTTTGGGCAGCTCGGCCTGCGATCAAAGGTAAAAACGGAAAGTCTAAGCACCCGAAGCGTCGCAAGAATACCCCGCCTACGTAGCTAGCAAAATAAAAGCAAAAATAACGAGGGCGGAATTTGAATTCTACGGGTTAAAAGCCATGTCCGGTACGGTGAATCCCGCCGGGTTCGTCCCACTTACGAGTTCCTTCACAGGTGGTTCTGTCAGCTCGCTGAGACTCAGGTCCAGGGAGTTGCCCTCGATTCTGCTTTTGAGCGACCCTTTCGCCATTGTTGCTTCGAGATGTGTTGGAGGAGGAATCAGTCGGAGAAGCACGTAGGTTGACACGTTACTATCACCCTATCACTGCTTCCAACAACACGGCCAACGCGACGGCGGACGAGCAGGCGCTGGGCGGGGGAACTCAAGAAGCCGTGGAGATATGCGTAATTCCAGAGCGTGCTCTAGATGAACGAATAGAACTATCGGAGGTGTTGCTGCCTCCCAATTGGAGTACAACATGCGCCACCTATTCGTAGCTGCGGTGGGTTCAGGCAAGTTCAGGGTACACATTTTTTAGTGTTACGTTCACAACAGAAGTGTGGTCAGCCAAAAAAAAAAAAAAAAAGTACACCTCCTAAAACAAATTAAACTGATCATTGTTGTTCTTATAACCTTTCTTTTGAAACACCCTCGATCTCGAATGATGGAACAATTTAAGCTTTAATTATAAAACGCAACTCCTTTTCTGTAAAAAAAATGAGACGTTTACAATCCCCTGCAATGCCGAATTAGAGCGCAGCTCTTGAGGAGGAGGATGGAAAGGTACGCAGAGGAGGCTATGGACCTCCTCCTCTCCTGCTCACCTCCCATTTAGGAGAAAATTTTCCGCTAAACTTAGCGGGTAAATATTTCCTCTAAATTTAGCAGGGAAATTTACCCATAATGCAACACGCGGTTACGCCGACGACGACGACGCTCAAGCCAGAACCAAGCACCTAAGAGCTGCGCTCTAAAAAAAGAAAATAGGGCCAAAATACTTGCCAGGGTCAACGGCGGTGGCAACACAGACTGTAGGGTCGAGTGGTAGGGCACGTGTCCTCAGAGTTTGGCCAGATTAATCTTGTCACCATAACGCCCCACTTCCAAGTGAGCCAATCCGCAGTGCCAAGTGAGAGGCGCGAGCGCATGAACTCCTGGCTTTTTGAAGTGCACGCACTTGCTTCTGTCGACTTTCTTCATCGTACGTATCCTCATTTTATTTAATAATTGGGTTGTGGGGATATTTATACAGCGTGTAGTTGGTCTGCCATCAAAGTTGCGACGAGTCACACGCTGTAGATGAGCAATTTAGCCAGTGCAGTACAACCGCTAGCCTGGGGTCTTTAACGTGCACCACGCAGTAGTGATACACGACCGCGCACCGGTACGATGCACATCCAGATCGAAGCGGGCAGGGGTGGGGCTCGAACCCAGGATCCTTGGGTTCTGCAGCGCGAGCTTTCGCTCCACGCGCGTCGAGCTGGGTGAGCGCTTCAGCCCACTCGGCCACCGATCCCCCCTCATTTTATTTAATTACATCATCACCTAGCTTCAACGGCAGCCTACATTGCTATGGGCCCCAGCCTTTCTGCTGTTATCGTGCCTTTCCTAGGCCGAAATAAATATTATTCGATGTGCGGGGAGGGCGACATGGCCGCCACTTTTATCAATTTACCCGGTGGAATGCATAGGACCGACTGTCGACATACAAATTTCCCTTCTTTTCTTTTATTTCACTGGCTCTGGCAAGAAAATGATATAGACCTTATTTGCTTACTCTCGTCCCTGGCTACCTGGTAAGCATATCCAGTATGGGCAACGAAGAAATAATAAAACATTTTAACTTGCAAATAGTAAAACAATAAAGGGAAGACAAAATGAGTATGGGCGACGATTACGTTTATATCCTAAATTTATTCTATTGGCGTGGCAATGGCAAAACAATGTTTTCGCCCACACTCCAAGTGACAATGTTTCAAGAAGGTGAAGTATGTCTATGCAGAGAGCAAGTCGACTGCTTCTTGCGCAGGAGTTGCAGTGACGTCAGAAACACGCCGAGCTCCGACTGTCTTTGATTGAAGGATAGTGGGTAGACCGCAAAGCAAGCTGCCTTGAGGTCTACCCACTATTCTTCATTCAGAATTCCAATCAAAGCTCGGCATTCTAATGTCACCACAACCCCTGCAAAAGAAGCAGATGAACTTGCGCTGTGCATTGTGTTACTCCTTGGTGGGTTAAAAAGCTAACGAATGAAATTTTCTCGACGTTTGACCGCAAACTTTTATTCAGGCCAAGAAAGAGGTGGCTTGTAGCAGACGGCGTGTAGCGTTAACAGTGCTCTGCGCCGAGTGTTCCATCAAAATGGAGTTGCCTCCTCTTTGCTCCCTCCTTCCTCTTTTGCTCCTTCGGCGCTCTCCCCCCCCTTCCTCCGCTTCTCTCCAGCGCCTTCGTCGCCGTGCCTACTGCCCAGAATCTCCCAATACAGACATTTTTTACAAGGGTGCCGCCATGTTCAATTTTGTCACTTCCAGTATGGGCGAAAACATTGTTTTGCAGTCCCCACGCCAATAGAAGACATTTAAAGGGGCCCTGCAATCAAATTTAAGTGTCTACCTTTTTTGCGGTTTCCACGTCTCTTGGGGTTCGGGCAAGCCAGTGGGCACGGAGAGAGTAACTAAGTATCAGTGCGTCATATTTTAACCGCACAACGCAAAACCTCCTCCACCTATGAGGGCGACCCGCGGTGCCGAAAGCGTGCAATATGTGACAACATTGTGACATTTTTGGTCCTAGCCTTACTACTGGTCAGAGCCGCTAAAAGCTTTTTTTTTTTAGTCGAAATACAAAATATAAGTGGCGCAGACCGTTTCAATTATTCATGAAAGCACAGTTTTTGTTCAGTATTTTATATTAAAGTCAACATACCCGGCACCAAGCGTGGGAAAAGGCGGCGCTTACTAGAGAGGTGTAGTGAGTTCAGGCGCCGACGCGTGCCACACATTGCTGTAAAGCGGCGAGCGTAGAAAGATCCTGAATGTGCGCGGCGGCGCAGCGGTCGTATGGGCTGGAGGATCCGACCAGTTCTGAGCATTCCCAAGGCCTTTGGCGAGCAGGTTTGGCTTGCGGTTTATTTGGCGGTTTGGCAGCATGAACTGGCTCCCGTTCTGAACTGATCTTTACCCCGTGTTTGCTGTCGTTTGGGGCCAATGAAGTGTCATTCAGAATTAGTGTTTAATCGCGCAGCAAATGCCATGCGAGCCGCCCTGGCTGCCCGCTTCATCCAGCCTATCCAACACATGCTTTAGTGGCGCCCACTCGAGCCGTCAACACCAACTGCGGCAGCCATGAGCACTCGTTGAGCTTACTACCCCTCCTCTAGTTTACGGCCACTCAAGCCAGGACCAAGGATGTCATGAAGGAGGTTATTTTTTGCTCATTTTAGTAATTTTTATATGCCTATAACTTTTAAAATAAAGCAAAATTCGAGAAAAGAAATGTTTCATTGAGTTACTATGGTCAGTGCACTCAGGTTCAGTGCAAATTAAAAACCAGTCAAAAAGTCGTTGCAGGGCACCTTTAAAGGGAAGCTACGGAGCTTCTTGAAAAAAATGAGTTAGAAGTTAATTCTAGTGGATTTTTACCTTATGAACCCGAATACCCAAACCATTTTCTGCGCAAGAATTGCTAAACGCGAGACACAGTCGCTGTCCGTGACGTCATCGACGGATCTTTTGGCTGCCCAAGGCTAGGGAGGCAGGGCTTCAGTCCTATTTTGAAATTGCTCTTATAGCTCTCCAGCGCGTCGCATTGGGATATAATTGTGATATCTGTGATTCTAACGGCCAAATGAATACAATACAAGTGTTTTTTTTTTCAAATGCAGAACCGCCCCATCTTCCCTTTAAGATACAAGCGTAACCGTCACAGTCTCGTTTTGCGTCTCCTCTATTTTTTTTTACTATTTGCACGTTGAAACGTTCTTTATCGTTTTTTCGTCGCCCATACCAGATACGCCTATTATGTCGCTGGAGGTGGGAGTGCACGAAAAAGGCCTACTGGTCTACGCACTGACTAGAAGGTTTCTACCGTCGAAAAATCGCTTTGCTTTCATATATTGCATCAATTTTACACTGCAGTGCAAGAAATAGATGGTTGCTCGCGTGCTGAACAATGAAAACGACCTCCTTTCGTCTGCCATTTTGCCTGACCAGTGCACCCCCTATAGTTTGCTGGAGTTGCTTGCGGCTTTACACAAATAGCACCAGCTATCAATATCTGTGCCAAACGCGTCTCTGCGCTTGGTGTTACGGAATTCCCGATGCTATGAAATAATGAAACCAATCAAGCAGTGTCAGAAGTGCTGGGCCTTTCCTGCTTATGATTGGTTCAGCAATGATAAAACACATCCAGAAACAAGATGAATGCCATAACGGTGCGCTTTCGACACTGTTTGATTGGTTCCATCAGCTTGTAGGATCGGCTGCATCTGAATAGTATTACTGCATTATATGGCGCCCAAAATGCGTCTCCGACTTGCGTGTTTACCGCGTCCAAAAAAGTGGTCCCTCAATTTCTGCCTCGCCGGTCGCGATCCTGGCAGTGTCACGGCAGCGGCGGTGCATGCGACAGACGCCCGTTCTTTTGTAGGTCGCTCTCCAGTGACGGTACATGGAAGCTTTGGCAGCCAAAAGTTGGGACGCCGCGTTGACGACGGCCCTCGCTCGCAATTTTCGCCAGCATTTCTACGACTCCCCGCCAGCATCGTGACATTTGACATCATGACACCCAGGCTTCTGTGACGTCATTTGTTGACACTTCACGACTGCTTTTGATGCATGGGCAAAGTGAGCATGAAGGCACCTTGGTATGGGTGAGATAGGACACCTAAGCACACCAGTCAGAGACGCGCTTCAGGCGCCCTAGCGTGCGGGGCGCAAGTTTGTCTGTTTCTTGCACACAGTTTGCGACGATGTAAGAACACGGAGCTCTTGTTGGTTGATTGAAAAAAAAATAGTGAGTAGACCTCAAGGCATCTGGCATTGAGGTATACCCACTATCCTTTCAATCAAACCCAATCACAGCTCGGCTTCGCTCCACAACTCCCGTGCAAAAAGCAGACGACTTGCTCTTCGCGTTACCAACGAGCTTTGTATTACAGAATTTTCAACCGCTCAATCAGGGTCACGTGGTTTATAGGCCGAATTCGCAATACAAACTGTGAGGAGGTGCCAAAGGCATTAAGCGTTTGCAAACGCTTCCGCCTTTCCGGCTGCTCTTGTCCTCGTCACGCAAAAATGCAGCGCATGTGCACTTGTGACGAATCACTGCAGGAGGCGCACGCCATTGAATTGCAAACACTCTCCATAATTTGACATTAACCCTTTTTTCAATCTAGGTGCTCTAAAAAAACAGATGGTTGGTGGCGCTGCTCGCTGGAGCGGAAGTGAATAAAAAGTCTGTGTGATGCGCGTGTCGACTAATCAGACGTTTGGTCAAACCTGGGACGTTTACCACACTCTCTACCCCGAGTAGATAGTAGATTCTTCGGTGAATTGCATTGCGGCATCAACTAATGAATGTACAGTTTGTTCTGAAATTTCTTATACAAATAGTTTGAAGAGCAGATGAAGTCATGGGAACCTTGATGTTGCTTTGGTTGCATGTCGTCTCCAGCAATTACCGTTCGACTTGCGCAGTGTTCAGCTTTTGGTGAAGAAGCAAAAGACATGAGAGGCAAGATCTGTGTTCAAGTAAACATTATTGTAAAAATTAAAAAACAAAAACGAAAAAAAGGGGGGGAAAGGACGGCGGAATAAATTTTTGAAGGAAACATATTTACAATACAGTTTACACATGCAAAAGAGTAAACGTGCACTGGGCAAAGCAGGTGTCGAGTATTTACACCGTTTTCCACACTCAAGTGACACGACGAGTAGCTTACACCGGGGTGCAGGAGGAACCACATTCGCTTGGCCCAATTCTTAACAGCGGAAGCATAGATCTGCATTCGAAAGACCTGTCAGAGCGGACTTTCCCTTTAGTGTGCAATGTGCAACAAAAAAGAACGGATAGTTGGGAGAGTTGGTGGGAATTTGCGCTGTTTCCACGGTCCAACATCGAAATGCAAAATTCTAACAAAAAATAATGTCACATAGACTGAGTTTGTAACAGTAATCACCATCCTAATTTGGTTCCTACCATAGCAGCACCAACAATTCATTATTTTCACCGCAAATAAATAAATGCCAGCCCTAGCTAGCAACCCAAGAACGAGCTGAGAAATCACACTTCCGAAAATAAAAAAAATTTGCTCAAAGCAGACTGCCAGAGGCATGCTTTCGGGAAGCTTTGTGAAATACCGTGGGCTTCGTGACACAGTAAGCAAAAATGCACTTTCTCGCGTGTTTCACTGTTTTTTTTCTTGCAGACACAGGAGTGCTGTCCATGCTACCACACAGCGATGCCAAAAGTGTGTGTCTGTGCACGGCATAAACATAGGTCATAAAATTCAACGCTTGCTGCCCACACGACTCGGCAAAAATGCATACAAGCACCTATCCCATGTCTGCAAGAACTTTTGACTCGACATACACCTTCGAGACAAACAAATGCTCGAATCTGCCGAGGCGTTAGCGCCGGTTCCTGAAAATATCGCCACGGTGGACGGCAAAACATCGCAGCAAAGCCGTTCATATTTTTTTTTTTTTCGGCGAGTACCACGGCGGGTAGAAAAAGAGAACGACGCCAATCTCAGCGGCTTTGCAGCAACTACAGTGCACGCAACGCGTCTCTGAGCAGTGCGTCCGGCGTCTTGTTCCGCCCGTGCCTCGAAAGTGGTCCCGAAGCAGCAACGAACGACGTCGCAAAAGCCCGAGTGTCATGCTGTCAGATGTCGCAATCCCCAAAATCCGAAAAAAAAAAAACAAAAAAAAACACAATATAATGCGAGTGTTACTGTCGTCGCGCCGTCCCAACTCCCGGTTGCCAAAGCTTACGAGGGACTGTCATACTAGAGAGCGACCTGCGGCGAATGGGCATCTTCCACATCCACCACTGCCGCCGACGGCGTGGCGCTTTTTACGACGTCGTCGGGCGGAAATCGAGGGACCACTTTCTGGACGCGGTAGGCACGCAGTTGGGGAAGCATTCTATGCACCGTGATGGCGAGACCACCGAAGCCGCCGACGGTCGGGACGGCTTCTCTCAACGTGACGTAACACGGAGCAGCAACGTGCCTTCCCTCCGCCAAGCACGCCTCTTCCGACAGAGACGAGTCTCTGCCGCCGTCAAAGATCCAGTCGACGGGAAGCAGAGGGCACGAGGGGACCGGCTACTCGAAAGAATGCCGCGAGGCCGAGGATTTTTGAGGGTGAAAATTCGGTGCTGGTACGCCGGGACGCCGTTTCTCACTCTCGGCTCGATAGGAGTGAGAAGAGGGTGAGACAGCAGAGGCAGGCGGCGACCAGCCCCAAGGAGAGCAGGCCGGCCGTCACGAGGCCAAACGCGAAAAGGTACAGCGTCCGATCACAGTACAACAGGCTGGACCGGTCCACATAGTCCGGCGGGTAGGCTCGGTAGACCCAGACGCAGCCTGCAAAAGAAGAAAACAGAAAATATATATACTGCTGGCCAATAAGAAAGAATCAAACGGCCGACATTGTGAGCATGCTGGTAGGCGGGCGGATTGCTCGATGTGTCAACGCCGGTTGTGCGTTTGGGTCAGCGTTATTAGATTAGCTCAGTTATGAAACTGCTAATAAACACTGCATGCACAAGCAGTACCCCCCTTCACTCACCACGACTCACTTTCTGTCGTTCGATGCGCAGGACGGCTGCTTTGGTAACTGCAGTGTATTCCATGGGATACGTATGTTTCAAAGTGCAGCGTCTACATGGCGTTCCACCATACTCTATGGAACACTTAGTTTGTAAACAAAAATCTAGATGGCACTTCGAACAACGGGAGGCGGACTGAAGTGAGTGGGGGGTACCCCCTTCTGCGGGAGTTCCACAGAGGTAATCTAGTAACTTCGGTTTGGGTCAAATGGCCGAATGAGTGTGTTCCAATTTTAAAATTAATTCTCGAGAATATCTCCGGCATTCCTTTAAATTTTCCTTCAAAAAAGTTTATTGGCGAGCTGCTTTGGCAAGAAGCTCGACGAGTCGGAGAGTTGCTACCTGCCCGTTTTTCGACAGTACGGCCAGTTTTCCGGATAGCAAGACAGCTGCCGGTCTGGATCTTAAACCAGCTATCTAAACGCTTTTCATTTTTTTATTTATATTTTTTTCTGGGGGGGAGGGGGCAGCCTACACCCCATCCCCCCCCCCCCCCAAAAAAAAAAGAAAATGGGAGGGTGGCTTTTATAATTATATTCTAGACTGTCAACACAAACTAGCAAAAAAAGTGCATGTTAACAGATAACTTTTTTTTTTAAACAAGGTACATGAAAATTTGTTGAGTACTCCCAAGCAAGCTTGTTTGAAGAAAAGAGGGAAATGGGAGAAAATAGAAAGCCGACACCTGCGGGGGTGCAAGAAATATGCAACTACCACACAGGGCTGCCCTGTCCTCCCAATAGCTGTCTGTACCTTTGGGGTGGGGGGGTGAGGCGGGGGAGGTGAATGGTGCCCGTCCGCAGAGTGAGCGGCCGAGGAGTTTCCACTTCCTTCTTCACTTTGGCGCTCGTTTTCTTTTCAGTCATGTACGTCCACATGCTTCATGCTTTCAAACTCAGTCTTTTTTTTTTATCTGGTACTTTTTTGGGGTTTTTACCTGCACACGAGGATATACTGAAACATGTGCAGGCTGTCTCCAGGAAAGGCTGACATTTGTAGGGAAATTGTAGCCTGCATGTGTGCCAAAAATGACAGGAGCAGCACTGAGTGCTTACTCATCGCTGCGGCTCAGGATGAGCAGAGGTGCGGGATTTGTTTTTGGCGCTTCACTTTTTACTAAATTATATGTAGCTATGCACGTTATTGAGTTCAGTGTTGTGTGTTTGTGTACTTACATGTGCTATTGTATTTTTATACCTATGTTAATCGATTTCGCTCTGGGAAGCTCATGTCAAAATAAATTGAATTTGAATATTAAAGACTGTCAAAACTGCGTTTTTCCTCCCATACCAGGTCAATCCCGCATAACCCCTCGCCCCCGGAATCTTCTTAGAAGAAAGGTGGCAACCCTACGAATGATGCTTCATAAGTATGGAAGCTCTATCACTTATTTTCATTTCATTTGCTGGAATCTGTATTAACAAATGAAGCTGCATGCTTTATACTCTAAAACTTTAAATGAGAAAGCACCATCAACAGTAATTAAATAAGAATGACTAAGCATCATTACTTTTAACCAGCTCAATCCAAGTTTCCCCACAAACAGATTACAGTTGCAAGTTTGCCTCGGCTATTCCAGAAAACAGGCCCTTCTAAGTATTCACCAATGCAACTGCCAGCTATGCTACGGAAAAGAGCTGCCCGACACCACTGTCACACTAACGCGGGTAATTGCAGATATGCTCTTAAAACATGTGACCCGACCAGACACTGAATTGTAAAAGGATTTGCGCGAGTGTTTACCACAATTACTGTATCATGTAAGAAGCCTAGAAACAAGCAAAAAGGGTAATAATAATAATAACAAAAAATCCATATTCACTTGACAGTTTTACTGCCAACTTCAGTTGAAACAAAGCAAGATGGGCCACTCACCTGCAACATACCAGGCAAAAAGAAAGCAGTTGACTAGGGTGCCCCAGGTGCGCTCTTCAGCACGCTGCTCGTCCGTCGTGGCCCTGCCCCCCTCGCCTTCAGCTCGGCGGCACTTGCCGCACACATCCAGCAGCGTTTTGAGGACGCCGAAGACTCCGCCCATGACCAGGAAAATAGGAATGTATTTCTCGGCGGGGCAGTCGTTGAGGTACGTCGTCCCTGGAACGTGGGGACATCAGCGTCAGCTGCCGCAACGGATCAACGAGAAGGACGTCGTCGGGCAGTGCCGGCCATGTGCACGAAGTACTGGCTCGTTCAAGTTTAGTAAATGGAATTATACGGAATTTCATAGTCCAGGTTGGGCTTAAATAGGACTGTTAAGCCTAATTGGGTAAGTTAGACTCTCGATTTTGTTGCTTATTGCTTGTTTTCCTCTTTCTGCAATGGAGCATGGAAAAAGGTTTCTCCCGATGATAGCTATCAGCACTGACACCTTTGTCAGATGCTATATGTCTTTATATATCTTTTAGTGATTGCTTGTTGTTGGCAAAAATGAGTGACATTACCTAAGAAGAACACAGAGGCACCCTGGTCTCAACAGACCGCCTAAACTAGTTACAATTAATAAAGATTATATTAGAAAATGATAAGGCCTAACATCTCAGTAAGCACAAACCAACGCTACGACAAAACAAAACAAGGTGCAGACCCTTGACAAGTAGCAGATTGCATAGGCTTCCTGCATTGCCCAGGAGAAGCTGCGAAAAAGGACTCGTGAGGACTTGTTTTGGGTAATACAAACTTGATCGTCTCAAACTGCCACACAAGTAAGAGCGTGCCTGCTCTGTTGCAGTACGCGAGATCACAAGGAAAATACGAAGAAACAAAACAAATTTAAACGCCGTTGAGGCACAGGTCGAAGCTAAAACGGTAAGAGCGTGAACCAAGAAATGCTGTTACACAAATTCGAAAGAAAAAGGAAAATAAAAAGCATTGGGATGCTACATGCTTTGACGTAAGCACACAGAGATAAGTGACGCATACCCTAGTGGAGGTGGCATGAATCTGACACTCTCTAGTGTCTTGCGGCATTGAATCTTGACGATTTTGGACGTCAAAAGGTGTTTTCCTCGATTTTAAGCACTACGCAGAAAGATAAAAGCTCAACAAAGGTGCCATAAGTAGTACAAGGCCCAGTCAGGGGAACTTGTACTACCCAAAATGAGGGCACCACAGTTTGTTCAAAGCTCCAGTTCATGAGGCTTATAGAAAAATATATGGACCACCAAGCTCCAGCTAAGAGCCAAACACCAGTGAGGAACAAAAACAAACAAAAAATATTCACCTATGACAACCATGCTGAAGGGAATAATGACTGTGACTCCTATCAAGATTGTGCAGCCCACTGCAAGAGAAAGCAAATGGATTGAGAATCAGTCATCAATGCCCGACAGACTATAAGAAACAAGGAAGGCCAGAGCCCCTGGACTGACTTACGAGTTCCGAGCAAGAGGAGTACGACGCTCTGCAGGAATTGCACCACTCCGTTGGAGGCCTTGTGTGCTTCCCGGACCTGCCCAAACAGTGACTGGTAGGACGGCGGAGGAGCTACGAAAAAAATAAAACAGCCTAGAAGTTGGCAGAATGTGAACTCTCTTAATGACATTCAAACTTTGTATGGTATCATCGGGTATGAAATAAATGCGAACAGTGTGGCCTTCTATACTTTCTGGGCAGACTAGAGGCAACAAGGAACAGATAAAACTGCGGAGTGGAGAGAGGGGCCATGATGGTGTACAGATCAGAGCAGCCTTTTTTTCACCCCATAGTTCTATCAGTCCCTTAGCTGCTTCTGGGTAGCGTAGCATGTATCCAAGGCCACACACTCCACGGCTTGCATTTAATTTTCCGGGGAAGTAAACATGAAAACCAAAAACGAGTTGAGCAGTAAGGACCAAAAATCGGTCACCGAGTCATCAAATAATAAATAAATAAGTTAATTAGGCACTTACTGGTCCCATTCCAAACTTGCTCAATCTTCTTCAGGATCAAAACCCCTGTACATAAGTGCTTGAAAACTACCCATGACCATCACATTGCTTCACGTGTGTCATCAATTGACGCAATATACCGTAGCGCCAGGTCTACTCGAGTAATATTTGGAGCATAAACATCAACAAAGGTGGCGCCTTCTTGTACGACCTCTACGGCATGGAACAAGGAAAGTTTTTCGGGTGCCACTGCTAACTGTCACACGACGTGATATCTGCGCCAGCCACCCAAAGCAAAATGCAACACTTTAGACAGCTACTTTGACAGTATCTGCGATAGAAGCGGCACCAGAAATTTTCAGCGTAGTGTCATCGTCACCGCCATGCCAGAACGCTGGGCTTTAAATGTACAGCGAAGAAAACGTTTTGAGGGGTGTCCAAACAGGACACTACGAAACGCACGACTCCGACGAATCGTGAAAATTGAAGCGGACGCGCCCGCTTCAATTTTCTTGATTTGTCGGAGTCGTGCGTTTTGTAGTGTCCTGTTTGGACACCCCTTTAGCCAACCATCATCACACACCAATATTTTTATTTCAAGCAGTGCGGTGTAAGATGACAGTTGGACAAAACTTCTTTGTGGCAAAGGCTGGTCCACACATTTGCATTTGACTGATCGACAGCGCTACAACCCCGTGTGATGACAATTAAGATGGGAGAAGAGGTTTGCGACATCTATCAAGTAGCACCAAAACCCTTTCAATTTGCATATAACTGTAGGTCTTGCAGTGTATGCAATATCAAGTCTAGTCGTAAGCCTTGACAAGGGATCATAGCGCACCCTATCACAGTCAAATGCAAGTGTGTGAATCAGTCGTTTCCCGCGAAAAAAAAGCTTGTGCTGCCGCTTTTCCACGAGCTAATTTGGAAGTGTCAGATTACTTTTCTGGTGCCTGTAAAATAAAGATCTTGGAGGCTCGTCAAGAAAAAATCACGGCACATTGATTAGAGGCCGACAATGGGAAAATACCGTCTGGGTTGGTGATGTCGTCGTAGGATGGTGGCAGATCATTTTCGACGGGACTCCGAAAGGGTAGGATGGGATGCGCCGTGTCTCGGTAGGGTGGTAGGGACATGGCGAACTCCTGTGCGGGAAAGGCCGAGAGGCCGTGAAAACACAGAACGTAATTCGTGATGGATTGCAACTGACAGGGAACAAAGATTGTGGGTGACTCACGCTTCTAGATACCACGTCATTCATAACGTTTAGTCTGCTTATAAAGCGTGTTCTTTTTTTTTTCTTTCTTTTCACCTTTCATTTTTTTTTTTTTTTGAAAGCTGGGCACTTTTTTATGTATTTAAAGGGCGCTATCAATTGCTTCTCTCATTTCGTTCTAATTTCCGTGAGGTACATATTGGTCATCTACCCGTTCCGTCAAAGTGTGACACGAAAAAGATTGCATTAAATATCGTCTTTCCACTGCTGTTTAAAACAGAGACGTAAACGGGACCAAAGGGCAAAATAGAAACTGTAAAGTAAAAATGTAGAGTGCTCAAAAATAAACCGCGGCCAAGTCACTGGGCGTAGCACCCGTAGCGAGCTCAGCTTACAGCGATCTTCTCGGACGAATATCGCCACGTGGATGAAAGGAAGTGAGCGCACTTTCACATCGGGTAACAGGTGACAGTCTAGGCTACAAATGGGGCACCGGAAAGGCGCTAGTTCACATAGCATCGCTCACTCGTTCGCTGTACAGCCGTCGGGTATCGGAGTCCGCCGCCATATTTGTTTACCGCAGCAAAGCTTTCCTCCTCTCCACCACTGCTTCTCCTTTCTGAATGTTTTTTGTTCCTTTTTATTTTGCGGGTGACCCGTTTCGTTTGTTTACACTACTCTTGTAAGTTGTAACCGGGCGGAGTATGAGGAGTAGGCAAAGTCACGTGGTACGCTGACGTCAGAAGTGTCGCAATTTTTGTGCTCTTCGTGATCGAAAAAAAAAACAAAAAAAAAACAGCGAAAGTTTATTTTGAGAATCGACGATATACAAACAGCTAGCTCATCCGCCTGTTCGCTGTACTTTTGACAAGTACGTTTGTCTTGCTTTTGAAGTATTTTCGCAATTTTCCCAACCGTCGATTTAGCAGCTGTGGAGCAGCTGCAGGGCTGCAGTGTACAGCACCGTGCTGCACAGTGCCACAGCACGTGTGCCACAGCTGGTGTTTTGAAGCTGGTTTGTTAGCTGAAGCCAGCCGCGGTACAAAGAAGATACGGCGACGATTACGAACGATCACGACTGTGGCCACAAGGAAACCAAAACTTTGGGTGCGTACGATCTGTGCGATATGCATTCAACAAGACTCCTCGGGATCCGTCTGCTAGCCGAATCGTGCAGACGACGCGCCAGTGACGCTCGCCTCACGCACGTTGATGATTATGGCGGCGCCAAAATGGTGGACGTTTCGAACAAGCCAGGCACCGTCCGAACGGCGACTGCTTCGGGCAGGGTCCTCCTGGGCAAAAAGGTCTTCGACTTGGTCAAGTCCAACCAAATGAAGAAAGGTGACGTGCTGTCCACCGCTCAGCTCGCCGGCATCTGCGCCGCCAAGCAGACGTCCCAGCTGATTCCGCTGTGTCATCCGGTAGCGCTGAGCAAGGTTGACGTTACCCTGACTTTGGTGGAAGAAACTCACGAAGTCAGCGTGAACGGGTACGCCAAATGCACGGGCCAGACAGGTGTCGAGATGGAAGCACTGACTGCGGTCGCGGTCGCGGCGTTGACTGTCTACGACATGTGCAAAGCGGTCAGCCGCGAGATGAGAATAACCGACATACGGTTGACCTCTAAAACTGGTGGGACTAGGGGAGACTACCAGGAATAAAATGTTACTGACAAAAGCTTTTCAATTTATTTTTTCTTTAGTGCATATGTCTATTGAGGTTACCTCCTACATACCCAACATCGAAACACTTAGTTCGCAATAGCGTTTTGCCACTCCAATGTTCAAACCTTAGCTTCTGAAAGGGTTGCCCATTCATTTTTTGTTATGCTGCACAGACTCCTCTGGTGCATGCTAGCTATTCACCTTTTCAGGACTTGTACCCCAGAAGAAAAATGCTGAGGTGCTGGTCTGGACGCATGCACGGCCCGCACAGTGTTTAATATTTCGCAAAAGAGAGCTACTGTGCATGCTCAGAAAATGTTCCACAGTCATTTAGGCAAAGATGGCAGCGAGCGGTCTACAAAGCAGGCGAGCTGGTGACAATTCATCTTTGAAAAATCTTGAGACTGAGGAAAACAGAGAAAAGGGGACACCACGCACAACCTGAAACACAGCTCAAGGATTTCCTTTGCAAAATCGCCGGATAACAGCGGAGTTGTTGAGGTCATGCTGTTCGCTGGGCATTAGTAGGAACAATGGGGATCGAGCTTTACCTTCATGGCACAAATACCCACAGCTTGTGACTGCGAACTCACCCCTGCAGGTAAATAGTAAGCAGCTATGGTGTCTCGGGACCCAGAGTCACAATACCCCCAAAATGAAGAAGGGCATTATTGCTCAGTTTACTTTCCTTAAACGGAGTGTTTAGAGTTCCGTCCAGACAGAACAGTAGCAGACGCAGTACAGTTCCGTCCAGACGGAACGATAGCAGGCCCAGTAGAGTTCCGTCCAGAAGGAAAGGTAGCTGGCCCAGTAAAGTTCCATCCAGATGGAAGGGCAGCAAGCCTCGTAGAGCCCCTTTGGTTCCGTCCCCAGGGCCCAGTAGAGGATATATTGTTCCTTTTCGTCCAAGCTAGAGTAACAATAACAAGCTCTCAATCAATTTGTTGGGACACCAAAGGTGTTTTTTTTTTGCAGTTACTTACAAGGTGGCGCCATAATACCAGGTTTTTATTAAAAGATCCCATTACAAATTTATGCGCTGCAATCAAGGAGAAACATTGTGGAAAGTTAAGACAGGGAGTGCTTCTTCATTACAACGATGCACCCAGCCTCAGGTCTTGCATTACAATGGTTGCCATTCCCAAATAGAGCTTTGAAAATGGTATCTGCCACATTCACTGTATCTGGCTCCCAGTAACTACTTTTAGAAAAAAAGAAAGAGACAAGCCTGCATGGGAGGCGAATTTTAATCGGTACATGACGTAATATAAGCCAGAGATGTGCAGTTTGCAGAGGTTGGACAAGCTTTTTTCCAGGAAGGAGTAGAAATGTTATAGGATTGCTGGAACAAGTGCATTTTACTTGAAGAAGACTACATTAAAAATAACATAGGAACATTGCCAATTGTTACTCCATTAATGGGTCAGGGTAGGAGCATAGGGATAAATCCTTGTGCATGCTGGACGGAGCTTCAGTGGCGCGTTTCTCTTTCGTCTGGACGGAACTTTAGCAGCGGTTATAATTCCCTCGGGATGGAACCCTACAAGGTTTGGTAACTTTCCGTCTGGATGAAACTCTAGTGGCGACTATTGTTTCATCTGGACAGAACCCTAGCCACAGCCTTCTTCTAAAACATTACAAAATATGAAAAGTATATTTTTATGTAATATATAAACTTACATGCATATAGTTATGTTAGTCAGCACAGAGTCCTATTTGTTTGGGAACTATCGACTTACCATTTTTAATAGGAGTAAGACATGGACGAAGTACACCTAGTGTGGGAAAGTTTTCTTTTCTTATCAGAAAAGAAAGAAAAAAAAACAGGTACAGTGCAAAACAAAAAAAGGTTTAATCCATGTTTTTTTTGTTTTTTTTTTCGCTTATGTAAAGTTGGTGTATTTATTTTTCTTGTGACGACACTGGGCCTTGGCGTATTTTTGCCATAATATTTTTGTGTTCAGTTAGAGGTATGTAAGATAGACATTATACATTTTTCAATAATGCACTTCTTTAGTTTATTCTGCATTAAAAAAAACAACAAAAACTACTGGTCCTTGCAAATTTAGACAAGTCGATAAGCACCAACAGCATGGACACAAAGTTGAAGAGACATACCTACTTGGATCTCCATTCGTACGACACAAAAAAAGTGATTTATCACAATGGCATCTCATGGCCAAGCACAGTTTCATTCTCGTCAGAAGAACACAAACACAAAAAGCACCATCCCCCCACAAATTTGAACCATTTCACAAAGATTTACAACCACTGCTGACTCATGCCAGCAATGCAAATATGTACATAAGATATGTATACTATTTACAAGTGTGTACACCGTTTGGAAGAAAAAAAATGTCCGACCCACACTTATACAAGCTCCCACATTCCCATAAATATACACCGCATGTAAAAAAAAAAGCCAGTCTCGCAATGCCTAGTCAATACGCATCACAAACAATAACAGACAAGGAAGAATGTTTTAAATTAGCAGAGGTTAGAAGCATGGCGTATTGGGGACACATGAAATTCATCTCCCTGAGCAGAACCAAGAGTGACTCGGCAAGATCAAAGGTGACTCGAAAAAATCACGGGCATTTTCAAAGAATCGTAAACGAGTCACAATATATAGAAGTGACTAAGCCCAGAAACAAAAGTCCTCCCCACAACCAAAAAAAAAAAAGTCACTCAAAGAAAAAACACAAAAGAAACAATCGGCCAGCGAAACCTTTGGCAAGAAAAAAAAAACGACAAAAACAACTTAAGTATGCGAATGTGCAAAACCGTTTGATCGTCTGCAGATGGCAGGAACCTTGCCCACCTCTCTGCTCAGCTTGGCCCCCTTTGAACGCTACAAATGTTCCAACTCAGTGTCTGTACCAAAATCATGCAAAAACCAAAAGTCCATTTGCATTCGTAAATAAAAAACTAAACAGAGCAAGAACAAACATGTTAAAAACACAACATGGCATGGACAAGAGCCGGTGCAAGTATCAGCACCTCCGATGCGCAGGACACGACACAGATTGGCATTTTGCATAGGATTCAGCAGTGGTGAATGCTCCGAACACCGAAGAAAAGAAAAAAAGTGACTAGTATGGCCGTGGGCAACCACGAAAGCACCTGGTCGTGCGACAAACTGGCAGTTTTCCTTGTACAAAAGCACGGCTCGTGCGCCGCACACGAACGTAGAGGTCCATAATGCACATTGGTGATGTGAACACACCTTTCTCAAAGGACGGAAAGTTGCTGCTTGAGCAACTGCCAGCACTTGAAGCACTGTATGGCAGAGCGAAACTTGCAACGGGATGCCGTGATGAAAGTAGATTGCATCCCTGGTTCCATCCAAGATCCTCTTCCAGACCACGATCCAAAGTCGGTTCTCAATAGGTCGCCATCGAGCATCCCCACTAGTAATTCATGTTTGCTGTGCACACGGTAATCCAGCGTTACTAATAGCTCTGCCCCGCCCAAACAGAAAGTTTATCAAACCCGTCACAGGCGTTGCTGGCAACCGTGCTGCACTTCAAAAATCTTTACTTGCGTTTCTCGCCGTGACACAGACTCCTTTTAGGAAGATGTTCCCATCACGTTCACGGGAACAGTTGGTCAACGGTCAGTTTGGTAGGGTCGGACCGTAATAGCAATGCAACTGACAGAAAAGCAAGAAAGTAAGAACTCAGAATGCTCTCTTTCTCCGAGGCAGTGTAAAAGGTCACTGTAAAATGGTCTGTGTAAAAGCTCGAAATTTAGTTTACCCTGTTCAAGGCTTCAGAAAGGCACCGGAGATTGAAGGACCAAGGGGCCCGACGATTCGACTTAGCTCGAAACGTGTGAACTGCGTGTGGGAAACTTGCAGCAAAGTTAAGAGGCACGGCTCAGAAACAAACGATCAGCCCCCCTCAAGCTTGTTCGTATAAAAAAAAAAAGTCCTAGTGCATCCGCAACATCCCCTTAAATTTATCTCCACAAAGCGGGCAACGAAAATGATGGCGACACAGCAGTTCAGGCATCCAGATTTGGAAGTTGAAACAAATCTCCCAAAAAAAGCATGTCTGCTCGTACATTTGTAAGTCCAGGCCCGAGCATGTCAAATGCCATAAACGCTGTCATCCACGTCTTCTCATCCACAATGAACGAAAACCGAGCACGAATGGTGGGGTTGACCTCTCGTCCTAGCACCGCAGATTCACAAGTCCGGCGGCAACAAATTCACTACAAAAAAGTTTTAAGCGCTCCGTCACAAGAGGAGGCTACGTGGGCAGGGACACCGTGACGTCTTCCAGCGACGAAGAGGGCCGCTGCGAAAGGCAGTACGATGAAGTCAGTCCTGGCGAAGGCAGTCCCAGTGAAGACAGCACCGACGGACTCGGGGCAGAGGACGCGAACGACGAGAAGTCGTCTCCGGGGGTGTGGCAGGCCGAGCGGAAGACGACGGCTACGTTTCTGGATCCGCGGGACCACGACACCGACCGTGTGGAGTCCCGTGTCCTCTTCCGCGTGCGCTCTTCTATCAGCGTGAGCACGACGTCGCCCGGCGTCAGGCTTGTCTGCAGGGCGCGAACCACGAACCTGCAGGGGACGAAGTGATGTCGGATGATTAACAGATCTCTTGAAAAGAGGATCCGAAAACAATGCAAAGCCGTCTTGGACGCCCTTCACGACTTTGCATGTGAAGCAGGCCTTCAAAACATTTAGTGCATTCTTCTTTAGTGACGTATCCCTCATATCATATTCCTTTCACTAGAAGCTCATGAGCCAGTAGCGATCATACTAAGTATTTCTGAATTTAAAACCTATTTTCGATCAATCAATCAATCCAGATGAGTGATTCTTTTCCCTATCTTTAAGTACTAATTGTGGTCAGAATCTAAGGTAATGTACAGTATAGACCACTTACAACGTAACCGCTTATAGTGCAGGACCGGGTATAACACGTTTTTTTTTAACCACCGGTTCGCCTCCCATAGAACTCCATGTAATTACATACCGCTTAAAATGCAGGCGTGCGAAGGGAAATACCGGTTATAGTGCGGTTTCTGGAACGACCGGCGACACTCAATAACGCCACTCGCGGGGAAAGGAGGTTGCTCGAGGAAGCGAAGAGAAGCAAAGAGAGAGGCTTCAGTTGCCATAGCGATGGAGGGACGCACGCACGTGTCGTTCTTGTGCGTGCACATACTAGAAGGAAAGATCCACCTACTCGTGCGGCGATGTCGTGGTGGCACTCTCAAGACGGCAGAAACGCTCGTGTCGTCGTGTTTCTTTACTTTGACTACAGTGGTGATTTCTAAGCATTTGCGTCCTCGAACATCGCCCGGATTTTTTATTTGGCGCATTTCATGCGTGTGCTCAAGTTGAAGGTATTACTGGTGCGTACCGTATGAAGGACGCGAATTTTCACGCGTTTTCATCACCGGAGAAAAGTGATTAGGGTTAGCAATCCTGAACGCTCGCAACGTCCGTCCGCAACCCGTGACGCCGTTAACAGGCTGCGCCAGGCAAAAGCCGCTCATTGTTTTCAAAATGTGTGACACACTTGAGACAGAACTGTACTAGTCTGGTGAAATAAAGACTTTCCTCAAACTCAGCTTTATTTTTCATCTAACATAAAACAATTTCTTTTACAAAGGTAAGTTGTCTCATGGCATGTATTTTGGCCTGAAAAATTGATGTTTCGGTTATAGCGCGGTACCACTTATAGTGTGGATTTTTGCGACTCCCGCGACATACGTTATATGCGGTCTACACTGTATTATGAATCCTGCATGGCTGTCAAGCATTAAAGACATTTTAACAAGTCTGGTGCTTGACATACAAGTAACATTCTCGTTAAAACTGATACCTGTTTAAGGAATCCAAGGTTACTACTTTCCAAAGTAAGAGACATGGGCTTTCAAGATGTGCTCAGAAGCACTTAGTAATGTCTCAATAAATTTACTGTTACTGGAGACTAGATGAATATATTTCTTATAAGACAACAACCATTAAGCGAGAGTGTGAAAAAATTTTTTTGTTAGAAATTAGCATTTATGCCATCTGCTAAAAAGTTGAATAAAAACCAGACAGTTTCAGATGCTAAAATAATAAAATTGCCCCTTGCAGTTAAATGAAGGAATACAGGAAAGCCAAGACTGGCAGAGCATTGATAAAAGTGACTAAGAAGACTGGGACTCAGCTGGTAAACCACTTGCTGAAAGCGTGAATAAATGAGGAGTCACCTGGGCAGACAGCAGATGACTGGAATGAGCAGGAGGCAAAGCCAGAACTGGGCAGTCAGCATGGCGTGCTGCATCACCCAGAAGGGGTTCTGCAGCGACGGCGAGTCGTAGCAAAGGCCGTTGTACATCAACGCAAACCCAAAGTAGACGAAGAAGCTCGCCACTATCGACATCCCGTGCATCAGCGTCTGATGAAAAAGAAAGGCACTGGCGTCGGTTAAATGTGCAACGCGGACGGCGTGCGTCGAGCGAGAATTCATAGGCTTCGTAAGCCTTTGAAATGAAAATTTAGGCACAATATCGAGTTGTAAAGGCAGAATTCATTTTCATACTTTAGTATGAAAGAGGAAAAACATGAAGGAAAGGACAGACGATTACTCTTTTTCAAAAGACAATGGCTGTCTGTCCTTGTCCTTTGCATTTTCATTTCTTTTAAACTGAAGTGCTCTATGGATAACACACTCGAATCGATTCAGTATTTATTGTTGTCGGAGATATGAACACTGCATAGCTATCGTAGCAAACTTGAGAAAACGCTAAGAAAACTACCAATGCAGCCCCTCTACGGCTAAAACTGACATCGCAAAGGAATTGACAGTGAAGCAGAGTTGAAACATGCTCGTAACACTGTTGGAGGAATTTGAGGCATACTAATCGACTGAGGATTCTTTGCAAATAACTGTCTACTCTATACTTTGTTTCACCGATGGACTGCAGATGACGCTACAAGCCATCCCGACCAATCACCAATCTAGTGCTGTGGGTGCATCATGTGACTACGTGGTTTGCGCATCACTGCTTCCTTTCCAAAAAACACGTGACACTCACACTTCGTTTAAAATTTATTTTGTACTGCTAGACGTCGACTGGCCAAAGCAGGAGTGGGTAAAGGTTGAGAAAATACATTATCATAATATACAGTAACAGAAATGATGTCACCATAATACACAGTAATTGAAATGACATAATCGCATGAAATTAGATTGGCTCCAATGGCGTGAGGTGTCTGCTGCGGTTCGTCGTAAGGTGAGACGAAGCACAGACAGGTTCTAGTGTAATCACTGGTGGTAGCAAGAGCAAGACTAATACTTGACTAAAGCTAATAAGACAAACTCTACGAAGGATACCGACACGCACGTGAAAGAGAGAGAAAAAAAATGAGCAGTCCTGTGTTAATCTACAGTACAGTCACAGCTAAGTTGTTGGAAATCAGTGCCGCGTTCACGCGCCATGGGGTGCGTGAACAGAAACATTAGAAACAAAACAGACATCCAACCATATTGTTCAGACTGCTTTTGCTTCTTTTTTTGTTCCGGAGCGCAGGAGCGCAGGAAAATGCGCCTCCCAGAACGAGCTCTAGGCACTGACAGTGCTATGACGGCATTCTATTTCTTTAGTAGTATGCGACGACCACTTGCAGTGGTTGTCACATACTACAAAAAAATTGCGGTGGCTTAGCTCGGCTATGCCAGGATATACGTAGCATGAACTTATGGGCACAAATGAGAAACACTATCCAGCGGCTCCGGTGCAGCGTCAGACTTGGCTACTGCGCAACGGAGGTGCACAGCTGGGCACGCGGCGATGCCAGTGCGTCTGCCGCGGCTATGACGTCACTCCTCTGGAATGCGCAGACTGGCCAGCAGGGATGGGCAAAATACATGCAAATATGTATCGAAATACAAATACAAAATACTGCGTCAAAAATGTATTTAATTACAAATCTAATTACATTTTCAAAAAAGCATTTAAGTACAAGATACAAATACATCCCAATGTCTTCGGCCTCCTCCAAATACTTCTCCAAATACATTCCTCAAAATTTGCATCAGCCACTTCAGGGCACCTGCAACGGGTTTCTGGGTATCTCATCTTAATTTTGCATCGCACACTCGGGAGTTGGTGTGCGAGGCTCTAGTAACGTAATAGAAATATAATCATAAAAAAATGTAATCAGCTTAGACGTAATAGGTGAAATAAGTACAGAGCTTCAAGCAGCTTTTTGTCGATCACATTTTGGTATAGACCAACAAAGAACCGAAACGACCAAGACGCGCATCACTAGCTGGAGAATTTTTTATTGCTGCTACTCGCACCAGTTACGAAAATCTGGACGACCCGTGCATTTAGAATGTTCCAGGCAAAAATATGGAGGTAAATCAGGCTGGAAAACATCAAAAGTTGTTAAAGGCACTTATTTAACCAGTCTGCCCTGGACTAGCACCGTAATCACAAAGTCACTAAACGCTTGTGCTTGATTGAGAGACACTGCATTTGGTGCAGAACATTGTTTTCTTCCTGCTCTGGAGGGTGCCTTTAAAATAAAGCTGGAGGAGAAAAAGAAAAAAGCCCCATGGCCGAACGAAGAATGGAGACTATATCTTATAACCACATGCATAAAAACAAGATGTATTTTCGCCCGCAAAATTGTATTTAATTACAATTGTATTGGAAATAACCCACGTTTTAGTATTTAAATACACACGTGAAATACATTACCCAATTTGTAATTAAATACAAAGGCAAAATACACAAAGTATTTAAAATACGTATTTCAAATACTTGTATTTGAAATACTGCCCATGCCTGCCGGCCAGGCACACGCGGCGGCGGCAGAGTGCACGGCGGCGGCTGCTCCGGCGCGCCAGCTCTGCGCCGTGTGACGTCACTGCTCCTCGCGCGTGCGCAGCACGGAGCACGGCTCATTATGCGAGACACGCGAAACTGCTCAACCTCGGCCAGTGTAGCTCACGCTACAAAACCCTACAATAAGATGAATTGTTATAGATGTGGCGTAGCTCTGCCCTCTGCTTCGCACGCAGCGGACCCGGGTTCAATACCCTCGAGCGGTGGGCGGTCTTTTGCAAGGATTTGGCAACATCGACGACGGACACCCTGTGACCCTACAACTACAACATCGACAACAACATCAACGGCTACAACATTATTAACAGACGTCTTTCCCAGAGGTGGAAAGAGCCCATAACAGCTAGCAATGTAAGAAATGAAGCGCTCCTTACCCATGACTTGCACTCAATAGCCACATGAAGCATCTGGACGAAGAAGCAGGCTGTGCAGATGGTGGTCCCAAACTCCCAGATGTCCACGTCGCTGTCGTAGTAGACCTTCGTGTCGCACGGGCAGAAAGGGGCAAGGGAAAAGAGGACGGGCGAGCGAGGTAAGTAAAAGGGCGAGGGGATATATGGGGGAGGGGAAACTTCGAGCAAAAGCACGAACCCATCTAAACATGCAAGCAAGAACACTACTAGTTGGTTGGAAGCCTAAGTCACTGAGCAGTCACATACCGCAGACACTCCAAAGCAGTGCTCCGGAGTATCTGTGACTGTGACAGGGAAAAGCTTCAGGTCGTTACATGCAGGTGGCTATTTTTCCGGACCCTTTTTGTGGCGTCTCGTCGGCCTACGCTGGCACCATTGCGATCACCAGCAGCCGATCGGGCGGTTTTATCTGGCTTCAGTTGACACAAGAAGATGCGGCATCCTAGAGATTACTCGGTGACTCTACCGGAAGCCTCAAAGAGGGGATGGCGGCAAGAAGACAATCACCTGTTGCATCACTAGGAACCTGCCACGAGAACTAGTTGCGAAAGAAGGCCAAGGGAGCAAGCGAGAGAAAGATGGAAAAACATAAAACAAAAAAGATGGTTTTAGAAATAAGTTTGACAAGACGAGGGGAATTGGTTGCTAAAAGAGGTGAACAGAAGGTACGGTATCTTTCCCAGGGACACGACAGCTCGAAAAAGTGCAAAAGGGTTCCTCACCAGAAATGGCACGAAGTAGATGATGATGCTCTGGTAGAGAGCGTCCAGCATGTTGACCCAGAACGAGTACTTTGTGTATGTCTGCACAAGGGAGAAACACAAGATGTTCGTCACAAATCAAATATGAGACGCAAAAAAAAAAAAATGAAAAGCTGCAGGTGAAGAAAGAGATTTAAGCATGGATCTAAAAGGTGCAAAGAAAAGTTCTCAAAAACCACGCCGCATTAAAAATGCGATACACAGAAGATATGAAACCTAGCGTAAAGTTCAAGGTTCAACCACAGGGCTAAACTTTTTCGCTGAACTCAGTGAAGAAAACATTCCTAAAGACAAGCTGGAGTGCAGAAAATCGGTTAATCAAATTTTAACAAAAATGCTGAAGACAAATTATTATATTTTCTGGAATATAGTCCGCACCCGGTGCATAGTCCGCAGGAGAAAATATGGGATCAAAATAAGATATTGCTTAGATAGGCTGGACCTGGTGCATAGTGCGCATGCTGTGCGCATGCTGTGCAAAGTCTGCACTTAGTGCCTAGTCCCAATGTAAAAATTATCATACACAGCACACCTTGACAAATGCCTGCTGTATTAGCTCACAAGGAAGCTTGTTTCAGACATAAATCAACAATAATATACCCTGTTATTCATAAAATCCTTCACGTCTTGTAACATTGAACGATCTAGAAAAAACAAATCCTTGTATAGTTCACACCCATAGATAGCCTGCACTGGGTAGAATTGCAATTTTTAAACATGTATAGTCCGTGGACTGCACAGCAAAAAATATGGTACAGTCTAAGCTCGTTATAACAGACCTTGGTCTTGACCAAGATTTCGGTCTGTTGTAAGAGGAGTATGTTGTATGCAGATATGAAGTTCAGTCAATAGTATGTAGATCAAAACCAACCGAACTTGACAAATCTGCATGTTATATCCAAATGTCTGTTATAACCAGGTCTGTTATAATGAGCGTAAACTGTATAAGGCAGCGAATCTAATATAAAAGACAAGCTTGGCATTTAAGACTAGAATCATGCTTAAACCAAATGTTGGAAACAGAGACCAGGCATAAAGAATCAGACACCAAAATTGAAGAAAAGCAAGTTTAATGACGTAATCAAGGCAGAGAGTTGCACGAGATGTTCTACTGTTGCATACAATACTTCATGGCGAAATAATAGCACCTTGCTATGTCTGTTAACGTGCCTCTACATAACAGCAGGCACTCCCACTTGTTTTATCTTGGATCTCAGAAGAAAATGTGAGAATAGAAAAATCGCCCAAATGCAAGTGTCTTTCAATGCCATTTCACCAAATATCTTTTTACCCTCTACCCAATTGTGTCTCTTTTAAATGCGAACCTAAAACTTTGCTTTACATGTCATAACTAAATCGCTTTCCTATCTGTGTTGATCACATAGTACCTACATATGTGCCTTTGGTTGTTCTGAGACATAGAATAATGAAGTATATTACTACTATTACCATGTCAGTATCCCAAACAGGTCCAAGGTCAGGTCAACTAAAGCCAAGGGCAAAGGCTATACACCTTTCCAAAAACCGCTCCCTAGGCTGCCGCCACGTTGCTGACGATAATGCAGCTGGTGCGACTGTCGCATCCTCTATCAGCTAGAAATGTTCTGCCTCTCTCTTGAACTGCCGAAACCTACTCAGCATAATTCTCTACGCATGCTTTGCGGCACTGCATTCTAAGTTTTCCGACCTCCCTTGAAACTTTCTACTTTTATTTTTTATTTGCACGCTGCATACACCTCTCGGCATTCATGGGAAATGAAGGAAAAGAACAAGATTGAACTGCCCTCTACGCGATTTTGCGAGCAATGACGACTGTTCTCCCCACTTCAGGAGATTTCATTTTATTTCATTTATTTACTCTCAGGGCCCGAAGGCATTACAGAGAGGACTGAATTAGTTACTCAAAAATACAAGAACATAACGCAAACAAGGCGAAAATACATTAATATCAGTGAACAAGCCAAAAACTACATCAATACAAGAATTAAGAAAAAAAAAGAACGTTGCTGAAGAACATTATTTAAAAAAATTGTAATTGCAGTTCTAAAATCAGCGCCATCAGTTATTGAGACTATTGATGCGGGAAGGCGATTCCAATCAATGAATGCCTGGGGGAGAAAAGAAGAATCAAAAATAGAGGTGCTACAATGGGGGATGCCTACTTCTTGTGAGTGATCTATGCGCAATGATATGTAAGATGGTTCTAAAGATGAAGTTCGATGAAGCGCCGGGATATAGTGATAAATCTTGTGAAATTAACATAAACAATATATATTCTTCTGCGAGAAGAGAGGCTAGAGAATGAGACATGCTTTCATAGAGGTGACACTGGCTGTGCGGTGATAGTTAGAAAGAATAAAACGAGCAGAAAGATTTTGAACCGACTCAAGAGATGATGCAAGGGTGAGTCCAGGGCCCAGATAGAGGCTGCATATTCTAGTTTAGTATGGATTAGAGTTTTATACAAAATTAACTTTAAAGAAACAGGAGCAAGCAAAAAATTTCTTTTGAGATAGCCTAGTAAGAGACTAGCATTGTTAGTGACATATTCAACATGGGTATTCCAGAGAAGGTCATTGTCAATATGATCACAGAGGTATTTATCAGAGGAAACAGAAAGGAGGGTGGAATGGTTAATGCAGTAGGGGGGACAAGCACTATTTTGATGAGACACTCTCATAGACCTACATCTAGAAATGTTAAGGTCCATAATCCCTGGAAGTCCTTTTTAGTCTGTCAAAAAAAAGCTGTTTGGGGAACGGATCAGTCGAGTTCGTTCCTTTGCATCGGTGCGTTGAAAAAAAGAAGCTCTCTCCAGAACGTTTCCATAAACAAAGTCTTCTTTGATTCTGTCCAATTGTCGAGAAGTGACAGTCGTTGACAATGTGCACGGATGTACTGTGCGTTATTCGGTCTTCCTCAAAGAAACCCTTTTCAGATAAGGCTGTGCCGTGGGGTACATACAATTTAAAGTTTGAATGTTGACACTCACTAACTTCATGCCTTTCAGCTATCTCCTGCTGTAAATCATTTTCGACAGCTAGGCGCTTTGTCGATCGACGTGGCTGAGCAGGTGGTGCTGTCAAAACTCGTAGTAAAATAAGATAAACATTCCAGTCGCATTCATTCTATTGCGCATGCACTTAACGAAAATAGCTTAAGACGTTTTTAGTTTCAAATGTGGTACAATGCTCTCTCGATGTCCCCGAGAAAACATGTACACCATAAAATGCAAAAACATTGGGAAAAATCAAGAATCGAGCCGCCAGGAGTGTGAAATTGCACGTACGCACGCTGCGCTCGTCGAAATCAACAGTCCACTTGGTTAGGGTTAGCAGCGATGCGGGTGACAGACTAGTCTTAAACCCAAAGAACGGGCTTGAAAAAAGTTTTCTGGTCCCTGGAGCCATGCGTTTCTTGAAAAGGTGCATACCGAAATTGCAAAACTCAAACCAGCTTCTGAAATAGACCTGCAGCACGGTGCTTTTGAAGCCCCAGGGGTTATGGATGCTGGACCACCTCTGGTGGGTGAAGTACCGGTACCTTTGACCGCCGTCCGGGCGCGTAGAGTGCGGGCCTCTTGAGCAGGAGGTGCGCCGGGCAGTCCTGGTCATAGATGCCCAAGATGAGCGGGGGCAGCGATGTGAAGAGCACATTGTACAGCATCAGGTACAGTTGGTCAATCATCACTGCTCCCGTGAAGCCGCAGTACAGCTGGTACCAGAACAGGATGAAGATGAACGCCTGCAGACAGAAAAGCACAGAGTTTGAAAAAAGTCGTACTTGCACTTGCAGTGAGACCTCAGGTCAAGTGCCCCCTTTTCTACCGCTTTACAGCTTCAGAGAGAAATTTTGACGTTTTACCGCAAAGCTAAGTTTCCTTTAGCACATTTTGAACAAGCAAAGTCGGTCACTAGTTCCTGCGGTCTATTCGTTTCTGAGAAAATAAAAAGCCAATTTCAAAACGCGGGACAATAATTTCACTACAATGGCAAGAAAAAAAAAACTCGCATTAAAGAATTAAGGCAACTTTTTAACAGGGCAATGGGCTACAAAGGAATGTGTTTGCCACACATGTTCAAAAAGCACTGTAGTACAAAGAAAATGAACTTCAAATGCTATATAATCCTTGTGCAAAAAAACAAAACAAAAAACAGCAACCGTTTAGAAGTAAGTTGTCACGAAAGCACTGCAGCAAAATAATCATAACAAACACAATTGCTACGACCTCTTCCACGTCACTGTTGAGCCGCTTCAAACAGACAAACAAACAAATGAACCAAAAGTAACGCTTACAACCTTTCACACATCATCATCGAGCCTTTTTGCACAACAGCTCATATTCTGCTCGCTGTCCCGGTATCTGCATCAAGTAAGAAAGCTAAGCCACGTAGAAATCGGTGTCGTCTGTCAGAGGGGTGCGAGCCTACTCACGGCGTTCTTGTAGAAGAAGTAGACCACGGCACGTGCCAGCCTGTCGTAGCACCAGTGTCCGTGCACCAGAAGTAGCCGCTCGAGGTACCGGAATCGCGCAAGCGCAAAGTCGCTGGCCATGACGGCCTGCATCCCTTCCTGGCCGCTGATGCCCACGCCAATGTCTGCCGCCTGAATCATGCTCACGTCGTTCGCCCCGTCCCCTGTGAAAAAGGAACAGAGTCGCGTTGTTGACGTTCCAACAATTCAAGGCCTTGCACGTTTCATAATCGCACCGCGTGAGTGGTCGTTCCTGCTTGTTTTTGCTGAGGAAAAAGGAATTTGATGGCGCAAAACGTTCGCTGCGGAAGTTATACGTGTAGCGACAAAGCCACCGCAATGGCAGCCGACACGACGTAAACGCCAGCCACGCGTCGCTTCCGCAAGCAGATCGCCTTACGAGAAGCCCGAATGGGAATCTAGGAATCTCAAACGACAACCTACGATGAAACGCTGGCATCCATTCATACCAAAGCAAGGGCTTATGAATGTGCGGAGCACAAGTTTGTCTGCTTCTTTTGTAGGGGATGTGGCGACATCAGAATGCCGAGCTCTCATTGGCTCTGAACAAAGGATAATGGATAGACCTCAAAGCAAGCTGCCTTGAAGTCTATCCACTATGCTTCAATCAGAGCCAGAGAGCTTGGCGTTCTGACGTCCCTACAACCCCTACGAAAGAAGCAGAAAAACTTGCACTCCTCGTTGGCTTTGCTCAGAACACCAGGGTTGGCTGTTGTGCACAAAGTATGCCTATGAAGAGAGCAAGTGCTCATCCCCAACCACAAGGTAGGGGGCGATAAGTTTAACTGAAGGTAGGGGGCGATAAGTTTAAAACAAGAACAGCCTTGTTAAGACTGATTAGCAAGCTTTCTCTTTTCCTAGCTGTAAATAATAATGAAGAGAAATGAGATGAAAGAAGTTCTTGCGAGGTGCTCACCGATGGCAAGAGTGAGCACATTCAGTCGGTCCTTCACGAGCTTCACAACCGACGCCTGCAAGAGAGAGGTTTCCATTTGGCACGAGAGCAGAGTTGAGCGAGTGAGCAGTCGTGCACTTAATTAAAGAGGGTGAAATATGCCCGGGTATTGCGTAAGAAAATATTGAGCATATTCTAGGAGATGCTAGCACACTAAAACACAAAGTAATGGCAGGCATATAAAAAAGAAGGGGGGATCGGTGGCCGAGTGGGCTAAAGCGCACACCCAGCTCGACGCGCGTGGAGCGAAAGCTCGCGCTGCAGAACCCAGGGATCCTGGGTTCGAGCCCCACCCCTGCCCGTTTCGATATGGATGAGCATCGTACCGGCATGCGGTCGTGTATCACTACTGCGTGGTGCACGTTAAAGAACCCAGGCTAGCGGTTGTACCGCACTGGCTAAATTGCTCATCTACAGCGTGTGACTCGTCGCAACTTTAATGGCTGACCAACTACACGCTGTATAAATATCCCCACAACCCCAATTATTATTATAAAAAAGAAATTATCTCTACGTAACACAACCATGCTTAGCAATAAAATGCATACTAGAAATTTTCCCCCTGCCCAATGGCTATGTTGAACGTCAGCTAAACTGCAAATGGCTCATTTGATATAAAATCGTCAGGCACTCTTTTTGAAAAGAGATTGCCATAATATCCCAAGAGATAGCCCACCTAAAATCAAAATAAAATCAGTGAAAATAAGGAACAAGCTAACTTTCGGTGTGCAATAAAAAAAAGCTGAAAAAATTCTGGTTCTAGATTTTGTGATTTGCGAAACTTGTGAATTGTGATTCCAGGGAGGTGCAATGACCTAAAGATGACTGTCCTTCCCTGTCAGCAATGTTTGCTTACTTCCCATCTTGGCTAAGTAACAACATTTCTGCCGAGGTCACAATTGGCCAGGGCCCTACAATTACTAGAAACAAGCACCTTTTGGTGTTCTAAAAAAAAAAAAAAAATAGCAAATCGTGCCAGAGATGTTACAAGAGAGTAAACAAGATGCATTTAAGAGTGGAATGCAACAGCTAAGCATATAAACCCCCCTCGTTCCCCAGCTGTGCAAGCGTGTCTGTGTGGCCTAGTTGGTAGCGTCTCTGGCTCGCAACGGAAGGGTCTTGGGTTTGAATCCCGCCTAAAATTCTTCAAATTTTTTCTTGAAGGAAAATGCACTGCTTTAAGGGTTCTCCCCACGGTGGGTGGCAGTGGCTTTGCTACGCACCGCTCCGACTGACCGCCCACAGCTCGTATTCTGTTTTTCATGTCGGGGTGACGATGCGATTTCGCCTGCGCACATGGCTGCAGACCGTCGCCGTCGTACTCAGCAGGTCCGCGCACCGCTATGTTATCGTTCGCTATCGCATCGCTGACTGCCGCCACTGCTACACTGCTTCAAACAAAGGGCGCGGGCACGCTCAGCGTTTTTTTTCTTTTTCTATTTCATTGGCGCGCCGCCAGCAGTGCCCGGAGGGGGGGGAGAAACTAATAAACAAATGTGACAAACTAAAACCCCCCCCCCCCCCCCCCTTGGTAATGTCTACCCTTCAGAAATTCCTGGGGAGAACCCTGATCACTTTATTAAAGTGAAATCATCTGAGACATGCAGCAACCTTTAATTTGCATTATATGTCATGTTTTAATCACTTTCATTCCATGTGTGACGTCACGTTTCACGTGAGCACTGTGATTTGTTTGAAAATAATTAGGAATACAGTCGAACCTCGATATAACGAACTTCAATGTAACGAAATCCTCGATTTAACGAAGTATTTTATTTTTCATAATTTCTTGCCCATAGACCCCATGTATTTTTAGTCCCTATATAACGAAGTCTATTTTGCTGCTATTTCAATATAACGAAGCGACATTGCCGTAGAAGGCAATAAATAAATTAACTCTAAAAAACAAATTCGCAAAAAAATTGTGGTTTAAAAAAAAAAAAATTATGCGCAAACGCGAGCGCTTGATAGGTTACTTCACGGGGACAGGCCTTCCAACGTTCCTAGGCTGCCCGAGGATGCGGCGCCGGTAGCGCCGGCGAGGCATGCGGCAAAGCGGATTTCGCGAGGCTGGCCAGAAAATGCCGAGCAAAAAGTAAACACGGCATAACAGCATCACCACTGACATTCACTGATCATCATAGTCCACTGTACCGCGGGTAGCGCGGGAGCCAACTTCAGCGGGGGAGCGACGTGATGGCGCGACCGCGCGACCGCACGGGCAGTGCCATCTAGGAGAAGACCGATTATCGTCTTGCGAGCGTGATGTAAAGCAAAGGCGCAAGCACACTGTGGGCGCAAGGGGGCAAGTAAACTGTGCGGTCAAGAGTGCTGTGTAGGTTGGAAACATTGGCACCGCCTAAACTAAACAGCTTTATTTTTTAACCGGGCGGTTCACTTACGTGCTTGCTGCCATAAGGAAACGTAAAGTTCTTTTTTGGATGAGAAAGCAAACGTTTTGGACGCCATCCTGAAGAAACTGCCGAGATCACGAGCACTCGGGAAGTGCTCGACGCAATGGACGTACTGAGGAGGTATACGGCGTCGCATGGGCAGCAAGATGCCGTGCAAGCGCTCTGGGCGCTCGAACGCCGTATGACGCCGCCGACGCCGCTGCTACTGTCGGACAAGGCGCAAGCAAAACTCGCGGACTACTTTGCCCCTAAATAAATGTCATTTTCGGTGAGTTTTCATACCCGTAGAATGTTTCGAAATTTTTTTTTTTTTCGCATGCTAAAGCCAAATTTCGATTTAGCGAAATTTCAATGTAACGAAGTAAATTGCGAATTTTACCGACTTCGTTACATCGAGGTTCAACTGTACACACAGAATAGACGCTAATATTTTATACTCTGCCAACAGTAACTAAGAGATTTCCCCCAAATCCTGCCATAGTCACTGACAAAGTGAGAACAGCAGGGGGGGACTTCAGGCTGGAGGCTGGGCTTTCAGAAGACATGCACTGTCATTCTCATTCCGACAGTGACTATACATGGCAGCGTTCATCAGCTGTGACCGTGAATGGTTTAAACCAGAGAATCGTCGGGACTCGTTGGGAAAAGACCAATTAGGATCCACGCCAATAGGAGGTATTCACTGGACGCCATATTTAAGGGCGATGTTTAAAGCGCATGCTCAGAACGAGCTCACATTAATAGCCAGCTAGGACCGGCAACCTTGATGGTGCTAAGTGCACGCTCCAAAAGGACTGCGGATGCTCGCCGTCAGCACGCGCTCAGCAGCAGCGCACACAGATATGGCTGCCAGTGAATACTTCCTATAGACGCTAACCTTTCAAGCGCTCACCTTCTGCAGCGGGGTGGCCCTGCAGCAGAGCACCACGCCGCACTGTTGCGCCAGCTTCAGGAAGAGCTTGTCCACTGTCCGCTCCAGCACGTAGCTGAGCGTGCGGCCGTCCACTACAAGCGCCCGCTTGCGCCGCTGGCGCAGGGAGGCGCCGAAGCGGGGTCTCATCTCGTCCCCCTCTGTCCCCTCGTCCTCCACCTCGGAGCGGCCCCTCCGCCCGAACAGGAAGTTGCCGAGCTGCGCCAGGAGCATCGAGAACGAGGACGACCGCGTGCGTCCGTCCCCGCCGTCGATGTCGGAGGGACGCCGCGTCAGGCACCTGCCAATCTGCTCGAGGTAGAAGCGGATCGTCTCTTCCGTCGTTTCCTGTACCGTGAATGAACAGTGACAATGACATAAAAAAAACTGATGGATAAAGGCCGTTCGCACACTCGCGTCTGCTCAGAACCGAGTTCTTATGATCTCTTACGACGAGAGGAGATCCTGGCACCTTCTATGATGTGGCCCAGGAACTGCACTTCGCTAGAGCAAAGGTATTGCGGTATTTGAGAGCTCAAACGTAAGTGCTATCTATGAGAAAGGATTGTTTATAACATTGTCAACTATTTTTTGAGCCAATAGTGAAACAACGTGCGAAAAAAAAGAGGAAGGGGTGATGCCTTCGGTTGTAAGCAAATGCAAATATGTGAACCAGTCTTAAATAGAGACGGGTACTGTTCAGCTAACGCGGTAACTATCGCTGCAAGGGCGAGATGCTTTGCTCTAGCCCAAGACGGGCACTGGTCCCGCGGCACCGAAGGGAGCACAGACGTGCCCGCCATTTCTTAGTTGTGAAGTGAACTACTCTGGGTGGATGTGGTCACAAAGATTTCTGCCTATCACAATGCCGCGAATACAGGAATACAGCTGGGAAGTCCTTACAACACTTGTCACCGTAAAAGTTGTGCGAGCAGTTCTAAAGAACCGAGATTAAATTCACCTGAGAGCGTGCGTTGAGCGTTATGACTTCCATGTCTGTAGAGAAGAGGCGACAGGAGTACGCAATGTTCACCGCCGTCTCCTAAAACAAAAAGAAAAGAAAAAAGCAGGGGCGACTTTAGCACACTCCCTGAATCGCACGGCAGCACCATAAGACTAGATGCGGGGCTCTACCCACGAGTGCATGAACCCTCCGTCTAAAAGTCGTCTCTACTGGGTTGTTCTATATCTGTAGCCAGCTGCAAAATAATAGTACAATTAATAATAATAATAATAATCCTTTATTTGTATAATGCCCCAGAACAACCTATTGGTTACAGTGTGGTGGCACATAAAAAGTTTAAAAAGGGACAAAGAAAAAAAGCCAAAAGAAATAAGAGATACATAATTTGATGGAGAGATATCCTCAATAACGGCCAACTTTCTGATGTCACTTGCTGCTGTAGGCACAGCGCAAACGCTTCACCTCGTGCGAATCTGATTTCTGCACAAGCGCAGTGGCCATACCTGGTGTAGGCAAAGGCGGGTTTCTTTGTAAATATAGCGTGCTTGTGTATAAGTAGCGTTCCATGTTTTCGGATAAATCTGAAATCATCTATTCGAATTTATCCAATAGACTCCGAAATTTGATGTACTAATGCCAAAACAAAAAGAAGGCACTTTGCTATTAAGTTTGGACAGAGCATACGGTCAATGGTCTTGAGATAATGTCACCCCAGTTTCGCTTTCAAATCTCAGACTATTGACAAAAGGAACCTCAGCGCTTATCTCGTCAAGGTTCATGAGGACAACAGGTCTTTTGGGTCACAACGAAAGCAACTGTTCCGATTTTCCAGTTTGGGCCATAGTGCTTCAAAGAGGGGTTGTGTTTTTGTAACAGTGAAAGCTGCGAGCCATTGAGATTTCATAGAAGGGGAAAGGGGGGGCGGGCAGTTGAAGCTTCTATATAACACGCTTTACCACTCTACCAAGTGCAGCCGTGGTGTAGGTTGACAGATAGGATGCGTTGAATATAAGCTTCCTAGTGACTACATCCAAGAGTTTATTGATTGTTTGCAACTCTTGTCATGGGTAAAGTAGTATTGCCAATGGCAACGGCACCAATGCCAAATCTAGTTGAAGAAATATTAATTGATACAAACTTTTTCTTTTGAAGCTAGTGCACATTTACACCCGGATATCTTTTTATATAAAAAAACAAAGCAAAATAAGCTCCCAATTTCAGAAAATCAGAAATAAAAAAAAAATGAACTCCAATATACCCAGAATTTTTGGAAAAAGAAAAAAAAGACTCGGAAAAACACTTCCCGATTTTGGCGAAAAATAAACTCAGAATACACGCAATCCTATGTATAAGCCTGTAGGTTTTGAACTCGACGGTAGTGCAACACACACATTTGTAACAGCAAACAGGGATGCGCAGGAGCAATGCACCCACAATGGCTCCAACTCGCGTAAGTGCGTTGCCTAAACCCAGTACGAGACACCCAAACGACGTAAAAAAAGTAGAGCGCGGCAGGAACACTCCCTTCGAGCCCATCCACTCCGTGGGAAGCTTTAGTCAAGCCAGTTGCTTCGTACCCGTCAATGCAGACTGCCGAATTTCGACGTAAGAGAAAAGCGAGAAACGAGCGAAGAAGCAGTGGCGCCTTCGTCCAGTTCCCCGTCCTTTCACGTCTTGCGAAAATCTGAAAATCAAGCCGTTTACATCGACGGACCCACCTGCTTGTCGCCTGTGAGGACCCAGACGACGATGCCGGCCGCCCTGAGAGCTGCGATGGTTTCGGGCACCCCCTCCTGGAGCCGGTCCTCGATGCCTGTGGCCCCAAGGAGCTCCAGGTTCGTCTCCAGTAGCCTGGCCGACCGCAGCAGCCGCTCCTCCGCCTTTCCGACGCTCAACTCCGACGCCTTGTGCTGCTCCAGCCATTCCTCGTACTCCTCGTCTTCCAGCACCTGGCACGGCGTTCGGAAGCCGTTGCAGTCCGTCGGCAAGCGAGGTTCGGCAAACGGTCGTACTCGCTACCGCTCCGCCGAGAAGACGATGCCGACGCGTTAGCTCTACTCAATCCCACAAAAACGAAGAAGCGGTAATAGCTCGACTCTACCGGTCGACGACTGAAACAAATATGCGACGTTTTCGTCCAAATAACGGCTGGTTTGTGCAATCTTTACGATTTGTGCCGTGAGAATTTGTCGAGAATATGAGGTCATGCTTTGAAGACGTAAGTTAAACTCTTCTGCACTTCTTTCTGCTTACCATAAAATACCAAGGGAGCACCCACCCAACTTTCAATGATAACTAGGTTAACCTAGACATGGGTGCTTGTCCGGTCAAATCAAGCAATTCACATGTAATCTGCAGACTTCCCAAGTTTAGGAAATGTTAATAAGTGGGTACTTGAACAAACTGGGTGCTTCTCCGGTATTTTATGGTAGGTGGCTCCTTGGAATTAGAATGAAAACTCCAAACTGGCAGAAAGAAGGGCAAGAGAGTAAACAAGATATTGTCACGAAGAACAGGAACAGAAGCGGCGAAAATCCCGCTTCAAACTGAAAGTTTAACGGGGGGCAAACTTGTGTCAAACAAAATAAAGAATGAGCATCGAGACAGCAGAAAAGCGGACGGAAATTTGGCGGCGTAACAGCAAGCAAGAGCAAGAGCGACTCGACAGGGTCCCGCGAAGCTCCTTATCTAGTGTGTGTCGGTATCTCGGAAATTTGGCCCAGAAGGATCGATCGTTAAGCGTTCGGGGTGAGAATGAACAGGCACTTTTGATAATAAGAAAGTGCGACGAAATCATAAAAGTTACGTCCCGAGTAAGAATAAACCTGAATCTTATAGAAGTCTGTGATCGAATGTTGCTTGCTCGACCCTGCACATTGCAATATATTTAAGTTAGCTATGAATTTAGTTATTGTTATGACAAGAGTCACTGGGAAGTGCCAGAGCATGACACTCCTTCCCCTGACAACCTTCAAATGCTTCAGTATTGTGCTTACTTGCCATGCTCGGGAACTTGGACTGCCCTGCACTTTTGGCTCATTGAAAATTGAGATGCTATACTCCGTTTCAAACATAGCGTGCAACGCTGGGAAAGGTACTCAAGTAGTGCGCATGAAAAAACACAAAAAAATGTGTTACTCCGCGCGTTTTGTGGCCGTGTGGTACAAGGCGCTGCTCTGGCGATACCGACACTCGGTGGCGATGGTTCGAATCCACTTCAAGCGCAAAAGGTTTTTTCTTTTTTTTTTTTTTGAATATTTTTTGTGTGAAATTGTGCGCATTGCGGAAGTGTATATTTCAATTCCTATTCTCTTATTGTTTTTATTTATAAGGCGGTAGACTAGGGGCTGGTGTTCGGTTTGAACCCCGCACCGGCCTCGTCAAAACGGAAGAACGGTCGAGATCCAGGGCGTCTCAATTTAAAGCCGTTTATTTACATGGTAGCGTGAAAATCAGAGAGTACCTTGAGAGTGCGGTGGACGGTCCTTTATGCAACGAATACTGGAATTAGGGGACCGCACTGCCATTGGTCAGACAGCTTGGCATTCCCTCGCGTGATGGGACTTCATGGAAGTTTCCTTCCGAGTCCAAATACTCGCCGGTGTATGGAAGTCATCCAGACGGCAGTATCTCGTTGCTCTGGTGCCGGTGTTCCCATGAACCGGGAGTAATTCACAATAGACGCGTACACAACACACGGCACTCGAGAGCAGGATCGAGTGTTGTTTCCTTTTCCGAGGAAAGCAGGGGCCTCGGAATACAGGCACGGGCATGTGCGTCGTCCACTTAGCCGACCAAGGTTAAGGTGCTTCAGGCAGATGGAGCCGACCGAGGTTACGGTCCCGCAGGAAAACAAACCCAGACGCTTCGGAATGCAACCACAAGCATCGTCCGCTTAGCCGATCAAGACGAAGCCGTAGGCACGATTCATCACCGACACTGTTCCTTCTTGAAGCTTGATTCACTTTGAAGCCACAAGGCCGATTTTAACACCAGAAATAACAGAAGGCAGTTCACAACACGGTCCGCGTGCTCGAAACTTTCACGTTGCGAGGCCCTCGCTTCGGGGACGCCACCTTGCCAGACACTCCGGTGTCGTTACTGACCGTCTCCAGGACTTCACGGACCGACGTCTCCGGGAAACGCGTTCTTGGACTCGCGTACACGCTGGCGATCACCTGCTTGCACTTTTTCGAGATCTTCACACAACGAATCTCCGAAAATATCCGAGCAGGAGAGGAAAGCTTCCCTGCGTAAAAGGCCATCTTCTCAAAACCGGCGAGGCAGGGGAAGCCGCACAACCCGAAAACCCGAAGCGACTGCCGCACGGATGAAAACGGAAAACAATTTGGACTTTGGAGTAGTTTACATTATCTTTTCCTTTTTATTGAAAAAAAATCGGTGTTCCGTCGAAATCATAACGCCACTATCAGTTACTAGCTCCAAAAATGCACATTTTACGTTTTTTTTTTTCTTGCAGGGGTAGCACTATTTTATGGGGCGAACGTAGGCGGTCGGCAGTGCAAACCGGTGTGCTAGCTTTGACTGCGTTGAACGCTATGTATGAAACGGAGTATAGTGTGCACTGCACACCCTGTCAGAGTAGAATACATCAGGACAGCGACAGAGGCCGATGTTTTAGTGTCAGGCTAAGCTGCCCAAAATGGAGGCAGGATTTGCAACTTAGAAGGGATATCTAGCGACCCCGCTCAGCACACTGTAGCAAGCATCCAGCAGGCCATTAGAAAAAAGATAACTCTCACTCACCTTTTTGGCCATGCAGAGGACACGAAGTCCTTTCTTGCTGTACTGGTTCAGATGCTGCTGAGTGCTCATGATCAGCTGCTGCATCTCTGCAAGGAAAGGGTGGCGGGTAATAATCTTCAAAAGGTCAAATATTCGCTTGTTGCTAATACGACATCAGCCTGAACATGCACGAAACCTAAAGGGTGAAGTTCGGTGGTGCCGCGCACACCATGCGTGAAGATGCAACATCGCAACAAAATCAATGTTCTGGAATAGTTTAACAACCCAAAATCTTAAATAAGGAACCAGTTTCATATTCCTATCATTATTCCTTCAATGCAAATTAATCTGCAGCTTCCTCATTGGGGACTATGATGCAATGGATAACCAAATGCTGGATATGCTCTCAAACAAAGCTGTCACAAATAATTATCTCACTTTATTAGGTGTTCACCGACAAATGTTTCTACCTTGTTTCGTTCAATCCCATCCCCCTTGCCAATGGACCTTTTTCTAGTAAGGAGTGCCCCATGACGGTTTCGCCGCCTACTACAAATGGAGGGCAACCGGACTCGCCTTCTCCCATAGGAACAGATTAGTGTCGCAAGAAAACAGTGCCCCCCAAAAATGGCGAAAGGGCAGTCAAGGTCAAGTGGAAAGGGTGTGCGCGTGTGCAGACGCTTACTGGAAAAAGGTCCATTTGATCTGGATGAGCATCGCACACATGCTCAATCGTGTATCACTACTGCGTGATACAGGCTGTCTAAACAAACACACGACATAATTAAATTACCCCGTCTTGTAACCTAAAATCAATGGCTGTCAAAATACCATGGCTGCCATGTTGTGATCTGGGTTCGCATCTCACCGAGATCCTTGGTCGGCGCCAGCAGGGGCAAGATGGCGGAGTCTGCACCCTTGCAGTAAAGCACCTTCAGCTTGGTGATGGGGTGCTGCAGCACGATGGACATGCGCTTGCGCACCGAGTCGAAAGGGAGCACGTGAAGCACCCGCAGCTCCACCAGACCCTCACCTGCAGGTGTTGTTACGCTAGGTCAGCACCCACGTCACTACACACCGTCTTGATCGCCTCCTACACTCGAGGCTAGCTGGCACATTTGCGTCCGAGTATGATCTTTTGTGCTGCAGCCGCTCGTGATCGCTTGCGACCGGGGGAACAGACTTGCCTTGCGCAGTGGGTGTTCATACAGGGTGTCCCCGAAAATAATGACCACTGTTTTTTTCGCCATGAAAATAAACTACTATGCGTCACCGAACACTCAGTCTCGGCACAAATGTAGAGCTAGCGGTCTGGACCCGATTCCCAAGTTTCAGAGCCTGTCATTAGTTAAGCTCGCAATAATTCAAACTCAAGTACCGTATTTACTCGAGTAATAGCTGCACTATTTATGAACAAGGCCCTTGCGTCTACTTTCCCACAGAACACACATACAGCCAATCATTGCGTTGCGCATAAATAACATAACAAAGAACCAGATTGAGAACAAGATTCTTCATTCAAATGCCATCTTTACAGATGGTATCTTCAGACAAAGAAGTTATCTCTATCCTGTGAACAGGTGGAATCATGCTATCAATCGCGGTGATTGGCAATCTGCGTGCTCCGCGGAAAGGCGAACCCTCACGTTTTCTCCATAAACAGTGCGGCTATTACTCAAGTAAATACAGTAGTATTTCATACATCCGGTTGATTCGAGCAAACTTCAAAATTTTGGTTTTCCAGCTATGTTTTTAATGTATTTATAAGCCGCTTTACTTCAATGGCGTTTTCGTGTAATTTATACTTTTCGTTCTTACGGCTCCCTTGAGCGCGCTTCTTACCAAGCACCAGTGCACTGTGGAGAAGCAATACCCGCGAAGCCCGCCTCCGCAAGTGGTTGCTTCCCCGCAGTGCACCGGTGCTCAGTAGGAAGCGCACTCAACGAGGCTAATAGTCCATCAGAGACAACTTTTTAAAGCGATACGGGCGACGCTTTGCAGAGATATCGACCTTGTCTCTAGTCATCACCGCTACGGGAAAACCTTTCTCTCCGCTTTTGGCACGAGGCCACGAAAGTGGGTTTTCCCGTCAGCCACCCTGGCATCCGCCAGTAACGGAGCTACGAAAGGAGAGTCTTCCGTGTCGTCTGCTTGAAAACTTGTTTTCAGACACTATGCGAAATTCCACTTTGACAAAATCCAGTTGCTACGCATAATGGTGGATGGTTTTGGAAACTCCCATTGCGCTTACCCACTTACATCACGAATCACTGGTGACAGTCGTCCGTGGCATCCACGATGCCAACTACGACGGCTATGAGAATTAACCACGTCGCGTCTCCGTCCTTGGGTACGCGACGGCACCATTACACCCACAATGCTCGACTGTACTACAGCTACCGCTTCCGTTTTTTCACACATTGTGGGCAAAAAATATGACCTTTCTGTTGGATGAACAAACTTCATTTTGTTTTGAGGTGTCATGTGCTATCCAAGTAGTCCACCATGATAAGCAACATTTTTGAGGGATGAACACTTATCTCCTACATTTCCCCAATGCTTCATGTGTGGCATGCACGCTTATGATTAGCAGGCCTGAGTAGAGAAAATCCTCAAATATCGGCCTTGTATGTGCAGCCACCAACATAACAAGTCATATATTTGATCTTGCATCATATTTAGATTAATTTCTGATAATTCAAACTTCCAATAATTCGAACAAAATTCGTGGCTTCCTGGAGTTTGAAATAATGAAAGTCTACTGTATCTGGCTCAAAAAGAGCCTTCTTCTCATAAAATTCCGTATAACTTTTGCATAAGATAATGATTAGTTCTGAAACATCGGCGTCTTGCCCAGACCGCTAGCTAGAGCTACATCTGGGTGGAGACTAAGCATTTGATAATGCAAAGCTCATTTTTGCAGTGAAAAAATAAAAAAAATTTGGGGGGAACACTGTACAAGCTTTTTGAGCTTGGGGTCATGCTAAGTTTGACATGACATGGATGCAAATTAACGGGACAAACACCATTATGTCACACAATCATTGCCACACTGATGACATTACGTGAGAAATGTTTATTTAAATCTGGCAGGCGTGTGGCAGTTTCACATGCCTTCACATCACACTTTCCAAGAGCATCCCAGCCCTCGACCGCTTGGTTACAAATCACGAGTGCCACTCTTATTCTCCATAACCATTCCAACAGTACCACACAGCGAAGAATTACTCAATAAAGACATAGGAATTAACAGTGAGAGTGACAAACAACACCCAAAGGAAAGATGAATGCCGAATTTAATTTTCGTGCAAATTGCCAGTTTAAAATGAAATTTCGTGGTATGTTTTATAAAGACAATAAAAATAGGAAGTTTCAGAATAGCGCACGCTAAAACTTTGCGTACGCAAAAAATAGCGTCGTCGCCGCTGCGCATGCGCCGAATGCTAACCTCGTTTTGTGCTTTGCGTGCGTACGCAAAAGGTCTTTGCGCTCCTCCAAGGAGGATTCGTGATGAGAAGTTGGCTAAAGCCAAGACGAGCACAGTTAAAAAAATGGCGACTCCCAGGACCATGACTGCGGCAGCTTTGGCGGCGTCGTGAGCGCAACGTCGGAGGCATCCTCGCGACTGCGATTTTCAATACAGGACGACATTGCACTCAGTTTGGAAAACCCAGTAAGGTGGGCCACGATCACCGGCAACTTGATGCTTGCAACAAGTGGACGTTTATCGGCGAACGTCAGTACACTCTTGCCAAGGCGACGAATGCGGACACGACCGGTCGACTGCTCGCGTCGCATTCTCACGTTTAAACAAATGTAAAATGTTACTCTGAACCAAAAAATCTTGTTTTTTCTCAAGTTGCAGCATTTCGTCTGTGAAATAAAATTGTGACTGTATCTTGGGGGCGTTGCAAGCGCGAGATGCTTGAGCTTTTGCGCCGTGGCGGAGAAACACTATTCTAAAACTCTCTTGCGTCGCGTGCGCTAATACAAACGCTAAATTTAGCGCTAGCGTGTGCTAAAACTGCGTACGTTATTCTAAAATATTACTCTTCAATGGGTTAAGCACTGTATGTTAACCCCTTAACTGGAGAAAGCGTCGTTAGACGCACGGCAATTTTGACTGCAGCTTGGGGGGGTGCGTATATAGACGCGCCCCCCAAGCTGCTTTATTTATTTATTTTTTTTAAATAAATAAACCAGTTTATTATTTTATAAACTGCTTTAATAAATAAATAAATATAAATAAATCAGTTTATTAACTGAAAAGCAGTTAATAAACTGCTTTTCAGTTGATCTTAGAGAGTGCGTCTTTGAACGCTCACTCTTTTTTATAGCACAGGAGGAAGCGCCGTCTATCCCCAAACAATGGAAATAATTTTGCTTTAGAAACCAATGCATAGATGACAGCACAAAAAAGTTTGACGAGATACGTGCGGTACCAAAAAAATTATTGGCAAAATGGGGACAGAAAAAGTACCCATTTTGCCAATATTTTTTTTGGTAGTGGAACCCTTTGTTGATGGGATACGAAAACTACTTAAACATTTGTTTTTAAGATATTAATGTTTAACAAAATCGAATAAAACAACGAAGATGAAATAAAAAAGAAAAATTATAAGGTAAACTTGCAAGTTATAGCTTTGTTGCCTATGGGCAACACCAGGCAAAAGTCCAAAAGTGGCTTCCTTGTGTAACCTCTATGGATCGCTATAAAATATCAATATCTGTGCATACGATAGCCTCAAGTAAAACGGTCCCCTATCGTAAAATATCAGTAGCAAGAAAAAAATGCTTATCCATATTTTTCAGCGTTCTGCTGTATATTAGTCAATCGCCATATATTTGTGTGCCAAATTATTTTTGTTAACTATTTGCATATTTAGTTATTAGATAATGGTGTAGTTTCGATATTCAAGACTGTTGCCAGACTACTTAATTAAAACAAAGGTAATAAAACAAAAACAATGAAACAAAACAAAAAGTTAAGTGGTTTGTTGCCTATAGGCAACATCCATGAGAAAGGGTTAAAGGGTCAACTAAAATTCAACACGGCATGTAACGACACTCGGCAAACAGACGGCCGCAAGGAGACTCACCCGGCAGCATGACGACCACCGAGTCCGGCGACCGCCTGAGCAGACGGCAGCCGTAGCGGTAGGCTGCGTCCACAAGCGCGATCTCGTCCGGGCTCTCCGCCTCGTAGATGGGCTGGAGCTGCGAGCTCGGCGTGGGGGACGGCGTCGCGGTCTTGCGGGCGGGGCTTGTCCTCAGTCCCAGGAAGGGCAGGGGCAGCTTGGTGGGGCGCACGGGAGTCGAGCACCGCGACTCCGTCGGCGAAGACGCCCTCAGGCTCGGAGGGATGGCCGACGGGGGACTCGGGGCCGTCGGGTGGTTGCGCTGGGCCCGGCGGCGTTCGGGGGACGTCGAGAACGCCCCTCCGTTGTTGATGTAGAGGCCGCTGCCGTTCATCTGCGAAAGTGCGGGCGGTCGGTCACGGCTGGCAAGTTGGTTTTCGGTTGGGTGCTTCGTAATTGGTTGGGTGACCGAAATGCTACAGCCACAGCAGGGTGGTAAAGACGGGAGTTGAATGCGACCAATCATAGGTGCCGACATCCGGAGGTCCCGGGAGAACAAACAACAAATTGACAAAAACAGCGATGGAAAAGCGTAAAAAGAAAGCAGACAATAAGTTAGGCGTGTTTGATTTGCAGCAATGAGCTGAAGTCGTTCGAGTGCTCGTCAGCTTTGTTTTATTTTAATATACGATGCACGACGTCTGTGTTTTTGTGCAGAAGAGAAGCTAGAGAAACACTAGACACAGACCTTGCAAGTGATGTTTTCCTGCTTCTTTGTGTATATTGAAAAGTCGCCAACAATATGGTTCCACTGGGAGCACTGATATCCGCGTCTATGCTTTGCCGTTCCAAATGAACCGAAATGAACGAAACCTTTTCCTCTATATCAGAGGTTAGAAACCCACGGCCCGCGGGGCAGTTTCATGCGGCCCACGGCTTGACCCCAGGAAAGGACCCCCCCCACCCTCCCTGCAGCTTCCTCACAGACCCAAGAAGCACATGGAACTTAAGACCACAAATGGAGTTAGACAGGAAAAAAAAGCGCTTCCAATTGGCATTGTCTGGCATCTCATACTTGGGCAGAGAATGTCTTCACTACCTTTTTGCCTTATTTTTTTTTCTCTTCAACTACCCCGTCGATGTCTGAGGTAGTTGAAGTCGTCAAGAAGAAGGAATGATGCTTTATGATGTGCGCTTCTAAGTTCATCAAGGGCATTTTGCAGATGACCAACAGAAACCTCGCTGCTGTCGGTTGCCCTGTAGAAAACTCAGATTACTTCAAAAGTAGGGGATCTGATGTAAACTCATATTAATTCGATGGAACTGTCACGACTGATGCAGTAGAACGATATGTTAATTTTTTATAGCAACCAAACCACCACCTCCCCTTTGCGAGTGTCAATCATGACAATAAATATTGTAGTTTGTGTGAGGAGGAAATATTTTGCTGTCATGCACATTATCAGTTAGTGACGTTTCTGCGGGGATGACAATGTCAGCTGTACAATCACCAATGAGGCTAAGAAGGTCGATACATTTAGGCATGACGCCACGTATGTTAATGAAGGTAACAGAAAGTTGAAGCAGCTTATCAGGGTTATTCTTCAAAGCAAGGACAGCATTAGTTCCTCGGGAATGACCTAGCTGCTGGTTTCAACGACAGAATCCGAGGCGATATCGTAGACACAGCATGACTTGCGTATGTAGAGCTTGTCGAGCCGCAGGTTAAAAGGACATTTTTTTGTTTTGACAAACTGAAGTAATAGTTTGTGGCGTGCTAGTCTTGTCACAACCGAGAAATCTTAATGAGTTGCAAAGGTAGTCCCTTTTAATTTGTGTCCACATGCTAAAATTGATTCCTTACACATAAATTGACTAAGCTGAACCATGATGGGCCGATTTTTACCCAAAATAAACCTGCACAAACAATGCACCCACTCTATGTTATTCGTGGAAAGGTCAAAGTTTAAATTCTGGGAACAAAGAGATAGCCTTGTTTGTGATTGCATCCGAGTTTCGTCATGGGAGTCCTCAATTCCCAAGAAAAGCAATTCTACGTAATCAATTGCTTGCATCTTCACTTAATGTTTGAAGGGCTGCAATCTTTCGGTGTTCCACATTCTGTGGTTTTGGCGTGTTCTTTTTCAGTGAATCGAGTCTGGTCTGAAGTTCTTCGATAGCATTATCTGTTATCGTTTGGTGTTCTTTTATAGACTTTATTTCTGGTAGGATGTCTGATTGACCTAATTCAATTCGCAGCACAATAGCAAAAACGTTTTCCATGTCAGTAACAGGACCCGGATTTTATTCAATATCACCGGACGACATAAGAAGTACTTGTGATAAAAGAACAGAGACACACGTTTCGCAACAGAGATTCAGACAATTGCGACTTTGCTTGGGGTGGTGGCATCTGACCATTTTGTTCCTCCTAACGGCTATTTTCATTTTTTGTCCTGAAGCGTGTGAAAGAGCGTCTCCTGGCACATGCTCTTGGCAACGACTGTGCTACGGCGGCGTTGTGTTTCCGGAAATTTCTCAGTGTTTTTCCAACAAGCACGTGCCGTTGGCATCGGGTACTATAAAGAATGTCATCACTCTAAACAAAAGGACATTGAACATTGAAGCATCCCAGTTGCCACCAGTCTTAGTCATAACCACTGCAAGGGCGAGATCGGACGTTAATGACTCGAAAAATAATAATTTTAGGGGGAATACCCAAGGTGGACAAAACATGCCAGAATAAGCTGGCTTCCAATTGAAGCCATTTCAGAAGGAAGTCAATTTATCCTTGCGCAAGTCTATGATACATGCAAGCTATGCCTGCGCACTTTAGTGCGATGCCGCCGTGACCACGGCACTGGTCCGTAAAATAAAGCCGAAGAGGCACTCACCAAGTCCTTGTGGGGGTACTTTGAAACAATGACCGTGTTGCAGGTGGCCATGAGTAGAAAGAAGTCCTGGATGCGCTGGCTCTCCCTGGTCAGCACCACCTCCCGGCAACCCATGTCCACACGCAGCTGGTAATCCATGCTGGAGAGCTCCCGCTGAAGCTTCGGGTTGAGCGTGAACGCGTCGTCCTGCGGCAGGTCGAGCCGCGGCAGGTCGAGCCGCGGCAGGCGGTGTGAACCGAACCGTACGAGCCCACGTGGCCGAGGAATCTACGGTCAGCAAGAAAACGGCTTACCTTGGAAGGGGGCTTCGGAGAGTAAGTGTAGCTCCGTATCTTGACATCATTCTCTTCCCCTGTTAACAGACACAAACGAAGGGCTGTCCTTACAAGTTGCAAAGGTAGACAAATGTGACAGGAAGAAGATGAAAAGGATCTTATGTGAAGACTGAAGATGACCTCTCCTTCGGTGCCTGGAATATCTGACTGGATGCAACAGACGCTTGTTCTGCTGTACCTCGCTCTCGATTCGACAGTTCACGGAAGAACCGGGAATATGGACGTACCTACTCATGCTCTTTTCCAGAACCTCTAGGACCAACCTTCAGGATCCTAATATTTCCGACAGCATGCGCCTGGTGTGGCATGCTGTCGGAAATATTCCGGCGACTTCATTTGTTACCACTTCGGGACCAGTTTCGACACACGGGCGGTACAGGATGCTAAAACGCACCAAAGACGGATCCCAGGTGCCCTACTCTTAACAAAACGTTGGTTGCCACCATGAGGCTTCCAGGAGGTTCTGTCATTGAACACGAATGAACAGATGGATGCACATGGCTGAACCCTTCAAATCGGGTGGCAACTTGCGCCACCTGGCCGGTGTGGCGAAGCCACAGACCCACCTTCCGAGACGCTGGGGTGGTGGTGGTTAAAGTCTCGGCCGCCGATGGTGCACCGGCGGAACACCATGTGGTTCTCGGTGAGGGTGCCCGTCTTGTCCGAGAAGATGTATTCCACCTGCCCAAGCTCCTCGGGGATGTTGAGGGCGCGGCACTCGAGACGCCGATTGGACCGTTCGTCGAACAGCTCAATGTCTTCGTGGATGTGGAACACCTGCCCCAGCTTGATGATCTCGATGGAGACATATAGGGAGAGTGGGATCATCACCTGTGAAAAGCGTTCCGGTTTCCTCAGTCCCCGAGGCACACGGTGAACTGCAGGAACCTCCGCTTCTTTAACGAAATGAGCTAGACATTAATCAATCAATCAATTCATGTTTTATTGTGCCCTCAAACAGCTGATGGGTCTTAGGAGGGATGCATGCATCAGGCAAAAGACAAAAAGATGACTAAACAGTAATCATTTGTAATGCACTCCTCTTGAATTCCTCAGAATTACTAGTGAAGAAGTCCAGGTCAGAGTTATATAACTTTTCACACATAAGCTGCACGAGTGTCATTCACATTGTTCCTACAAGTGCTCAACATAAGAGTGGGCAAACAAGAGCAATTCAGATAAGGACGACTGCTTACGTGTTATGCTGTTATGTTGACAAAATACAGTATAGACCACTTACAACGTAACCGCTTATAGTGCAAAACAGGGTATAACGCAGTTTTTTAAACCACCGGTTCGCCTCCCATAGAACTCCATGTAATTACATACCGCTTAAAATGCAGGCGCGTGAAGGGAAATACCGGTTATAGTGCGGTTCCTGAAACAGCCTGCCGACCGCGCCGACGACCGGAGCAGCGAGCACACTTCCTTGTGCGACACTAGATAATGGCGCTGACGGCGCTAGCCGCAAGCGGCACTCGCGGGTCAAGGAGGTTGCTCGAAGCGGGGAGAAGCGAAGAGAGAGGCTTCAGTTGCCATAGCGACGGAGAGACACACGCATGTGTCTTTCACGTGCGTGCGTCCCTCCACTGCGTTGGAAAACAACTGCAACGACAGACCAATCGCAAGTCGAGGAGAAGTGTTCGCGCGCGTTGCGTGCCGGTCGCGGGACGGCTTCTTCTATCCGCAAACATGGCGTCGCTGGTGATCGTCGACGTAGACGCCGTTCATCTCATCGTTCTGCGCAAAAGCGCTATTTTTGACTGTGAATTTTTGTTGTGTGTCGCTATGATAACCCAGCACGTACTAGAAGGGAAGATCCACCAACTCGTGCGGCGATGTCGTGGCGGCGCTCTCAAGACGGCAGAAACGCCCGTGTCGTTGTGTTTGTTCACTTCGACTACAGTGGTGATTTCTAAGCATTTGAGTCCTTGAACATCGCCCGGATTGCTTATTTGGTGCATTTCATGCGTGTGCTCAAGTTCAAGGTATTACTGGCGCGTACCGCATGAAGGATGCGAATTTTCACGCGTTTTCATCACCGGAGAAAAGTGATTAGGGTTAGCAATTCTGAACGCTCGCAACGTCTGTCTGTAACCCGCAACGCCATTAAAAGGCTGCGCCAGGCAAAAGTCGCTCATTTCTTTCAAAATGTGTGACACACTTGAGAGAGAACTGTACTAGTCTGGTGAAATAAAGACTCTCCTCAAACTAAGCTTTATTTTTCATCTAACATAAAATAAATTCTTTTACAAAGGTAAGTTGTCTGATGGCATGTATTTTGGCCTGAAAAATTGATGTTTTGGTTATAGCGCAGTACCGCTTATAGTGCGGATTTTCGCGACTCCCGCGACATACGTTATATGCGGTCTACACTGTATTGCTAGTAACTTGCTTACGTGTTAAGGCCCGTTCACACACTTGCGACCTCTTAGGACCGAGTGCCTTGGAACCTCTTAATATCTCTTACCATGAGAGGACACAGTGGCACCATCTATTGGGTAGCAGTGTAAACTTGCTGGTTCGGCATATTTTCTATATCTCTCGTGCATTATCCTTTCTTTCTTGGCTCAAAAAACTTTTGTCATTGTTATAAACGAGCCTTTCTTATAGCTATTATGCACATTTGACCTCGGAAATCCTGCAAAATCTCCGCTCTTGTGGAATGCAGTTCCAGGGTCTCCGCATAGATGGCGCCAGCGTGCCAGTGTGTTCTCTCATTCTAAGAAATTTTAAGAGGTTTCAACAGGTCTCATCTCTCTTGGTCGTGCTCGGTTGCAAGTGTGTGAACGAGACTTTATGTTGTTGTTATGTTGACAAAACATTGCTAGTAACTTTACTCATAAAGAGGAACTGTATACACGAGCGCAGTGGTTTTCAGGCACGGATGTGTCAGGGACCCCTTGGGGACTCGCCAAAGTGAAGGGGGACCCCATGCCAGCGAAGGAAGGGGAAGAGGAGAGGGGGCTATAAGAGGGTATCCTTTAGTGTTATAGACAGGAGAAGTGAGAAGTACTAATTGAAAGTATGAACGGATGGACAGAAAGTAACGACTCTACCTTTTATAACGGGCGGTAACTTGCGCGCCCTAACCAAGCTCATCGATTTTTTTTTAAGGGGGGAGGGGGTTGAGGCGGGGGCTTTGCGGAACCCACCGTATCCACGGAACCCCCTTAGAGTAACCACCACATGAGGTTGTGGTTTTATTCTGGTTCAGGTTCAATATCAAATGTTCAGTTTCGTACCTGGAGAATGATAATGTAGGTCCAAAATGCTATGAAGCCCTCGATGGCCGGGTTGTATCTGGCGTCATGTTCGTAGGCTATGAAGATCACTTCTTTGCGGTGTTCGTACGACCTCAGCCACAACGCGCTACCTGCAAGCACACGTCACACAGGAAGGGTCAACTCACGCAGAAAGGGCGATCTGCGTATGTGCCTCAGCAGGCATTAACAGTCACACTGTTAACGGCAATGCAGACACGAACCCACACACATACACCAAGTAGCAACGTTTCAGGACGGCAGAGAGAATACTGAGAACTAAGTGATGATGCAAGCTCAAACCTCTTCATTGATCTAGGTCATATGACATGGGGGAGTGTCTACAACGAATGATAAATATGAGCCTTAAACGGCATGTGCAAGTTTAATAAGATGATAAGAAGAAGGGACGTGGGAGGTTACACTATACGTCAACTACTGACCTATCCATGTCAAGTCCCCCTCCAAATCAAAAAGAGATGGCAGTTGATCCCGTCCTCTCTGCACCAACCGGACCAAGCAACGCTTGGCTGACACCGGAATATGTGTTCACTGTTTTATGTTTCGTGAAAAGACATACTACTACTAGGATTAAAGTAACTAAACTAAAAGAAGTAGAGGGCAAGGAAGTCGCACCGAGGGCACCAATGGAGCACAGGAACAGAAGAATGACGATGCACCAGATGATGTCGCGGTTCATAAATCGCTCCAGTTTGCTGCGCTTGTACCTGGGGCCACTGTTGTTAAGCATTGCCTTGGTCTCAAAACCTGCAAAACATATGCATGTCCAACACATGACGACTGTGGGAGTCAACGTCGAACAAAAACTATCAAGTCTACGGAGCGGTACAAGATTTTTTTTTTCGCCTTTAATTACCGTACAATAGATTTTAAGATCCCTAATTGAGACCTCAACTCACATCTTATCTGCTCTGTGATACACTTCACGTTAAAGTGGGAACATACTCAAACAATGTAGCAAGTAACGCAAGCAAACTCATCATGTCCAACTTTCCACAGGTACAAATAACTGTTGGATTGTGGATTTCCAGTCCTTGCAGCATTACACTGAAACAAGATAAGCATTAATTGAGCGACCAAACTCGGCCCTTAGAAGTAGATATCAGATTTTTCACCTTGCTTCATCAAATTCAATACCCCTAAGTAAGGAAGTATTAGTTAAAGGGGTACTCCGCCGATTTTTGAGCTGCCTCAACTAACTATATTTTCTGACTCCCAGGCCTTTACCCTTTCTGAAATGCTATTTAATACCGTGAAATTCATAATAGTTATTGCGAAATCGGCAAATGAAAATGATGCAAAAACAGACATTCAAATATACCCGCCCTTTTCAGGGCCGTGACGTCAGTGGAAGTTCAGCTTGCCAGTCGGGCGAGCAGTCTAAAAAATAGAATATGCCAATTATTTGTTCCGTGCTGGAGCGCGGGGACTGGAGCGAGCTTCCAAGGCATTCATTTGACACCATGAAACTGCTACAAATCAGTTGGGAACAAATTCTACAGTCCAAAGAGTGAACCCCTGCACTTCCAATGATGTCACTTTTTCATTGTTGCCAGTAGAGACCTTCAGTTTGAAAAACACTGTGAGGACCAAAATTGTAAATTCAATAACTTCGTGAAAAAAAATTATTTTGACCTAATATTTGGGATACTATTTTGGCGATGTTGTTTGGCGAGTTTAGCAAAATTTCAAGCAAATCGGGGACCATGAAGAAATCGGCGGAGTACCCCTTTAAAGGCTTGTTCGCACCTCTACAAGATTATATATTATAGATCACAAACCACGTGAAGTAAAGTTGGAACTGGCAGCCTGCACCTTCAGGTTGGACCTCTTTTAGTAAAATTGGTTGCCCTGAACGCCGCTACCACTAAGCTCAAGCACCGGTTGCGTGATCCAGTTCCCCCCAAGTTGACAATGCGGTGGAGGCTACGTGCTCGTTGACCCAGTCATAAGTCTATCTTTCACCCCGTGATCCCACTCCTGCTAATACCCACACGCAGAGAGCGGCGTCAGGTCATGAAAGGGAGGCGGTTGATCGGCCCAGTGAATTCAGAGTTTGTACCACAATGTCAACTTAGGAGTGAACAGGGTATGTGGAGCGCAAGTTGTCTGCTTCTTGCACAGGGGTTGTGATGATGTAAGAATGCCACGCTCTTATTGGCTGGTTGAAAAATATAGTCGGTGTAGACCTCAAGGTATCTAGCATTGAGGTCTACTCAATATCCTTTCACTCAAAGCCAATCAGAGCCCGGCGTCGATCTGACTTCGCAGCAACTCCTGTGCAAGAAGCAGACAACTTGCTCTCCGCATTAATTGCATACAGCTACTGAGCCAAAGGCTTGACACCGACCCTTGCGGGGATCGACTAGAGAAATACATAACCCATCATGAACTTTAGAGGAAGAATACGAAACTAGGCTTACCGGCGTAAAGCACGACGCCTTCAATGTAGTCTGCATTCTTGAGGACGCAGTCCCGAAGAAGAAGATTGTCCGAGGTGACAGGCACTTTTTCCCCACTGGGATGGCAGCTGCAAGACGAGTTGAGCCAAGAGTGAATTAAAAGGATTCTGCGTAAGAGGAGCTGTAAGATCTTGTGAAACAAAAAATACCGTCCAGAACGAAAAAAACTCACATAAATCCGTGAAACCGGTAGATTTTGCAGTTGGGCGGATCACACTCGACCGTGCTCGTGAACGACAATGGATGGAACACCTCGCTCTGCATAAATGTAACGAGCATCACTGTAAGTATGCGAGATACTTCAAAATATAAACCTAAAATTGATTTTTAAAGGAATGGTAGGAACAGTGTGCAGCCTTCCAGAGATTAGAGATCAAAACGAAATCCGAGACGCTGTCTCACCCCGACACAAATATTTCCGAGAGGTCAATATCTCGCTGACAAATATTTTAATTCACAGAGACGCAGTGGGCACAAATAAATTCCCTTATTACTTTTTGGCATAAATCATTCATGCACTCAGCAGATTCCAAAGTGCATCACCAATCATCCACTCCAGCAGTTGATTGCAAACACAGTACACCGCCGAGAAAAGCCACACCGCATCAGAACTCTGTTGACAACATCCGACACTGCCCCCCCCGACGCCTTTGTGCAATGGTTATATCGTTGTTGGATGTGTCAAAATGATAGACTAGAGCTCTCCGAGTTTGTAGGTGAACCCTTCAACTTTCGCAGCCATCAGCTTGCCTGTTTTGCATATCCCCTGACCACCTGGCGCTGCTTCAGGTTGGTCTCCCCGTCCAAGTTGGCAGTCTCGATGTAGCACAGGCCCTGGTCGTCGCTCGAGCGCAGCAGCAGGATGTCGGCGGGTATCACTTCGTTGCACGACAGGTGGATGATGTCCCCGACCCTGACGTGCTTCCATAGCGTCTTGACGTAGCGACCCGACTGCCTGCAATCACCAGCGAAAGTTGTTAACAATATCGGCATCAGATGCCACTTTGACGACGGCAGCTACGACTAAAGGTCCATTCGCCCATACAACGTAATGGTCACTCAACGCTATTCGGCAAGTAAGTGTTCCACAAGGCATCTCTGCCACATTGGAATGCAAGGAGAGGCACACCAACCAAAGGACAATGTAGAGAATAAGACGAGGCAGCCAAGCACCCGCTGTCACTGTTCGAGAATGAGGGGAAACAAAAGCATGAGGGGGAATTCAGCGGGTAAAGAAGCATGCGAGCTGCGCCGAGAGCAGACGGACTAGCATGCCGTATAGACACAGTGTCGACTTTGTTCAAAATTAGCACTTCATCAGCACCGCATGTGACCCCCCCCCCCCCCCCCCACCTTTCTTGCTTGTGCATATAATGCAGAGCTAACTCAGTGCCGACACTAACGCTGATGCGGCGCTGAATTTGCATCACCTCGGCGCTGCACTGCATGTGTGAACCAGCCTTTACCCTGCAGGCTACAACATTGACAGACAGCACAATGCCATCGGCACCGTAACCAAGATTCCGTGTTTTCAATGTATACCGGCAAACCCGGATCAATGACTTCAAACCGGTTTGATAAAAATCAGGAAAAACCGAGGAGCGCAACGTCTGCTTTTTTGCGAGGAGTTGTGGTGATGTCAGCACATCGAGCTCCGATTGCCTCTGCTTGAAGGATAGTGGATAGATCTCAAAATAGCATGCCTTGAGGTCTACCCGCTACCCTTCAATCAGAGCCAACTTCAGCTTGGCGTTCTGACGTCACCAGAACCTCTGCCAAAAGAAGCAGACGAACTTGTGCTCTGCATTGACAGCATGACAGTTTACGGTATAGCAGTTAACCGGTAATGGTTACTATCACTCACCAACATGTTACCACAGAAGTTAATGCCCAGCCGCTTTAGTTTTGAGGCACTAGGAGTTTTGGTGGCAGTTTCCAAGACGCAAAGTAAAGAGTGACCAACGAGTAGTCAACCTTTGGAGCTAACAGTGCCGTGCCGCACGCTTGCGTGTGAATTAAGCAGCTGTTTCCGGTCAAACGAAATGGTGCGAAACTGCAATAAGGTATATTTCTACACAAATGCCGATGAAACAAACACTCCCTTAAGCTATCCATCAGTATTATAAAAAAAATATCTAAATAATGATTTTTTGTGCACATGAGTTATAAGCATATTTGTCTAAAGCCGATTCTCATCTGCTCATTATTCATTCCGTATTTCTGTCCAGTCTGCTTTGCAATGTCCCTGAGGATGTAGTAATAAATATACAAATAAATTATAAATTAAATGCGTATACTGAGATTTATTGTGTCTGCAGCTTGTTTACAACGAATTACTGACATAAAAAGAGTTTTGTGGAATTAGTCTTTTTTTCTAAAACGGTATCACACGTGGCAACCATCATGTTTAAATGTCACCACAATTTTTAAGTACACTGTGCAACACCTTTGTCACAAATAAAACATTGGCATTTTTTTTTTTTTTTGCATTTTATTGCAAAAGGTTGTTGGCGTGCAGAAAATTTGACCGCTTAGGTTACTGTCCAAAATCAGCACTTGCAGCTTTGATGACAAGTGCATAATTCTGAGAAAAAAAGAAAAAAAAAGGCAACTGTTTCTTTGCAATAGCAGTGTCACATTATGCATGCATGTCAGGACTGCAGGCACAGCAACCTAAAAATGTGATGTAATCTAAAACTCAATCTGACACCATGCCTCCTAAACCAATTTCTATCACAGGCGACCCTGAATGCTACAACCACCAGTGAAAATGCTAGTGCTACGCATGGAATACTATTGATTGTGTAATGTGATCCTCTTCATTGATAGAAAAAAAAAAAAAAGAAACATGGCTGTAACATTTGTTTTTTTATGCAGAGAAACATTCAATGAATAGAAGCTATTGTATTGTACAATAAAACTTATTTTACTCACTGAGATAGTCAATAAGAGAATTGTACAGTATGGATGCTCCTACATTTTTTTTTTATGTCATGCTAGCACTGCATCACAGCCATCTTCAATTTTATAAAGAAAGCAAACATACAAAGGGCCTCCGCAAATTATAATGTCACGGCAACACATGTCAGGTAGAATGATGGATGAGGTTCAGACAAAAGATCTGCAGCTCGTCTTACACCAGCTGTTCGCAATCTCGGAGAAGCATTCTTTGTTCTCAAAAAGGTGTCTCTTCTACGATGTAAGTCTCATACTTGCAATAAAAAAAAAAATATATATATATATATATATAATGAAAGAAAATAAAGAAAGAAGACAAGACAGCTACTTTAAGAAGACGTTAGAAACTTTAGGTAATACAGAATTGATTCTCTAAAGTTTAAGAGATGGTAAGCTAGTGCAGAAGAATGTGAAGAGGGCTATGATAATTTCACTGAACTAACTTACCCGAGTAAAAATTAGAAATAAAAAACTTGAAATTCCTATCTACAGTGCTCCCCTGCTCAAAAAAGGCGTCTAATTGGCGCAACAGCCGACAGACGGGGGCACATAAAATCGCAGGAGGCTACAGGCGGCTAAAGAGCACGGGTGTAAAATTTTTGGAAATTTCGAAGGCCAAAAGAAAACAATGAAAGAAATAAGTATTTTTCCGGAGAATTTAGAACATTTGATAATTTGCCTCAGCAAAAGTAACCCAGCAATCTTTTCAAGGATACTGACCTAGATCAACAACAGCGAGTCTTTCGCCAGTTTTTCGCGGTAGCACTATTGCCTTATATTATTTTTTAAATATATTTATGAGAGCTTTGTCATTTTAGCATATATTTGAGTACATGGCAATAACAATACTCCTCCATCATACTAGATGCCGTACCGGGTTTACAGTAGCAGTTAACTTGCATGTACCGTTCATCCATTATGATGCTATATTACATGAAAGTATGTATATGGTGGTGCAGTAGCGGAAGCTCAGTTGCACGTTATACAAGACCTACGGTTCCTGTTGACAAAGGGCGTGACAATGTATTAAGCAAGAAATATGCGATAGACGACAAAAAAATTGGCTTCTTCACATGCATGCACACACTACAGAATATATCCCAGGCAGCACTAAGTTATCTCTCCTCTATTTTAAAGCTTTTGAAACTTTATTTTTATATATGTTTAAGATTTATATCTATACTGCTGTACAATTTATACTGAACAACAAAACAATGCTCATTGGATGTATGCTTTTAGGGTAAAGCAAACAATTTAATGACAGATGAGGCAGCAGACAACCACAAAACTTGTGTTTCCTCCCACTTGCTCGCTTGCTCCGTCATTGCACCACTTCTTTTTCTTTCTATGGGCTAACGAATCTAATATGGCATAGTGTCTTCAATCTTCCATCAGAAATGTCGACAAAAAAGACATGCTATATGATTATTATTAGTTTTGACATAGTGACTAATGTAAATTTTATTGTATGCAGAAATTTGCATAATAGGCTTGTTCATTATTGAAATAAATTGCGTCTAGGTTGTTTTTCGAAGAGGAAAATCTGTTTTTTCCCAATATTTTTGTTTTTTTCCGTATCCTCCCATTACTACGTCTCCTTTCTTCGACAATTATTTTTGGCTACATGTCGCCATCTGCTTTGCACTCTCTGGTTGTTACCGCGTTTCTTTTCTTGTCTGCAACTTTTATCCATGCTGTTTTGGGGTGAAAGTCACGTTCATGGTGCGCTTTGCTCCCGACGAACGTGTGAAGGTTGCTTTTAGGTATGAGGCGCACTAGAGGACAAAAGAGGTCCGTCGATGATTTCGGGAGGAGTTTCGGCGGCGACATCCGGGCTGCCCTACAATTCTATGCTGGGTGAGGATCCTCAAAGAGGAGGGAAGCTCCCAAAACAAGTCACCGACAACAGTGGTGTCGTCACCGAAGCTGACGCTGAAATATGCCTTCACGAACACCCCCACCTGTCGACTCGGAAAGCACTATCGAGATCTATCGTCTGTTGTGCCAATCAGACACCTTTGGTTAGCACACGGTCGACACAGGTAGGGATTTCAAGTTTTTCATTTCTAACATTTTACTCGTAAGTTTGTTCAATGAAATATTTATACCCTTAATGCACTTTCTACGGTGATCTTTGTGCAGAAGTTTAGTTCGATACATTCAAAAATCAATTTATTCCGTCCCTTCAAACATCCATCGGTCCCTTTGAGTCAGCCTGTAGCTAACACGCTTTGCCACTTGAGGTTCGAATTGAGAACTAAGCTTTCCTGCATGTTGATGATATAAGATACAGGCTCTTCACCTCTATTCAGTCAAGTGATCGCATACTTTTGAATTAAAAGCAAACAAAAAAGGCTCCGAGATCTAGGAAGTGTGGGAGGAATTCTCTGATGCCCTTGAATTTTTAATTTAAAAAAAATGTTATCGATTGCAGTGGACGTCGTGGCACAAGCTTATTTTTATCATACTAAGTGAACTGAAATAAAATAAAATCATTCGTCGTAGCTGGCATATTCCAGTCATATTGGTGGTCCAGCATTGAAATAGGTCCCAGCAGTAGTTATATTTCAAGGTATAAAACTGCTATTTAGTAGCGAATGTCAGCTACCATGGGCCCTAGGTTTTTCCCCATGAGGTAATAAGATCAAACCAGCGTCAAAAGTGCAAGTCACTATAATCCGTGCAAGTAGTTGTGTGCAGTGCAGGCGAAGGCAACGCCAGGAGAAAAGAGGAAAGGCGAGACGGAGAGGAGTGCAGTAGAGGGTGAGGGGGAAAGGAACGTTAGAGTTGAGAGGAAGTTTCTCTCTCCGTCCCCAGCCCTCCTAGTGCTTGCCCTTTCTCCCCTCACCTGGCGTTGCGTTCGGCTGTACTGCACGCAACTAGTGACCTTTCCGTTTTACGAGTGGTTCGGGGATGATAGAACACGTACAGACGAAGCAAAACAAGCACCACGATGGTGCGTTTTTGATAGCATCGGGCTGGCGTCTGGACCTAACG